CATTCAGCCCAAGAGTAGAAATTAGGCGCATATAGCAATAACATTTCACATTTGTCATTTCGCAATAATCATTAGCAAATGTCATTTCGCATTTATCATTAGCAAATGTCATTTCGTAAATTGTAATTGGCATGGCAGAATGGCGTTCCATAAGGCATAGATATGTAATTCCATGAAATCAGAGAGACTTGTTCTAGGCAAATACATATTAAATTAGTACAGTTGTCTATATATTTTGAAGATTTACCTAGTTTGAAAGTCATTTCAGAGAATTTTGCTACAACACCTAGGGAATTCCAGTTCGAATGCTCATGCGCAATAATTGAGATCCCATTCTAGGAAAATACTTTTGAACAATATACTTGCAGACGATACGGAATAGTGTAAACAAATTTTATTTCTTTTATAAAACCATATATACATTGCTTAGGCCTACTTGTCCCGTATTATATTCAATTAAGAGTAAAGTATATGAGCAACATCGATACAAGGTGTGTTCTGTCAAAGTAGACATTTTTTTCTTATTTGTAAAAAAGTGCAATTTCACATTAACTGTTAGGAAATCATTACCCTCAACTTTAAGAGTGCCAATATTATTGCTGCAAAAGGATTTGGATTTCTGAGCTAAAAACATGGGAAAATTTATCATATTTGCAGAAAATCATGTAATGTTAATATATGAGGAAAGGACAAGAAATTTTAAATTGAAACAATTTACTGAATAGGAACTGCATATAAAATATATACATGTATGTAAAATTTATCTTTTAAAAGTTAAGTCACATGTACTGTATATGCCATAGAAATATTTCATGTTGCGTTTCTTCAAAGAAAAGCTCAAGACTGTCCTATACCGCGAGATATTTTACGTTCGCACCCACATTTAAATTTTCTAATAGAAAAAAATCTTTAAAAAGCCCGGATAATGTAATTTTTGATATCTTTCGTTCTTACTAAATCACACGTTGTAGCCGTATGTGTGTATATCCTGCAGTGTGTATATATGTTCTGGAATTTAAAGATGTATTAATTAATATTTCAAAACCATTTCCACTTCTCCTTTCTTTGTCTTTCCATCTTTCATTCCTACCAGACTTAACTTAGAGAAAAAGCTTTGTCTATTGCGATTTTAATTAATTTTTCATTATTTGTCATTAAAATCACAATTTGTTTCTAAACCAAGTTCTGCCCATACCGCAATTTTACACAGACACTCCGACAGGTTCAGTTAAAATTATTCGATCTGTACTAGATTAACGTTCTTCTACTTATCTTAAATTACTAAGATGAAACATTTCTTTTAACTCAGATTGAGATAACATTATTCAAGAATAAAGACGTATCAGTATAAACAAATGTAAATAAAAATAGCAAACATACAAATAAAATGGCAAAACAAACGTTTCGCATTCTATTCTGCTGCTAATTAAAATTCTTTAGATATTTATAGGATGTATTTGTAATTCAACCTACCGCCGGGGTTATACGTTATCTTATTATTTTTGTTACACTAAATGAAACACATAACTTTATCATTTCAATTAAATTCTTTATTTTCAAAAGCGATTTTTATTGCTTATTTACAACATTTTAAAACTTTATTTACAACATTTTGAAATAGTCCTGCTGTCCAAGAGATAGCAACCGTGGTGTAAAATCTTGAGAAATACGCATATTTATTTCCAACTTTGATGAAAAAATAGATCTACATGATTAAAAAATAAAAACAAATACAAGTAGATACCTAGTTGAATCCAAACATGATTTTTCTTGGCTCAATATTATAAGACAAGTTTTATATACTTGTAATTCATCTTTGTTACTGTTTTTTTTGTAATTCAATCTTCTTGAATGATAACTAAAAAACGGTGACAAATCTGCAATACAGCTAATCATGGTGCAGTTTCAAGACGTTAATTGCTGCAACCAAGTAGATAAAATGCGGCATAAAAGTAAGATCGGTAACTTACGGCCAAATCCTAGCTATGATCGGGCGTATGGCCGTTGATAAAACGGCACCCTGAAGTATACCGGCTTGTAATTTTTAGAGATGACGATTGTTGACAACTGGCTTCGAGCGATGAGCATTGGACGGCCTCTTTTACTAAATTAGATAATAGTTAACTGCCAGTCATTCGCTCCTCTTGCACAACATTCTTACATGTACGTTGCCAAAGAATAATATATTTGCTCACTTACTCAATTTATATGAGTAAGATCCATAAATATTTTTCAGAAACATTTACATGTAAATGGTAAAATATAAAAAAGAAAGAAAAAGAAAATGAAAAAAGAAGCAAAAATAACCATTTCCTCATCAGCAAGCAAAACTTTAACAGGAAACAGGAAATCCTCGATTACTTTCAATGCTAATATAGAAAGTTAAAATTAAATGAAACAGTCATCCTACATTTGTTTAAGATAAACAAAACATAATTGTATTTGTACTATATTATATAAACATAACGGGGAGGACAAGGGTGCTCTGTACCGATGAACTTAATGATCCAATATGGGTTGAATTTGGTAAATCCAGGTGGTTTTCAAATTGGTGATGTAATTTATGTAACAGCTAACGAAATGTAAACAACCGTGCAAATTTACAGTGTAAGTTATGCACGTGCAGATGTGTGTTACCGTGTTACAATCTGTTTTGCATATAAAAATTAAAAAGAAAGTTATCATGCATGTTTCAGGTCTGTAAATCAAAGAATTGTAATTGTTTCTTTTTCATACAGGTCACTTCAAATATGACAATACAAATGTATTTTAGAATCATATATATATCCCGATGATTATTTCTGGTGTACTAGCTGACGCAAAGAGTGATTTATTCAGTAGACAAATGTACACTTGATACCTTACTTATTTGCGAGTCCTTTATAGCTTTAATTTCCTTTCTTGTTTTTTTTATATTTTCTACAAATGCATATCTGCTTACCTAACACTTTAGTACAAATTATCAAATAATTATATAGATATAAGTAATAGAAAGAGCATCGAAACACGAGTTTATCTGATTTGTACGAGGGGGGCGTTGTCACAATTAATATGAAACCCCAGAAAAATGAGCTAATCTATTGGTATGCTTTGGGTGCGGGTAGCTAATACGTACTGTACTCCAGTTAAATCAATGTGCATGTGTATGTATACGATTTAACTCTAACACATATTCATCAGATAGGTCCCTAAAATATGATACAAACGAATTAAAAACTGGTTAAGACTGAGGAACACGGACGTACGTCATATTTGAGCCGTGTCACGACAAAACCAACATAATGGCTTTGCGACCAGCATGGATCCAGACCAGCCTGCGCAGTCTGATCCATGCTGTTCGATATTAGTTTCTCTACTTGTAATAGGGTTGGTAAGCGAACAGCATCAACTGCGCGGATGCGCAGGCTGGTCTAGATCCATGCTGGTCGCAAACGCTCTATGTTGGTTTTGTCGTGATGTGGCTCAAATTTGGAAGGAAATGCGACGTGTTCCAGCATCGACGACTGACATACAATTATCAGCATCATTCTTAACACTTGATACTCTACTGTTCAAATATTCGAGATGTAAATTGTTCTTGAATACATGGAGCATGATCTAACAAGATGTCTTGCGTAAATTACATTGTAACTCGTAGATCAAGCTCGGTCTGCTGAGTTTTGACTTCAAATCAATGAACAAGATCGTGCCTTAGAAATAAGAATGACATCAATTTTTCCCTGCACATAATAAAAACCCAACCAGGCTTCGCTTCGTCTATTGTAGACTTATTCTACGGATGTAATGTCGAATTTGGTTCGATTTATAAGAATATTGACTTCTATATCATGCACGGTCTACAGGTTTGATTTTAAAGAGAACCTGTGTCAACAATGACGTTTCTTATATGGCATTGCACATGTGTTTCTCTAAGTATGTCAACTTCACCATGTCAATGGCAGTATTGTTCCATACTTTTTTTTATTCTTATCTAGACATATTTTGGTATCTTATAAAATTTTACATTCAAAATCTCATCAATAAGCTAATATCCTTGTGAAATGTTTTGTAGGGTATTTCTTATTTATCACATGTTATTAGATGATATCAACCAGTTCTGCAATTATAGATACTAGTTATAAACACCCTTCCATTTCAAATTGTTTTATGTATTTATGCATTTTGATGGTAGGCATAATAAGCAAATGGGCTTTCTTTACTACTCGCTAAAAGTGAATTCGTCTCTTATATATTGTTTGTTAGAAAGAAAGAAAGAAAAAAAACTACTGCCTTCTGATAAATCTTTAAGATATAACAGCCATAAATTTTCATATCAATATATACTCCACAACCAATATGATCTGCAATATATTTTGATTTATTGATATAAATAAAAAAGAATAACAGACACACGCTTTATAAATAAGTACATTGAAAAAATAACATAAAGCACATATGTTTAAAATAAACCAACAATATTAACATTATTGTTTTATGTCATTTTGTCCTCACACTGTGTAAGGTTTAACAAGAGCAGCCACACTTGGTTGTCACTTCGTAAGGAATTTTCTTCCATCTGCATTTTAGTTCCCTCCCCATTACACCGCCAATGCTTCGTGTTCGTCTTTGCCGAATCCTTCTGAGTTCGTTAGTTCTATTTTCTTTCATAGTTTTACGCTCTGTATTAGACTTTTTATTTTTCTGACGAATACATCTCCAGTGAAGCAGGTGTAAGGTTTTTCTTTCCGAGGCCTGACAAAGCATTCCTGAAGGCCAAGAGCAAGGGCTGTTGGAAGCACATTCACCAGATTTGATGTTCCGCGGCCAGAATAAGTTTCCTAGATCTTCCCACTCAAAATTTATCTCACATCTCGCCATGTTTTGCATAAATGATTTAATATCCTCTTTAGACTGGTTACTGAGATTCATATCATGTGAATAAAATTCAATCAGGTGACCCAGTCTGAGTTTCAAAAGTCCATCCTCAATTTTATTGCCTTGCTGAAGAAATGTATCAGGAACGTGATTAGATTTTTTTGGTGTTTCTATCGACATCCATTCTGAATCAAAATCTTGGCCAAGTTTTCTTAACAGTCTCTTTCTTTTCAGGTGCTTGCCATGCGGTAGATAGTGCCTCATTACAGGAAACTGAAATCGTTTCTTTACCAGGGAGTCCATACGACTGTCTTGGATATATATCCCAGAAATCATTTGTATCAACATTACTAGTGGAAATATAATACGGTTGCTTATCTTCATGACGTTGTTTGATCTAATCTTCACCTAAAATTAAAATAGATAAGAATTAATTTAGTTCCATGTTATGCAGAGCCGAATTCATTAATTTCAATATGCTATTTAGCTAATCGACTGCAGTATGTTAAATAAATAAAATTTGGAATAAAGTAAAAAAAAAAAGAAAGAAACGAAAACAAAACAAAAAAACGATAAACTGATCGGTCATATACAGTTTGTTGTTTTTGATGATGATTTTGTCTTTTGTCTGTATAAACCTTAGATAAATAATGTTCACGGAGGTGCCAGCATACATACATTTCATAACGTTTGTTTTTAATTGCGGAATAAATAAGCATGCAAAAATACACAAAATCTACACTTATTTTTGTTTGATCTAGAGTGTTTATATTTACACTAAAATAAACATCCTACTTTCAATCACTTTAATTATTTAATTTGAACATTAAAACTCAAATCCAAGACAAATCAATTACAAGAAAAAAGTTTTCAATTTTCTACTTGTGACTCCACAGTTTAACAGTAACTGACTCACTGGATGCTATAGTGTGTTATATTTTCTATGTTATTAACCTGTGTTTAATCATTAACTTTACAATCTGCCTTACTAGTATTCCTTTATTATTTTTTGTTGTTATTTTTCTGTCTATGCTTACTAATTTTAAGATGTGCAATCTCCTCCTATATGATAAATATGAATTATTAAATGATGATTGTGTCCTGATTGATGTAATACTTTTTATAAAAAAGATAAATATTAGTTTTGTATATGTTGTTATTATCCACAATTAATTCAACTTTTATCATAATAATCAAAACAGTTTTATGAACGAATTTTATATTTGAACTTTATATTTGTATGAATAACAAAGTCTCTAAACTTTATCGTAATGTCCCTCGTCAATTGTGCAAAATGCAAATTATGTCTCTGAAGGTTTACTAAAGTGTGCATTTTGCTGCAAAAACAATCAATACACCTAGATTGATGAATATAACGAGCATTTGATCTTATGAAACTTCAGTATATAGCTTATTTACCAATTAGTACTTACTAATTGATTAACCACAGTTTAAACCATCATTCAAAAATTAAAGAAAAAAGTGTTTTGAGATTGCAAATTTTCTCTCCTTTTTCAAATTCTGAATTCACATCATGACAATATAATTGTAACAGACCTTTTAGCCGCCATTTTACAACTTTAACTAAGTAAACACTAAACAGCTGCTTTATTATTACGTCATACACATGTACCCTTTAATTACATTGAATATATGACAATATCACGAAATTAGAGTTTATATTATATCCCTATTATGAATTTTTACCAATTAATTCAAAGTTTTAATTTCATTCATTAATTTTCCATATGTTTCAGTTTATAAACAGGTATGGAATGTTGCATTTTAATTTCTGTTAAATTATTTCTCAATTCGTCCTTATTATCAATGTACTGTAGGAGATGGCAAAAAAAATCCCAAAAACAAATGCATCAAATGTAAATGATTGAGATAAATGCACTTTTGAATTTTTTTGTTTCATTTGCTTTATCACTAATGAACATCAGTTATTTACATATTTACTAGATCTTTGCATCATGAAATGAACCTGCTGTTGTATTCTTGAATTCGTTTTGCGTTCACAGAAATACAGAACAGAAACTGTAATAAAAACGTAATAAAAGTAGTACCAGTCTGTAACTTAGTTTGATAAACACGGTATTGTCTTTGGGATGGTTGTCTTATTTTCAATTAAGAATATATTTTGGTAAGTGTAAGTAAGCAAAGTTAATGAATAAGAAATAAATGCAATCAGATTGAGTCAGATTTAAGACATTTCACAACGTTATTCAAACGGATACATTTAACAGATACAAATGTATATCATGTTTTTGTTAACTTGCACTTAACTATAAAAAATACAAATCGTTAGATAGACTATTACTTTGGTTTGAAAAGGAAATGCACGAATGATTTTGACATCATATACGTATTTTACTTTCTATTTGATTTTTTATATTTTATTTTGAAAGCAAATAGTTACCTCGAATAAATGCAAGATCCTCTATCCTAAGTATTCACAAATTAACTTAATGATATATCTCACAAAACATCCTAACTTTTCTCTTCAAAATCCTATCATTATTTAGAGACTTGTGACGGTGTAATATCCAGATACAAACGTATTTTGTTTTTATAAGCTATTAGATAGGTATACAACAGGTTATTACGTGGCACGTGTTTCCATTAAGTGGTAGAGATTTCTAATTAATTGCACCAGACCAATCATAGAGTAATTCTTCACTGTAGCAGATATTTTGATTTGTTCCTGCAAGTACCTATCAAAATATATCTGATATTAAGATTGGCATGTCATTATTTCACATGAACAAATCTTTGAGACAGAGACACGTTCAATATCAGAATTGATTAACGGTTAGGCTAGTTTATATTATTTTGATTCAATGGTCCGTAAGAATAATTTAGAAAGCAATGCATACCGTCCTCTTGAAATATCTAAAAAATAAAAATAAAAAAAGAATGGTTGATAGCTTTATCAATTTGTCAAAGGTTTTTGCATACTCCGGTTAATATAAAAATACTAAATCGTATGATTTGATTTGTATGATTTACCAACAGTCAATAAATTTTAAATAAAGAAACAAAGTGATGAAAAATGCAGTCCTATTTTCTCATTTACTTAAATAAATGCTTGATCTTTATACAAACACTTAAAATAAGCAACTGTATTTTGCAAATATCTCAAAAGGATCTTAAGTATAGAGATGTTATCACAAGGACAGTTTTAATATTGTATCATAAAGATCTGTTCCCTGTTTTATTTTATTTCTTAAAAAGACGTCACAGAAAAATAATGTTCAATATAGTGCCTGCACATTAATGATTTTCACAAATGGTGAAATAAAACGAAATATGTTGAGTACGTTGAGGTCTATATATGAGCCGCGTCACGACAAAACCAACATAGTGCGTTTGCGACCAGCATGGATCCAGACCAGCCTGCGCATCCGCGCAGTCTGATCAGGATCCATGCTGTTCGCTAAACAACCCTTTTACAAGGTGAGAAACTGATAGCGAACAGCATGAATCCTGATCAGACTGCGCGGATGCGCAGGCTGGTCTGGATCCATGCTGGTCGCAAACGCACTATGTTGGTTTTGTCGTGACGCGGCTCATATGTACTTTAAATATGTAAACACAGTCTCACTGCATTTTTTTCAAATAATGAAATAACTGAAATGTTATGTAACCTGTAACTATGTTGTCTAAATGTAAACTACCATACTCCCTTGATTAATTAATAGGTTTTACTGGTGTGATTTACAGTCATATCCGCATATACAGTAACATTAATTATGTCCGTCCAAGAGTATATAGTGAGTGAACAGACATGGAGCTAAATATCTGTGGAACAGGTAAAGTCAAAATAAGTTTACATTTTGCAAAAAAAAACGATAATTAAATAACTCACGTGACCAAGAGAAATCGGCATTTACCTTCACTATTTAATGTATAAAAAGAGTGGGACAGTCGTTTTATATTTAGGTATATTAATAGTTTTCCTAAACATTTTCCAACATCAGCTGTTGGTCAGTTACCATTAAAGCAGTCAATCTTTTGAAATATATATTCAATTCAGCTTAACTTGACAATGAAACAATGAGCATATTGTCACTTTAATATAAGTCATAAAGACATTTAATAAGTAATATAACACTAGCGACTTCCAGGCTAATGTTAAATAATTCTGAATTTGATTGCTATACATGCAATAACATATAATGTAGTTTGAATAGCATTGCATTAAAACATAACATTTTTTATAAAATAAACAAGAGAAACGACGCCTCTAGTACTTACAGTTTTGCTCATAGTTTATCCTTAATGACCGTTATATACACATCTGTTTTATATCACAATTTGTTTTCTGCTTATTGCATCACAAGAGACTGATATTGCATCATCGCACTGCATTCATCTCATCCCAAATGAAATAAACACAATCCGTTTATTTCGATATTTTACTACCCTGGTTTCCTGCGGTGCATTTCCGTTGTGTGCTTTTTTCTGATACCTCTAAAGATTGTCAAGCACGATGCAATCTACTGGCTGAAGCAAGGTATAAACAAAATATAATGTTTTCTCCGTTTTTGTGAAAAATAATTTTTCTATTGATTGTTTATGTCTATCGGTGTCGCAAATGAAACTATAAATTGTGTCGCAAATGAAACTATAAGAGAAATATTGCCGGTCAAAGGGGCAAAAAGTACGATGTTAGAGAATTAAGTGCACTATTTGGTGATCATCTCATGATGTCCATTGAGGCAAGTTTTACAGTGTTACAAGCTACATTTATAATTCTAGTTGAAATTGAACAACTTCATTTTACATATAAAATGATGTATTATAGTTCGAATGGTTTCATTAATAAACATTTATTTGCTTATGTGTTACTGTTAGTAACAAATATACTCTTAGTAATATATGTTGACCCAACAAACGATGTTAGTTACTGAAGCTATTGGAAGACATGGCTTTGATTAATAAGAATCTAATATATTCAGGGAAAAAATGTTGATATTAGAGAATGACTCGATTAATAGCTTCCGCTATCAAGTATACGGACCCCAATGCGTTCTTAAACGATTCAGTCATAAAATCATCAGTCATCATTTTTTGTATTAAATTTCTTACAGTTTGAATACAGCTTTGATTTTTTCTTTAAAAACTATGGCGCATTGGTAAGTGAGGCTCAAACGTAAATAATCACAATCTTTGATTAGTAGAAAAATAAATGAATCTTCTGCTAAACTGCCCGACTTTTTCACATGGAAAACATACGCATTGACGTCAGTAACAAAATAGAGAAAATATGAATCTCTAAAGAAATCTGGAAACAAAGTCATCACTCGGAAGCATTAATCACAACAAAATTACAAGAGAATTGCAGACTCAGTTTGATTGAGTCTGTACATGAGGGATAATGAACAACACATCAAAACTGAAAATGTTGCAGGCTCGATTTGATTCAGCCTTTTCATGGACGGTACTGTCAGGTGCAAACTACCGCCCAAGCCCCCTTGCACCGGCTTAAGCAGAATTCAACATTTAATTAAAGTAATGGTGAAATTTAGAAACATCCGCAGATGTGTTCATACAAACCAACATTTTATTAATATTAGTGTTCTTTAGTCAGTACTCTCTTAAAGTTCCTTTTTTTCTAAAAGAAAATTGAGAACAAAACCAGATTAACCGCAAACGAAATTTCAAATTTAATTTTAATTTTATCAGCGTAATCTGAGCAAGCTGTGAGTCGCAAATAGGGCTATTAAGATTATTGCCTGTTTAATGGATATTGTAAAAGAATAAATGTGATAGCATCAACGAAGAATGATTCAATTTGTTTAATTGTTTCGATAACACTAAAAGTGTTATACATCTCGTCCAATGTCTCTACAGTCATAATTTGAATAAGATTGTTTTATATGAGATAAAGTGAAATTTAGATGTGTTTAAGTGTTGTAGATGCTAACTAAATATTAAATTATAATTAAAAGTATAATATATTTAATTATTAGTATCAAATGTTATCCATTTATCTCGTTTAAAGTGTTCTTTTCTTGTCAGTCGTTGATCTGTTAATTTAAGATAATGTTTAAAATGGTTTCACGTATCAAAGATTTAAAATAACCTTTTCCAAAAATTGCTACATATATTGAATGGGTAAAGTCAACGATATTGCAAAGATTTATCTACACTAATTAATCAGAGCATAAATGTGTGACGTCACATGACCCGTTAAGACAAGATCGATTTTTGTGTATTGGGTATTTCACATTACCATATTGATCACAACAATGTATTGGCCGCGTGGTTAAACCTGGCCCGAGTATATACCATTTATTCCCGATATATAAAATATTCACATAAATACCGTATAGTTTTGTGATCGGATAAAGCTAAACTGAGACGTAGTGGCAAATCGTTTTCTGATAAGTACTGTTTTTATCCTTATTTTTTTCTTGAAGGAATTACAACCGGAAAAGTGTGTGTATAATACAGAATTATTTGAGAAGATATGGAAGTTATTCTAGTTTACGAAGAAATTCCACCGTAATCGATCGGATATGCACATGACTAATTAGAGTAATTATGGCTGATGCAAAAACAAAAGGTGGTGGTGAGCAGAATCTAACGGTAGGCATGACAATACAGAATTATTCTCTGTCATTTTTATATTTTAACTGTTTAACTATAAACACGAAAAGAGCATTTTAAATTATCAAATTTAGACATTTATAGTTTTAAGAGTTGTTTATCTAAGTAAGTGATTTATTGCCTATATCAATGTATCATTGTAACTGATCAAAAATATTTCCCGTATTTTTTAAATTTTTTTTGCTTTAGTGTTTCATAACAAGTTTTTTAAAAAGGGACCGGGTACTTTTGATTGAATAAAAATATCGCCATATCTATGGCATGTTTATAATGATATTAAATTTAAGGACCAGTTTGGTTATCAAATTGACCCTATAATCGCTGCGGCTTTAAACTAAGCACACTTTTAAAATAACGTTATTAATGTATTAATGTTTTATTCTACTAAATGATATTGCTCCTAAGAAACCACGTCATTTTTATAACATTACACGTGACTTAACTCTTTACCTTATAGTTCTCTTCAAAATCATGTTAAAATATTTTCAACGAGATTTAACTGCCATTTTCTTGGGCCTATAGCGAGATCAAGAAAAAAAAACTCTTTTTATGCGCGTGAACCTTTTCGAATTGACGAGCGATGTGAATAATATTTCAATTAAACTGAAATTGTATACGAACTATCATTTCTGCTTTAAAATCCATATAGTTCTACTCAAATAAAACGGCAGTGCATCATAAAAGAAGAGAATTCTAGCGTAAAGAGAAATAAACACCTCATTTAATTCACATTTATAAAATTTCTTTGCATGAATGCGGTTACTTTAAATTGATATGTCATGCAGTTGTTATGAAAAGATTATAAATATATGAACGGATCATCAGAAATCACATTTGTTGTTAGGACTGAAATGAATCCGAAAGTGTTGAATGTCACAATGCGATTAGAAATGAACGATTCCAATGGGCTTTATTACACTCTTTGTGTTACAATACAATCCGGCCGGTATTTATATTCAATTCAATTCTTATCTTTAAAGCCTTAGCTAAAGAACATATATAATACACGGTTTACTTCTATCAGATATTGCAAATAATACACTATTTTGAATGTATTTATGTTATAGGGTTTTGTAAATTATCTCAGAGACACAAAAGAGTTGTTTAAAAAATCCACATTAAAACGACACGCTAACACTTGAAAAGACCGATTGAAAGAACTGTAATCTAAAAAGAAGTCAATTTGAATAAGCCATATTGTTTCAAATAACTTGTAAGTACTTGAACATAAACTTGTGGTATAATTATTGACAATAAGGCATTTGGATTAATGCAAGACAATCACATTACATGTTAAATCGCCTTTAATATGCACACTTATTCAATGTTATTTTTTTGAGATTTTAACTAAATCTTAGACAAGGAAAATCAACCAAAACAAATCTATTTTTTAAACATATAGTTTTTTTTATTATAATTGCAATTTCATATTAGTAATACATGGTAAGGACGTAATCATTATACAGTGTAATTTTTATTTAGAACATTTTATAAAAAAGTACATAAAATGCATTATATTTGAAATAAAAAAATGCATTATATTTGAAATAAAAACATAACAACTTTAGGGATATACATTTTGTATACAAGATGACAACCTTTTAAGACATCATTGAGACTTTTATGCATATTTAACATCAACACGTGCTTTGTATTAATGCTCGTGCAAATCGTTTAAATGAGAAGTCAGTTCACATATTTAAGGGTTCACCATTTCTTGAATACTTCAGTAAGATTTCAGTGTTAAAAAATTATCACGTTTTACTAAATTGTAATATTTGAATGTTGTGTTGAAGATGTACAAGTTGCTGTAGAAAAAAGCTAGCACAAGGGACATCAAAGATTCTATATAAAAAAATGTAAAAAAGGTGTCCTCTCCTCCCTTTAATGATGTACATGCTAGTTTATAGGACCCAATAACAGATGGAAAGGAGCCATATGACATTAATAACGTCGGTGTAATATAAACCCTAGCAAAATAAATGACAGCAGTGTCATGTGACATCGTGATTTTGTCATTTAAAGTTGGTGTTCAGAATATCTGGTATTGATCCCAGGCATTTTATCTTAAATCAATGGCTTAAAATTAAAGTTCAAATATTTAAATATTGACCTTTAGGTATTCAAATATAAGATAATACAATACTCAAATATGAAATAATCGAAGTACAATTAGTTTCTATTTGTTCTAACAAATAATGTTATTCGACAATAGAGCGCATATGTGTGTAAACAGACTTTTAATTTGACTGTTGAATGAAATGACCAGTTTGATTAATAAAAAAAAATCACTACATGTATTTTTATTCTTGTTGCGTCAAAAATAAACTTGTTCCAATAACCTTATAACTAGTTTTAATCAATATCAAGTTAAAAAGGACAATATATTAGCGTAGACACATTTCTTGAATAGCTGTTAAATTGGTCTCCAGAATAACTTTAGGAACAATCAGTAATTTTTAATTCTCAATAATTCGGACTGAATCTGTACGCACAAATAAAAAATTTACAATAATTTGCAAATGAATTCTTCGTCGTAATTGTTCACAAATATTCACTGCATATTTGTGAAAATTCATAAATCTTCCCCTTTATTTGAATACAAATATATTTAACATGTGTTCTATTGTTAACAAATATTGTGATCCATTAATCTGATACTTTGAATCAGTCAGGATAGGATCATGTAGGGATATAACGATCTGTATAGATTACACAAACGTCCATCATTTCAATACAAGTCAAATTTATATAAAACTAAAACATAATATGTAGTGCGTTATGTAAGTTTTCAAGTTTTTATTGATACTTCAAGTCCCGACTGGGCATATGAGAAAACAACAATATAACAAAACATTAAAAGGCAAATTAAAGTGAAATATAGTGAAGTGAAACCATGGCAATGCTATGAACATATGTACATAAGGAAACAAGTAATAGAAATAATATAATTGCAATTTTAGAATGAGATAATTATGTATTATTAGAACAAAAATATTTTGCGTACAGAAGATCGCTTTAAGTTAAAAAAATTTGCTTTCACTATTCATTTAATTTTAGAATGTTTATATAATTACCTTTTCATCTAAAAATAGATAAACTATCAAGCTATGAAGATGTCTCATTTTGAAAATGATCAGTTTCGTTGTTTTAAATATTCATCAATGTCAATAGAATACGAGAACTGCTCCTTACTTATCAGTCCTTATGACCATTCTTGTCAGATCTAAACTATAACTTAACATCAGCTAAAAAAGAAAAACTGTGCGAATTCGTGAACTTTGTTTAGACAGTTTTTTGTACATCATACTAAAGAATCATAAGCATGCTCTTTATTCTGATCTGATGAAGAAATAACTTTACAGCATAGATATATAAATGTCGCGTGCCATACCATGTGACATGTTAATGACGTAATATACTACGTGGAATATCACATATTTAAGCTATAAGTACATAAGCATTAGCGTCCTCTAAAGACGAAGGGTTAACATCGGTTGCCTCTCATACAATCATATGACGTAAACAACAAAGAAGCACAGTCTATTTCCCAGTAATCATTCCATGATTGTCAGTATCAATTTCCACGGATGTTTATATTTAATAATATCAACTCAATCACAAAACGATAACCGTCTGCTTGTGGTACGAAATCATAGCATGAAACAATAACAATTTAGACTATATAAGTGTCTATATATATATTAATTCGACACTGTATTGTCGTATAGTAACTAGAGCTGATAAATAACATCACACCTTTTTGAACGTGAAGTTTCAGAAAACAAGAGCTAGATTCAAGATATCAGAAAGGAATGCATTAATTCTAGTTCTTGTCTAAACCACACATTCATAATGATTCTTGGAATTATAACTAACGTCTTATATTCAAGGCCGTCTCCTTTGATAGTTTTTTACCATTGGTTACGTGACTTTAGCAACGGAACTATTTTCTCAAGGAATTATTCTTCCACTATGATTTCTAAGGAATTTGATATCGTTATAACATAATGAAATTAAGGGAAGATACAACATTCAATTACGTTCATTCTATTCATTAGCATATTTACAGCCATATTGTCTGGAAATAATAGAATTTCAGTATAATATTTACAGTAAAACAGAGAAAAAGATGTTCAGTTCTTTACTGAACAGAATATCATAAAATGTGCTTTTCACGTCATATAATAGATATAACTGAGCTATGAAATTGTTAATCTTTAATTACGTGTAGAGCTGTATTTTGTATAATTTTATATGGTCTACTAGTATATGACCCATTGTCATAAAATTGTAACAGAATAAGATCTTTGTAATGGCAGATATATAGTCACAACAATTAAAGGTAGAATTTAAACATAATCTGTTATGGAGACCTTGCAAGTATTTGAAATAGCTTCAAACATGAAATATAGTCTTTAAATAAATTGGTTTAAATTATAACAATACTTATACAAGTATCGGGCGAATATATGCAGATTAGAGTAAATCGTTGTTTGGATTATTTTGATGCCCTGGTTGGGCGAATGACCTCGATAAAATTTGTTTAAATAGATTCTTTATTCAAACAAGTAATATCATACGTTTAGGACAATATTTAATGACCAATATGAAAACACAATCTGCAAACAAAAGCTTGTAATAGCGTCATGTTTATCGGCATTTATTTTTTATTGCATACAAATTTTACTGCGTTAAGTTCTAGCGAAATGAATTTATATTTCACTAAAAATAAAGCATGATTTCTGTAATGAAGTATTTCCTGTGATGGGTTGTTTGTTTCAAGTAAGTTTTTTCATTATGAATATTACAAGTATTGAATGTTATCTTCTGGTGTCTCGTCTTTGACTTGCCTATGTGGGTTCGAACATCGCCAGTGATGTTTTCATGTTAGGCAGCTGTTCGGAAGGTCGGTGGCTCTACTCATGTGACCGTTCGTGCCTGATCAATGCACGAAGAAGTCCCTGAGATATTTCTCAACCATTCAATCTGGAAAGTCACGATATTACCTTTTATAGTTTTATAGTAAAAGTAAAAAAAATCCAGCTTTTAACCAAAATGTTTTGTTTGATTTTAAACACATGTACCTGAATATAAACAGGGTCCTTCAAATCTACTTGGAAATAAAAAGTATAGCATCCAGATATAGTAGCGATCAACATCACCAAAAGTGAAAATTCATGCTATTACCATGTTATAGATTAAGTTAAATTTGTAAATGATTGTAACCTTTTTTATGTGAAATGTTTACAAGAAATGTTTACAAATGCCAGCAAATGTATAAAATATTCCCATATGTTCTAAAATCTAATTCTACAATATTTTGTTGGCCAAATTATTCATAAAATATTCAAACTGTTTCTATAAAGAATATGATAAAGCACCCTACATCGTGACAAAAGTGGCAAAATACATGCATAATTAATACGTCCAAATAATACTGTTTCTGTAACTGAAACGACAAAGCGAAATTAGTTATGCACGAAAGTCACGCGAAACATGAATCAGTTAGAAATTACATGAAAACTTTGCAATGCAATGTCACGAAGAAGAAAAAATAACAAAATATAAGCAAAACAAAACAAGAAATAATCAAACTATAGGAATTATACCCTGTAAGAAATGGGAAAAGACGTTTGAAAGTTATTTGTATCAGACAGACTTTGCATAAGTTTATATTCGAAAGGCATGAAAATAATCAAGAGACACTTTATAGATATCAGAGCCCGATAAAAGTGTAATTTTGTTGTTTAACAAATCAAGTTACGTTTTATTTCTACTTGACACGCACTACTTTTTTTCGGCTTTTCGTATTTAAAAAGAGCATATCAGTGTAAAGTCAATCTGCCAATTACAGAGATTCAATTAAAAAAGAACCTTACGAATGTGATTGGATAGAATGTCATGATTATAAGGAAAAAAAAAGAAAAGCTTTCCAGCTATATCAATAAAGTAAGATATTCGGTAAAAAATCACAATTACTTCTATTCCCCTTGATTAAAAGACATCATCAGACAAATGGTAAATGTGAACATCCTTTGATACACATACTCAAAACGAATCAAAGAGATTGTTTAATTAATCACGGCTTCTTCCATTCTCATCATACAAATACCCCGCTTTTCCAGTAATTTCATTGATGGAATATCTTATTTGATTGGGCGGTGTAGACTATAAACAATCTTTAATGTGAAAAAGTAACTTTAGCAAAATGATTTATTCTTACTTACATAATTGAAATACCTGCTGTCAGTTGCGGAAGCTGCGTGAATTCAGCAAAGTGCAAAGGTATATGTGCAATCTCTTTAATCTTTATACAAAATAAACACATCATTTCCGTGACGTGCTGAAAGAAAATGGTAGCAAACCATACCTGTTGATGGTGTAATATTTAGTCAACAACAACCCAATAAATTATAAAACATAACCAAAAATCATTTAAAAAACACAAAGAAAATATCATTCGTTATTCTAAAAGGAAGCGGGACACAAAGGAAATTTGGGTGGGGAAAAACACACACAATAATTATGTAGATATAAAATACTGCAAAAAGCAGGAATACATGCAAGAAAATGAAACCATCTATTTCAGCAAATTTTAGAAAACACATATTTTTGAGTTTTGCGGACCAGGCGATTGTTTTATTGATGTTTTCATTTAGTAATGTTACACGTTGTTTTAATTCTCAGAATAATTAACAAATACATTTTCTTGTTCCAGACTTTGAACGTTATAGTTTTTATTGAGTGTAATTTGTTTAACACGAGGTCTGATGCCAATAGAAGTTCATTTTATCTATAACCAAAATTGACATGGTATGTACATGTACCTTGTACATGATATGTGGTGTGAGGTTAGTTAACGCTAAAATCATATAAAAAGGTTTCATTTCTTTCAGGTATGTCTTCGTTTACGTCCTATGAACGAGGATGAGATTCTGCTCGGGGCCACGTGCATTGCTCATAAAGTTGAGGACAGGGTAAGTGCCCATTATTTAGTAATTTAATCAACTCTATAGAACCGCCTGGCACATCGTTTATAAGTTTATTCTATCAAAAATAACAAAAATATTAAGTTCAAGACATGCCGAATTTAGTGAGTCTGTTATCAGAATTAAATGATACAAATCCTAAAGTGCTACAATGTAAATGATAAGTTTGATTTTTTTGTATTATCTACTTTACATGTAATAAATCTGGTCTGATAAAAGTTTCAGGGAACACCCACTTTTTTCTGAATATAAACCCAATTGTAAAAATAATGTTCTAGTGTTTGTGTCATTTTTTATTTTACCTACATTGTTTCAAATTGACACTTAAAAACCTTTGTTTATTTCAGATGGTTGTTCTCATGGACCCAATGGAGGATCCAGAAGATATTCTTCGCGCAAACAGGTCCAGAGAAAAGCAGTTTGTGTTCGATACCTGCTTCGACGGAAGTTGCAATCAGGTAAAACACGTTTTACAAATGAGCCGCGTCTTGCGATTTGGATAATTTTGGTGTGGGAGACGATGTCGGCAAAATTACTTCATAACTGGGCCATCAACTTAATACTTCTTTTGTTATTTTGTCGCAAAATTAGCAATGCTTCTTCACTAATTATATGACCTCTTAGCTTAAATTTGAACAAAATGATTCTTTTAATAAGAAAAACTTGGATTTTATACCAAAAAGAATAAATCGCACTTGACGTGACTCAAAATTTATCTAAACTTAATATATTACAGTCATTGCTTTTAAAAATTATTTAAAATAGACTTTAAAAAATATATCAATACATTTCATTGTCTGAAATATTGTATTCTATTTCAATTCTAGATTTAATGATTTTCTTTGGTTTCTTTAATCTATACTATTTTATTATATTGTGCTAGCTGGAGTTTATATTACATTGAAAGTATTAAACTGGAAAAGTTGAACTGAAAAATGGACTGCCCTTTGATCTTAATGGAATCACTCTTGTGCAACAAGACGTTTCTTTGCAGAAACAAAAGAACCGTGTGCCTTTTGTAATACATGTATATCATATAAATGAACGTATCAGCATGTTTTGTATGACTTTTAATCGCGTCCATTTGATTGTTATATGATACCTTTAATATGAGCAGAATAAAATGGTTTGATTACAATCGATAAAATTTCATATAATAATATTATCATCGGCAGACACAAGTATATACGCAAATTAATTATTTTAGAAACAGACACATGGATTATCTGCCGTTCTTGTGCCTGGTTAAATTCACACGTGCATGTTGTTTTTATTTCAAAATAAATCATTGTCTATAAAATGGCACTCATTAACCGCCGTCGGAAGTAAGATAACACGCGTATCCCGTGAAGATCTGCGAATTTTCAGTTCATTTTAACAATAACTCGCATGGATTAAGTATTTTTCCATTTGTATAAGACATCCTGGCATTTATGTGGAACAGGTCTGCCAAATCTCAACATTATCCTTTGTCTAAATGCTAATATGTCATCTTCATACGAAATCCGAGGCCAATAAATTGATGATTTTTATATTTTTAAAACGACGATCCCGGAAGAGATGATAGATTTATAAAGGTTTTAGCATTTACTCTGCCATTACACGAAATCATTATCACAGAAATTAATATTACAGCAAAGCTTTCACACATCAATATATTTTGTATACGCTTTACATTGAATAAATAAATAGATAAATAATTGTGTACGTACAATGAAACGCAGATTTAAATTATCTAACTGTAAAGATACATGCGTTTTAAACGGATTACCTTAACTGCTAGGATTAATTTAAAGTTTATTTATAATGATTAATTCTTAAGCCACATGACATGTTTGAATATGGATATCTTGCGTAATGCATTGAAATCGGGCATTCAGTTTTGCGTAAACGCGTAGTTTATATTGCTATTACATATGTCATTTTTGACCTGAGTGCCCGAGTTCTTAAGAGATTATTTATCTGATTAAAATATAGGTCACATTAGCAACTTATTGAAATTGCAAATTATGCAAATGATAGATAGAGATTTAAAGCCTTTACAAGCGTTATTCCATAGGTGTACTTATGTATCTAACTTTTCTCTTCTACCCCACGTGGCCAGACTTCTGTTAAAAATCCCTCATATCGTCCTTCAGATGGAATCTAGCTAAAGCTACTTTGTGTTTGTTTTGTCAATATGATTATATCAAAGTGAACATAATTATTTCTATCGTAATCAGATAATGAATACAATGTGTCAATGACAACCTATAGAAATATGATTACACTGACAGTTAACAAGCCAGATTTGTCGTAATGCAAACTTCTCATATTAGTATATCATTATTATAACGAAGCGCTAGATTTTAGCCTTTCTTCCAGCAACTATGCCGAGGTTAAAATATATGGTTTATTTTTCGCATTTCAGCAAATCGCTATGAATCTGTTACTAATGATGAACATTAAAATAAGGTATCATCAGATCTAATTGCACTGGAGTCACATTTTTATATTTGCTCTTACTACCGTAAGTGTTGACAAGGCAGATTTAAAATCGCATGTTCCAGATTAGTATCATTCAATTGCCAAAAATATGTAACGTAAATATACTCCGTTCATAAAATTATATCAATGTCATTTTTGATATCAAAATAGCAGAATCCTTTTGCTCAAATATATTATCTTGTACTCTTATATTTTGGGTAAAATGAGTGGACAAATGCATAATGGCGTGAATTTTTAAAGTGAAATTAAGGTACAATCTGATCTCCAAGAAGCATAGCATGCGATTCTTAATAAGTAACACGATACAAGGGTTGTTCAAAGAAAAATAGGACTGCAGCTTATTTTACTATCATCATACATATAAGGAAACATCTTAAATTTAATCAAATATAAAAACGCAAGAGTCTTGGTCCTTTTTCTTTTTGAAACAACGCTCATACAATTTGATAGCCTGTCATTGATAACAAAATATTTTACCACAGTACCAATATGGCAAACAAAGAAATATGAGCATAAGTATACAATCACATTTACTGAAGAACCGATGTTATAAATGTCTGTAGCTTATGATTGTTACTCAACAGGCATGTATCATATGTCTCATCTAGCTTTTCGCGTCAGTCAAAATAACTACTTAAATTCTAATCTATCATCACATGTCTGTTCCGCTTTACGAGCTTTCAAACAGCTATCTAATTGAATCACAATTAAAGAAAAGGAAATTCGTAAAGTTATTTTGATACGAGTAATTTCTTCAATGAAACATTGAAAGTGTATTTCGTTAGATAATCAACTTTCAAATAATCAAATTTGCAAAGGTTTTTTTATATGATCAATTCTTGCAATAAAAGCCCTATAAAATAATGGGCGTTATAAGACATTGTCAGGCAATACTGCCTATATAAAATAATCATGATTTTCTTATTAGTTAATTATTTGGCTCGTCTTCAAACCACTGATCCAGTTGAAGATATATTTCCTTTGAAATTAACACTTGCGTTGAAATCAATCTATTGAATGAGATAGTTTTGAGGGGGTAATTACCCTGTTGGAATACATAGCATTGTTTTAATGTCAGCAGGTCAGGTCTATGTTACATTTATTGACTGACATTACAATTTGTCTTGTAGGTTACCTCTATAGTTACCGACTTTTGATTTCTTACAGCGACATATTGATTGATCAATGTTTCCAAAATGATTAAGAAATTTATCGAATTATTACTGCAACTACTAAATCTTTTTTTATTTTGATATAACTATATGTTAATTTAATTAAAACATGGTATGACAGATCGTATTGGAAGAAATACAATTGTATATGTGTGGTTTATGTTAAACAAACAGTTTCACTTTGACTGTAGGTTACCTGATATAGTATTTTCAAAATTAGACCAATTTAAGCCGACATTTATCGTTTCTATGCTGATTTAGTTCGACATTTTACGTTTCTATGCTGGTATAAAGGTAAAATGCCGTGTAAGCTGTACTTAATTGAGTTTAATTTCTTTTGCATTTAGTTTCGTACCATTAAGGCCTCTTTAGGTTCAAATGTTCCTTTCGGAGAAAGACTACATGTCACGCCGCACCGGTGGCTCATAAGGTAGAATCCATGACATTTTCATGATGAATTTTGATGAGTTCTAAAGTAAATAATATAGCAAGTATTAATGGCAGCAATAAACTTCATCCTTATGTATTTTCAGGAGGATGTTTATGAGTCGTCAACAAAATTCCTTATAGAAAACGTGATTACAGGGTACAATGCCACTGTCTTCGCATATGGTGCTACAGGTAGGAAATTAAAATATTACAAGTATACCAATACGCAGCCTTTATTTGCTATTGTACCATTTAAGCAGATGATCTTCTGATGTATGTCTAAAATATGTTTTAACAATAGTTTGCAAATTACAGAGGCGTATAAAACTCCCATGTTATAAAGTACTTGAATTAAATTTCCATTCAGCATAAAAATCAAGCTGTTTATTACCTATATTTAGAGATAAAAGCATATTATTATGTTTGATACATACTGTAACTGTCTGCTTCTTTTTAGCGCCTGATCGAACAATAATGTATTCGAGACTCATAAAAGCTGACACGCCCACTTATTGTACTTCCCTGAAAAAATTTAATTGAACATTGCAACTGAAAGTTGAACAATCAGTAGGGTTAACATATGAATTTACCCAATCAAATTTAAATAGTCAGGGTGTAGTTTAATGCTTATATTACAACATTCCTTAGGGAATGAAACGCAAACCCCTGGAGACTTGGCTATCATATGATAAGCAAATGACGACCCTGTAAAATCCTTCGTGTCAGTACAAACTGTTCTCAAACTTTTATCATCATAAGAATGTTGCATTTGTTTAATTATGATATGATACATATGATATATGGTATGTGATAAATGATATATAAAATGATATATGATATGTAAGACAAGATATACGATATAATATAATGATATGATATATGGTATACATTATTATATGATATCTGTCAGGAGGGTTTGTACTATTTTATATTGAAAAGAATATCTTAGCAGATATATTCGTATATAGGCAAATTTAACAATATCCATGAGTAAAAGCGTATAAGTCAAAATAATAACTGGTGGCAACAGCTTTAACAGTATATTAACAGGTCATTAATATACCTTCAATGAATGAGTACTATAACTCGCGAGACTAATGTGCAATATTATGATTTTTTATGTTTTTTTTGTTTATGAGAAATTGTTCAGCAAAAGTAATAGAAACGTCAAGAAAAATCCTGTTTTTATCAAAATATATCAAGTACATCCATTTCATTCATTTTCAGTTTATATTTGAATGTCGTCTGTAGCATGTTAATATATACAGACTGTATCAATGTTTTTTGAGACGATAAAATTATGTCAATTTACTTAAGTTCTATTTCAAATATTGATTATCTTGTATATGTATTTGTCCAACGAAACATTACCCTAAAGTCTTATTGTCAACAGAAAAGTTCAAATCAAGTGATATTATGTTTTCCTGCACTTTTATATATAATAACGTCATAATATTGCCGTCTACACACTGGTCGAGTTTCGCTTTGTTTTTTGAATTTGACAAAATTAGCGTAAAGGCATTTTCACATGTGTTAAAGTTACAAAATGACTGTCTGTTTTTGTATCAATCTATTCATTTTCATATTTAGCAAAGTGTCATAAATGATTTTGGACAGAATAGTTACTACTAGTATATCAATAAACCCTCAACTATAAAGTTCTGTTAAATAGAATCTTGGCACTCCTTTCTTTGTTTTACATTTATCTAGATCCATTTGCTATTTTCTTGCAACTTCAAATATCAGGCATAGTTTTGATTGCTTCAATTAAAGATATTGAGATATCATAAAGTACAATCAAAACGCCTTTTGAAACCCTTCAGACAGTAATTACTGTTCTTCTGAAGTGTTATAAATTACATTCCATTTCATCTAAACATCTATTTTAAATTACTGTCATGAATTTTAAATTGCATGTCATTTAATCAACACATTTATTATTATAAATTCTATTAAACTGCTTGTATAAACATACTCTAGAACGTTTAAAACTTCAAATTGTATTTTGTATAGGTATAAAACTTGAAATTCTTCTTTTAACCACTTTGTAACGCAAACATGTTTGTTTGTTTTATAAACCAATACGTTATATGTGTATTTAAACGGCGATATTTACATTCCGAATGATTTGTTGACTCTAGAACAATTGTTGTTAAGAAAACCTTATCTAAAACCCCTTTTCTCCTATTGTACATTTAACTTGACTTTAAATGCGTAGATATATGAATCACCTTTGCTTTTCTATAGCGGTATTAAGGTAGATATTTCGGGGACTTATTGACATAAATATTCTACTGTGAAAAATACATTAAATAGATAGACTACTATAATTGAAACCTTTGAAATAGTGTTTGAACAATGTTTGGGAATAGGATGTATCGTCTTTGTATACCAAGCCTTCATAGAATTAAGTACTTTTACAATACAAACATTTCCTGTTTTCTGTTTTATCTCAAAGCTGTAACTTCGTACTTACAATCAAGGACTTGTTTGTACGTTACTGGAGATTTTATTATGCTTTCTTGTATAACAGTCAAGAAAGACAACAAGTGGTCAGTATTCCAGCACGGTAACTATAGTACAAATCCCCCTTTATTGATGATATTGTAATAAGTCCAGGGATTTATTTATTCTACTTTAAGACTGGTTTTTTGTACAATTTTTAGTACAAGTTGTACGAGTAGTCTTGAGAGCATTAAATCTATATATAGATGGAATGGAAATGTATAGAAAATATGGTATATAAAGTAATCTTTAAGCTTTAATATGAAAATGACCTGGATATAAATAAAACATCTTAACGACTTAAATAAAAATAAAACATCTTAACTCATCATTCGTCATCAAACACATACTATTTATTCTAAGACATAAAGTATCTATTAATCTTATAAAATATACAACAACAGCCAACATAGACTGTCAGCTACTCCAACTCTTCCTAGTATTAATCTTCAATATAATTTTTATTTGAATAAAAAATAAAAGAAACTATAAGAACTCTTCAGAGAAACTTTATAAAAGTTCGACAAAGAAAAATAGGAAAACCAGTTAAATTATGTCACATAGTATATCTCCTGCACCTCATGTACAGTACAATATATTGAATATGACTTGGTTTATTTATATATTGCATGTAAGACATATCCTCAATGACTTTCATTAAGTTTATTTACGTTGAAATCAAACGTGTTATTTTATGACAGGTGCTGGAAAGACATATACTATGTTGGGCACAGATGATGACCCTGGCATAATGGCTCGTACACTTAATGACCTCTTTATTTCCATGGATAAAACTCGGGAAGACATGAAATACAAAGTAACAATGTCATACCTTGAGGTGAGAAGTCACATAACGCCAACACGACCCTAGTGTCATTTACATTTTTTCTTATTTTGTGACTGACAGAAATAGAACTATATACATTTCACACATCAATTCAGCTTAGTTGTATTCCTATGTTTAAATTAGTTTTCATTATTTTCATCATATTTTCATTGACGTACGTGCCGAACAAATTGTATACATACAAAACAACGGAAAAGAAATACTAATAAATTAACAATATGAGTATGAATCAAATAATGTATTGTTTGTTGCTATTAAAACAATGGGCGAGTATGTCTATTAAGTATGCCTTCATATTTACAACAGATATACAACGAAATGATCAGGGACCTTCTGAACCCAAGTTCGGGTATATTAGATCTCCGAGAAGATTCCAAGGGTGGTATACAGGTTGCTGGTCTCACTGAGGTCAAAGCAAGATCAACCGATGAGGTGTGTAACCTTTCCAAACTTATTTTACAATTTAGAGATTTGCTTTGTTTCTATTATGATAAAAACGTGGGGAATATACCAACATTTTCACTTTCCCGGATAATTCTTCAATTTTACATATGTATTGTAGATTTTCTTGTCTTAACGTTTATACAGTATTTTTTACAGTATTTATTTTTTAATTTATAGACATGTTGTTTCATTGTATTCGTTTAGGCAGTTATTCTAATGTGTCACTGTGTTACAAATTAATGCAACTTGGAGTTAAAACTCTGTTACTAAACTGCTTGTGATATTAATATCTTTTATCTCTTGTTATCCAAGATATTGATATTTACGTCACAAATTTGCATGCAAATGTTCTTTTTTTACGCCTCCTGCTATGAAAATAAATTAAAACATGATATCAACACGCAGTGATGACAAATATTGGAATAAACCTTCTGTAATAATAATGTTGCAGAGTCGTATTATATAGATGAAAAGCAAACTTGTTTAAATGGAAACATTATAAAATGGGAGACTTGTATATATGAAATGGTTGTAGCTAATTAAACCTGAATCGTGATAAAATAATTTCAACATTTAAATTATTTACTGGTAATTAGATCATATTTATTTGAAAATTGATTATTTCTCCCTTCGAACACTTAAACATAACTTTGCTGCCTACATATATGAATAGTTATGACGATATGACATGTGTCATTACGGTATAACATTATTTATTAATTTCAATTTATCACTATCTGCCACATGAGCTCTGATGCAGTACATGTGAATATTATCATAACAACGAAAGGCTGGTCTAATACAGTGTTATTCTGTGTTTAGTTTATACTGTAAAGTGCTTTTATGGCACTATGAATTATTCATTTGGTCTCTTGCAATTCTTTTCCATGTTTTTTCTTTCTTTTTTGTTAAGCAATTCTAATGAAATAAATGTATTTCAAATGAAACACTTATTCTCAAGTCAGAAGTTCACAAGGACATCTTTAATAGTCCATGTATCGATCAAATACAGATGTTTCTTTTGATGTAAACAATGACAGCATAATAAAACCCGAAATACATTTACCGTGAACTATCGACCTTAAACACATTGTCCATCTTGCTAATTACATTTGATGGTCATTTTAGAATCGGTACGTTCAAGACCGCTGTTATCTCATGTTAAAGTCAAATAATAATATAATAAGGCGAAGAAGAAATGTGTCGACGTCGAGCTACCCTGGGCCACTACCACCTTTCTTTATTTGACACCGGTACTGATAGAAAAAAGCTCTAAGTTTCCGTCACTGTTAAGCTGAAATAGACGTGTATAAACTAACCATTTTTTTCTTTAAATTAGTTTATCTGTTTACAAATGTAGACCAAGTTGACCTAATAAGATGTACAATCAAGCGGTGACTTTCCTGTAGAAATTGTGAAGCATTTACCAGCATGATAATTGAATACAATTGCTATATGTCCTAATTTCATAATTGGTAGCAGTATTCAATGGCAACGATGCCTAAAGGGCATTTCCTGTTAATAGAGCAATTGCGAATCAAAGATCTAAGTTGATATATGCAATGACCAGTAAAGACTTAATTTAATGTTTGTAGTTTAGGGGACTTTTATTATCGTGGTTAGGTTAATAATTCAGGTATTTGATAGATCCCTACTCTGATCCTTTATTTGAATAACAATACATTTAACCTGTGCTCTTTTGTTCATAAATATGTTGTGGTGAAATTCTGTTTGTATCAATTAGAATTAGGTAGGTCAGGGACATATTGGCCTCAGTTGATATACATTATATTTTCATGTTGATACATGAGATACTCTCTTGTACAATACTGTGATTAATCATTTATATTATAGAACCTTTATTGTCATTTTGATAAAATGTATTCTCATAATTATAGGATACTCATGTTATTATGTTGAGAAGATGCATTTATATAATGATTCTCTAATTACCATGTTAATGAAATATATCCATTGTTGAAAGTCCTATTGTCATGTTGAAATTGATTGCATTCACATACACTGTACTTATATGCTAGTTATCATATTGATATACATTGTATTAAATATTAGGGTATGTAACAATAGTAATTCTATATATTCAGGTAATGAGACTTCTGTTACAAGGTAACACACAGCGTACCCAAGAACCTACAGCTGCAAACAAAACTTCTTCTCGGTCACATGCTGTGCTTCAAGTTATTGTACGCCAACAGAATAGAGTGAAAAACACGATGCAAGAAGTCCGGACCGGAAAATTGTTCTTGATAGACCTTGCCGGATCAGAGAGGGCAGCTAATACACATAATAGAGGGAAACGGATGGTTGAAGGTGCACATATAAATAGGTCGTTGCTCGCTCTTGGAAATTGTATAAATGCATTAAGTAAGTAAATAGTACTTTTCATGCACTTTTAAACGACCAATCTCGGCTGTGTCTTACCAATCTTGACTGTGTCCTTTTTATAGAACTTTCGGTTGTGTCCCTTAATTTTGAATTGTACATTTTTACATGTCTGCTAATTTTTTATTGTCCAAAAAACTTTTGATAAAGCTTATAAGTTCATGTTTTACATACATTGTAGTTTAATCCATACATAAATGGAAAGACATGTGGTTTGTGTATACTAAAAAAGTCCACAGGCTATATGATATGGAAATAATTTCATAATATGATTACAAAAATATTTTGTTGGCATGATAAAATAACTGATTTTATTGTAGTTATTATTTTCATTTTCATTCACGATATGAGGCATTTTTAGCTGCAATAAAAATATACCCCTGTGGTTCTTTATGCCGTCTTAGAGGTTTGCTTGAAACTATCTTATCATTTTTATTGATTATCTCAATTGCTTTCAAATCCTCTGCATGCGGTTCGGTCGTAATTTCAGAACGAATGTGTCGTCTGCTTAATCACGTGGGATCTGCGAGTGCATCATTTATTAATGTTAGCATGCTTCGTTACAATCTGCAATATACCATTGACTTTAATTGCATTATCGTTAACAAAAAATATGTTACGACAAGCCTTGAAATTGCACCAACGTGGTTCAATTTGTGTCACGTTGTTTAGCTCGTATAGTGATTTACTGTCTCTTACCGGGTGCAATACGCTCGTAACATAGCTTATGGTATTTAATTTAGGTAATTTAGTGTAATAAAAATATATTATACTGATAGGGTATGTTATTAAGATCATCAAAGTTAATCAAGCAAAGAAGTAGACTAATTGATTTATTGAAGGAAGTTGATAGAAAATTCCGTGTACCGATTGCTTGATTTGGCATAAATACGTAGAATTTTTAAGCCCAGTAAAGTAACGGGCTCGTAAACATTTGTTGTTTTAACTTCATTATTCTCTGTTAATTGTTTGAATAGATCATCAATCAGATTACAATGTTAATAGAATGACTTAATGAAATATCATTAGTAGCACAATGGAATATTCCATGTCATATTATTGTTGGCAATATGAAGATTAAAACAAGAAGGTAGAGAATTATGCGTTAAAGTATAAGACTTTCGGAGTAATTTAGAAAAGTAATTCTTTACAATTGTTGAAACATTCACAATAACTTTGTATGTGTTGTTTTGTCCATTTGCTTTTAACACACTTGTGTTGTGTTTATTTTACAAACGTAAATTAGAAAAGAATGATAATTCTTTTAATCATTGCATAAAGTATTAAATATTAGAAAGGAAAACAAAACAAGAAAGAAAAGAAAAACAAAAGGCAAATACAATAGCAACAATTTCACTGCAGTTTTGCGCCTCATATCGCAGAGTTTTGTAGTGAAAATGTTAATACTGAGCATTAGCCCAGTCACCTGCTCGAACTAAAATTACTTTGAGACCAGTATAGATCCTGTCAAGTATGTTCACTCGTGAAGTATACTGTTGACTGACTTTAGTGAGATGCTCATCTTTGTATGCCAAATTTGATAATGGACAGTTAAAAGAATAGTAGCTGAACATTTACATTTTGAAAACACTCAGTATGTTAAGGGTTATTAAAAGGCAAAATTAATATTCGCGAAGACTTTTTTCTACGGTAAGCCCAACATTGACAGTGTTTGATATCATTTCGCAGCAGCTCATGTTCATTGGATATTTTAGTTTTTTCTTCTTAGCAACATAAAATTATTTGTTTAGTAAATACTATAAATATTTAACAATAATTGTACATTGATAACGACACGTTGGCACTAATAATTGATGCATGTCCTGATGCCAAAGATATTCATTTAACATCACACGCTGCAGTTAGCAGCTCTGTTTATAAATGCATGTATTTATACTTTGCAATTATCGTCTTAATTGCTTTGTTTCCGATGCTTTCAATGAATTTCAATTTATCTAAATTCTAAATAAAGAAAAAAAAAACTTCATAAAATTCTAAAAATGAATTGTTATTTGAATACGAGTAGATGTATATGTTTTATCATGAGAAACCTTGGTCAACGTCTGATTGACCCAATTGTAAATTTCGAACTTTTTGTAATGTTTTTGAGCGTGCGCCCCCATTGCCTGGCCAACCAACCCTTCCATACATTTAAGTGCGATTTGCACTTGTACATTTTCAGGAATGTTGTTGATGTATGTGGCTTGTTCAAGCCTATTTAAAAACTGGTTCAAAGTCTCACCAGGTGACTGTTTCATAGTGTAAATATCTAGACTTGCTTCTTTTTCAATTTTGAATTTTGCAACCAAAATATCTTTCAGTTCGTTTACTCTTTCTGGTCTTATGTTTTGCGATTCGTACCGTAATCTTGCCAAGCTTTTCAAATGCCAGACAAGTGATGCGACAGTTTCCCATGCACGTATATCTTTCTGTAAGATTTGTTTCTTGGATCCGATATCTAGAGTTTTGTAGAAAATAACTGACAATTTTATGTTGTCAAATTGTGTTTTTTTATTTGTAATCTTGTGGAGTTCTGAAAAAGACTTGAATAAACATTTCCATTGTATTATTAAAAGGTCCGCCTTCAGAATTGCTAATATAAAGCTAACACCAAAGAAAAAATCAATAATTTTCTATGAAAATTGAATTAGTAACGGATGAACATGGCGTGTCATATAGATAACACTGACGCCTCCAGTAGCCTACCATTAGTATAATTAGTAAGCAAGCAAAGGTTTAAAGAACTAAAACCGCCCTAAGAATTTATATCTCACGATCAATATATAAATGTCATTTTACTTAAACATTCAAACAAATTAGTAAATAACATACAAAGTGGGTGTTCTGTTCCTCCAATAAGAAAACTGGGATGACAATTCCGTCCCTGAATGAAATGTTGATCGAAGCAATCACATAAAAGAATGTTAAACATAAATGGAACTTTATAAAGGAGATCAAATGTATCCCACTAATAGTTTGTTGAAGTTGAAGGCAATATAAAAAACATAAAAAAGCTCTAATATGACCAATTTATCCACACTTCAATGGACACATCTTGGCATTAAACGTAGACATGATATCTAAGAAATAAAAATATCCAGCAATATATTTTACAGATCAAACAGTCCATTGAGTTTATTGCAAATAAGGTATTTTTAGTTTCAGTTATTCACTTTCAACAAACAAAATAGATGAACAAATAATCGCTGTTCAAACTTGACCTTGTCTTGTTGCCCAGAATTCTTGACTCTAAGATTGATGTCTGAATTTTTTAGAGTAGAAATGCTGAGTCACTTCTGAAAAGATGGGGTTTTTTTTCAATTATCATTACTCAAAAACGGCTTTTTATATTTGATATTTTAAATTAACTTATTTTATATATTAACACAAACTTAATTATTTTACATCACATCAAATGTTACGGTATTGATGAGGTGATATTTACAATTCAAATTTTATGATATTGTTAGAACATTTTAAACATTTTAAATTGTATAGCATGACTAGGGAATTCTTTTATTTAGTGTTCGTTGCCGCTGAATTCCCACATAAACAATGTTACTGACAGTTTGTTCAAGTGATCACTTTAAAAATCAATCATTGTTATTATCCCCGGTTGTTGTTTCAAATTTACATGTCATCAAATATTAAAGCAACACGTTAATGCATTCAGAACAAAGTTTTGCTTAGTAATACTTTCATTGTTAACTCTGACATGACAGGAACTGTATAAATTTCTATGAAAAGTACGATGCGGTCGTTATCAACGACTCTATTATCGTTGACATTAGCAGGTCATTTTGTCAAATTACTAATAAAATTATCTTCTTTTTTTTCAAAAAGACCAATACATTCACAAGGAACACCTAATGATTAGACATATTTAACAGGTTTACAAATTTTAATTGTAAAACAATATTATTACAAAATGTATATATTTTCCTATGATATCACAGTTACTATTTGAATAAAGTAAAAAGGTAGAATTGCACTTAAATCCAATACATGTACTAAATTAATTATAAAAATTAACTATTTCTTTGACCATCGATATATGGAGATATTGTTTCAAAACACTCAAGAATGGGTAAGGGGTCAGTCTTTTTTATATAAAATCAACATGAATGATTTTTTATGCTTTTAGGACAAATGTATGTAGATGTTATGTCGACTTTTTCTTTTTAACACTCATAATTCTTCTTGAATGTTAAGCATGCAATAGAAGATTTTGGTTGCTGCCACTTTACATTTTGTCGGGGAATAAAAAAAAGTGAACGATTTTATAATAAAGGAAACAATTTCCTCGTTACCTTATATTTTAATAATGATGTATGATTTTTTCTCAGCGGATAAGAATGGCAGAGGCTACGTGAATTACCGGGACAGCAAGCTAACTCGTCTACTGAAGGACGCACTGGGCGGCAACTGTAAGACCGTTATGATTGCCCATATATCACCAGCAAGCATACATTTTGAGGAGTCTAGAAATACGCTTGTTTACGCCGACAGAGCGAAACATATCAAAACTAAGGTAATTACTTCACGAACTGTAGTCCAAATTACTCGACTATAATGCTATCTCTGGTAAAAATCTAATAATAATACCTAATGTAATACATGAATAACTCATCTGTTATTTGACCAATTGTTGTTTGCCTTTGAAGTCGCGTGGTGTCCTGATTATTTCTTTTCATTTATATTAATGAAACAAAAAATTCCTCATTACAAAAACACTGAAAATTTTATGCAATGTCGGCATTATGACCCTTGGGTATTTCCTAATGATAGTTTTAATTACAGAAAAACTAAGTTAAAGAGAGTTGGTTATCTGTTTGATTTTTTACAATTATGAATGCGATTTTTATGGTATTTTAATTACATACCATTTTAATGTATTGATTTTAACTTATATATAAAGTACTTGTGTCGATTGAGCCGACACTATCTTACTTATGCCACATGTCTGAAATACCTATTTAGAGATGACTATCAAATTATAGTATGTTTTGGCAGGAGTGAAATGATCTCTTTTTAATTCAAATCTTTTAAAGTAAGATACATTTCTTATACCGATAATAAGGCCTTACATATCTTACATATTCATTAATATAACGAAGCGGGTGATATAACTATACATGTATTATAAATTGTTGAATTTACTAATCATCAATTCAGGTCCGACGAAATGTGACAGATGTGGCGTACCATATTGCCCAGTACACAAACATCATACAAGAACTTCGAGATGAGATCAACCGGCTTAGACATAAACTAAATAACCCTGAAAGTGCCAGGCGAAAGTCAAATATAGCAGACATTCAGTCTGTACAATGTATGTTTTCAATTTTGTATCATTGTAATGTTCCTCATTCTGTTTTATAAATAAAGCGTTCATCTTTTAATAACAAGTGTATAACTCTGTATAAAGTGTATTTATAGTTGAAAATTTACTTTTTATTTAAATATATATCTCTGATCAATTCATACCCAACTGGCTATCCTACTGTAATGAATGTGTTACTGGGTAACCTTTTCTCAAAAAATATTACAATAGCATCATATTATTACATAAAAATAGAGAGAAACAGAATCACAAAAAGAACTTCATATCGGCAAGATTGAAAATGTTGCAGTGTTGGTGTAATGAAGCCTCTTCATATCCGGTGTTACCGTCCATTCACTCAAACATCGGCTTTAGCAGAATTCAACACTGGAAAATGGTGAAATTTTGAAACATCCGCAGATGTGTTTATACGAGGTTATCATGTCGTATATGGAATTTGATTTTTTAGTATTCAATATCTTATAACAGTTAAGGACTTGCACTGGTCGGGTTGATTAACGCTTTCTATTACTTGGGGAACATACGTCGCTTTCCATGGTATGGCACTAACGTGTCACATTGAGGGGACCATGATAACCGCCATATGAATACATCTGCGGATGTTTCTAAATTCAAAATTTTACCATTTCATATTTAAATGTTGAATTCTGCTTAAGCCGGTGCTAGGGGTCGTGGACGATATAGTTTGCACTTCACAGTATCGTCCTTGAACAGGCTCAATCAAACCGAGCCTGCAACATTTTCAATTTTATCGTTTTGGACTTTCTGTAGGGATTCTTGTTTTCACTATATTATGGTATTTTTATCTATGTCATTTAATCTGGTGTAAAAGAGATACTTTACACGTATAATTATTTTCAGCTGAAGTGATGGAGGCTAAACGTAACGCTGACAGAGAAGTGATGAACAAATTGAAAGAACAATTACTAATATCCTTCAAGGATCAAATGGAGCTCAGGAAAAGTTTAATGGAACTGAATAATGCCACCATGGAAATCTCCCTAGAAACAAATCGCAATCAGAACATAATTTCGGAGTAAGTACAAGAATAAAAGAGGTTTAAATATATGATTACATGGAATTTGCCTGGAATGTTTTTAAGAATTGCAGGAATGTCCTTTTGAAGATTGGTGTTTATTCTTTTATCTTTATGTACTTGAAATAATCAACTAACACTATTATGGAAGAAAATGTTTAGAAAGTTAAGATAAAATGATTTTGTTTGCCCAAAACAGACAAATATTACCATTTATTATATACTTTGAAATGAAATATTGAGAAATATTGATGAAATAAAATGCGTATTTTCATTTTCCGTATTTTCACTGTAAAAATTTATTTTTCACTACAGTGAAACATATTTTCTGTATTTTCACTGGTGTCTTGTCGGACTACTTTCTTTTAAATTCTGCCAGTACTCAAAATTTAAGAGAAAGTTTTGCAAATTTTAATGTCCAGAAAGAGAAAAATGTATATAATAAACAGAAAATTCAAGTTTTTTCTATAAATACATGATTTATTTTCATCTTGTGGCATGAAAATTACCATATTTCACTCGTGGCTATCGCCACTCATGAAATATTTATTTTCATACCACTCGATGAAAATAAATCATGTATTTATAGAAAAAACTTGAATATCCTCTCTATATATGTAATTTTTATTACGAATTTATTGAATCATCAGATATCCGTCTTGTAGGCAAAAGGTAGCACTGTGTTACTGACCCGTCTTATCGGCAGAGAAAGGGTAAATCAACCATTTTTTTCCATTTTTATGATTCCTAAAATATTGTTGCCATCAATTTCTTATTACTAAAAATGATTAATTTAAATAATGTGTTTTAAAAAAAACTTTTCTAAAATATTTATCTATTATCTTCATCAGGTGGGAACTTGATATGGCAAGGGCCAGCAAAGCCAAACACCCAGATAAACCATTAGAGAAATTACTAGAAGGTATGTATGAAAATGTTCATAAGAAATAATTTGTCTGTCCTTTATGAAATGCTTAAAATATCGCCCACTTTATGATACAATATGAATGATACTTTTGCATTTTTTTATACATCAAATGTCGGTATAACACCATTTAAGTGAACACACGCGATTTTTTTCTAATTGCTTCTTTTAAATGTTACCATGTGTGCGGCAACATACAGTATTTATTTTTAAATGATTGTGCAATAGGAAGTTATTGCCTTTATTTTGCAGCAAACAAGAAAGCAATAGAAATGGCAGGGACGGGGACTGATGAGATCGAGGGTGCTGAAGACGTCAGGCAAGCAAAAGAAGAACTGAAAGTTTTACATGACGAGAAACGCAGAACTGAGAAAATCCGAGCCACAGTAAAGAAAGAGTTGGATATGGCTCGTGCAAAGACAAGGAAATACGAAGAGGTAAAATATTTGTCATATCCTTAAGACAAAGTAAATTTCAAGCAAATTACCGAAAAGTTTGACTACAAAGACATCTGCATCGGACCAGGTCTATAGTTTAAGAATATTGTAATCATATGAACATTTGTAGTTTCATTTACCTTATGTAAAATGTTTGATTGAATATGTTGTAACATATAATTTAATGTTTTTGTGGAGAATGTTTTGATCTCTAATGTATAAGCCAAATATTCAAATGCAATAAGCAAATTTTATGTTATCGCCTAAAGCACTACATGTAAACAAAGAGTTTTATAATTGGTATAGTTTAAAACGTATAAATCACAATTACTACAGATGATTCCGCACCGAGTAAAATCGGAAGACCAAAAAGAAGTGCTTAAGTTGTTATGCAAAGTGCACGAGCTGGAGATTCAGAACACTGAGGTTCAGTCGTCTTGTATAATAAGAGATTTCCAGATCAAGAAGAAAGATATGGTAATATCTAGATACAGACAACATCAGCATCTCAGTGACCAGATCATCAGGAAACAAAAACGACTTATTGAAGGTATAACAATATTATCATTTATATAAATTACTTATATTGCTCAATTATTGAAACAGAAACATAATTTACCTCTTGAAATCTCCATCTCGTTAGGAATAAAAAGAAGTCCAGACAGTTTAAACAAACAAATCACTTCCTTGACATATAACTTATACAGCACTGTTTACATTGAGCATTGTTTGTATGCAAATAGATGAATTCCTATTCAAATCGTTGTATAATATATAAATCTATATTATATTTTCAGAAAATAAACTATTTGTATCTAAAGAACTAGAGGAACTGATTGAGATGTACAAACTGGAGCGGAATTTACAAAGGGAGGACTCTGATATCAGCATAGGTTCCGATGTCGGCTTGAAGGTCAGTATGCAACAAATTAACAACCTATCAAACTATTTAAAGCCGTCCAGTAGCTAAATAAGTAGAGCGTTGGACTGTAAATCGGGCGACCCGGGTTCGATTCCAAGACCGTACAGGTCATTTCGTTGTGATTGATCATGAAATTCATTCTACGGTTTCCTCTCTTCTGGCATTTTACAGAAGTTATTAGTTCCTTGCAAAAGTGAATGCAACTAGTACTGGTAAACTGATTGAAAACCTGCCCAGGACCGATGTGGTGGCTGAACTTTGCTTTGCTTAATTCAATGTGGCTAACTACCGTGCTCCAGTGTGTAAACCACCACCACCACTAATATAAAACTATTTGGCCTTTTACTTGTAACACAGTTTAATGTTCATGGTATATTCTGCGTCACAATCATCCCAGTTTATTCCTTGCTTATTTCATATTTCATATGTTTTACTTAAATAGGAGGAAAGCTGTTAAGTTACATTTTCAATGATTGTTTAATCAATATCACACGAAACTCATTACAGTTATCTTACAATCAACACCTTATCACCATTACCATATTACCTTTTAATAATAAATAATAAATTTTGAAACATATCTCCAAATCAAAATATGAAATAGCCAATAGAGTTGACGCTAAAAAAAGCATTTATATTGATAATAAAATTATTCTTATCGCTTGTGATCTATCTATATGCAACGATGGGGTAGTGAATTGTTGTCATCAGTTCCAGTACAGCTCACTATCTAACTGCATGCCTGAATAATTTAACAGTTTCAAGATAGGCTGATAACATTCAATGCAAGCAATTTAAATTTGATAACTCTAGACCTTCCTTCTGAAAGCTTTTACTGAAACTTTTATTACATAAAACATACTATGAACCGATATGAGTGATCCTATATCGAGTTCCAAGAAATATAAAAAGATTTGTTGCTGTAAAAACATTTTGAAATTCGTTTGATCCAAACAGCTGCTTAACAAATCCCAAATCCAATATATATTTTTTTTCTTGTATTTATTTAGTTGAATGGCTTGGATGTTGACCAACTTAGTACACTCACAGAAGAAACAGAGCCTACAATCAGCAGACGACAGAGAACAACAGATTTGAGAAGAACGTAAGAAAATGCATGCCGTGAAAAAAATATCTTAAGATTAAGATGATCAACTTACATTTTTAGATAACATATTTCAAAGAAAATAATGCAAAGTCGCAGGAAAGTATACTGCTTTATTAACAAGATCAATAGATATAAGTATCAGATACCATATTTGCAGCTGTACATAAAGCTAGTTTGATAACTTTCTTCTAGAATAAATGTTTGTTCTCCAAGTATATCATTTACTTTATTTTTATTTGTAGGAATTCCGATGATAAGATATTCTCCCATACACCTAAAGCTCGACAAATTGAAAATGCAAACTCGAAATTTGACAGGGGGAATTTATCAGGAGCATGGCGAAATAATTCCAGTCTCAGTCAAGAGATTGACAGAGTTACGCCCCCTCTGGATATTCATCCGGAGCGTAACAGTCTTGGTGCTCCATCGAGAAATTCAAATAGTGACAGAAACACGATAGTTACTAACACTAGAAACATAGCAGCCCTTGCGGCTAGAAAGCGCAATAGGGCGCAGACAAATTTAAACAATATTGAAAAACGCAGCGAGATCGTAGATCCGAGACCGCTCTATAGACCTTCACACGGCAGTAAAGATTCTCTGGATGACAGAGACAATAAAGATGCATACCTTACACCAAGTAGACTTGATAAACATAACAGGACATTTATACCGGATGCTCCGTATGTGTCTATAAGTAAAGCACCTAGTGAGGACAGTCTGTCAACAGTGACAAAACATACGGTAATATCGGAACGATCTTTACCACCTTTGCGTAGAGTCGGAGAAGCAAATGGAGATAAAAATAGAAGTATGAATATGCGGCAGTGGGTTCCTGTTAATGAGCCTACATTCAACAGGAAGAAAAAGAAAGAGACATATACACATCAGGTAAGTTTATACTTTTTTACGTTTAGTACATTTCCATGTGTATACAAAAAAGCTAATTCGAACGCACAATTGGTGAAATTTGCAGACTCTGGTCATTTCTTCCATGTAAGATAATAAAAGGTACATCATCTACCAGGTTAGTTCTGTTTTTCAGCAAGTGCTGTGACAACATTATTTACACTATTCGTGTATTTTGATGCCTTATTTTACATTTATTTTTATTTCAGCAGTTGTATGAATTAATGATACTGGCAAACCCTAATGGCCTTGTCAAGCACATCTTTGTTATCTCGGTTTACAAACCTTATAAGTAAAAAATCCTACTATATTCTTATCAAGTGATAGCCCAGGTACTACATAATACCTGTACTTATAAAAGTGTGCTTACTAGCAGACTGATTTCATCAGTTTTCCCAGTGTAGCCTACATGAATAGTACTATGTGGGACTCAATGAGGGAAGAACCGAATGTGGATACAGCAAAATATTTCAAACTTAATTATAAATACACTTAAAGAGTAGGAATAAATGTAGACAAATATGAATAAAAGTTTATTGCAATTGTAGATTATCTAAAAGAATATATTACTCATGATCTTTCAGTATTTAAAAAAGAACCATGGTCGCAATGGCAAAGGTAGAAACAACCAAGATAATATAACAAAACAGAAAACAAGTCGAACTGATCCAGACAAAGGTAATATATACAATGAAATAGGTAACTTTTATTTGACAATTGATGAAATATTTCCTTGGAAAAAATAATAAAGATATAAAAGCTTGTTTGAGAAAATATATTGCAATTAATATAGATTATGCTTCAATCGCTTATTAGAATCTAGTTTTTGTTTGATTTGTTTTGTTTTAATAATAGTAACAGAAATAGGGACCATTTATTTCAAATTCATGTTCAAAAGGATAATTAGTCTTATTTGAAAGCTATATGGTACGGAATTTGAAAATTAATGTCTTAAAAACATCTTTTTTTACAATCACTCAAAATCCAAGAGTGCCGCCAAGATGGATGAATGTAGGTAAAATGATTGCAAGCTTTTGGTGTTTTATTTAAGACATATTTGTTAGATAAAATGATTTTCTGTAGGTTATTTGTTTAACCTACACTTGCTTTAAATTGATATAACGTAGTCTGTTCATGACTAAAGACTTACTGTAATGCATATACATTATCAGAATTCTACCTCTTTTGTTTCAGATTTTGACTCTTTGTCACTTGGAAAAAAGAAATTCAATAGAGGTAGGATTTTCTAGATTTATAATATGGAAAAATGATATAAAATTTTGACTACCGATATATAGATATATTGATATATACAAATAATTTATATTCGGCACGTCTTTCTTCATATCAGGTGATAAATATGTAACATAGTGTAAAACTATAAAACTCCTACTTCCCTTTCTAAAGACAGCAAAACTTATTTGTTTCTGAGTCATAACTGTGCCTATAAGAAAATTTATAGCAGTAATTTCTGTAATTGGTTAGTTTTAGTTTAGTTTGCTAATAATGCGATATTTCGATTTATTTCAGGGGGACAGAGTTCTGACACGTCGAGCATGGGAACTCCAATGAATAACGGAAATGGGAAAAAGCGACCTCCTCCAACTATACCAGCATACAAGAAAGGGGACATAACTATTACCGGATTTAGTCTGCCCAGATACTAGGAATTTACATCGAAAAATGCTGCAGCAGACTATAGTTTTTGTTTATAAAATTATTAGGGGATACATGTAGTACTTTTTATAATTATATTGAAAGTCAAGGTACTGTATTTCAAACAAAAATAAAATATTTTGTTAAAGTGGAATAATATAAGTAAAATCTAGTGCTAGAATGTATTGTGTCAAACATTTTGTCATTTCAGGCTTCACAACTATTTATAAAACAACTCTATGCATTCCTCTGATATAACATGATTGCATTTAGGCAGTTTTAAATGTTAAGGCAGCTGCAATTACTTGTTCACTTGAATGAGTAAATGTGGTGTTATGTATTATAATGAACGTAATGTCCGCTCGTCTGTTATGGCTTAATGTTTCTGTCCGTCCACATATTTCATACTGCTGATATTATCTGTGTAGCTTAACTTAACGTAACAATCATTACAACAATTTTATACTGTATTTCTGCGCCGTTAATGTTTCTTTAAATATATATTTAAATGCTATTTTGTTTCCATGGTCGTTTAAAATAATTTGATGTTTCTTTTCTGTATTGTCTGTGATATGTTAGCGACATGTCTGTGATAAATTATATGTTTGACAAGCGTAGCTCACTTACGTGCTTGTGTCACGCATTCGCATGGCAACATCACTAAGTCTCACAAAGTGTTTGTTTACTCGGAAATTTCTGTTACAATTAATGAATCGACAAGCCCAAAATTAGGAATTATCTACTGATGTCATTTTGAAATTTGATTCCATTTTATTTGTATAATTAAGGTAAACATATAGATATCATTCCATAGAAAATCTTATAGCTAAAGCTAGCGCGTTCGTTTTGTTAGACTGGTCACTAAACAAAGGTCCTTAACAATTGTATTTTTCATTTACAATAAGATAACTACCTATTTTGAAACTGAAGACAGTACATTTATTTTGCCACACATTAAATGTGTTTTGTTGATTAAAAAAGAACAGGAATTTCAGAAGTAAACTTTTTCGTTGTTGCTTTAGTGATAATTTTAGCATGGTGAGGCGTTAGATAAAGGTGTTGGGAAATTTATTATATTGGCATTTTGACGTAACATTTCCACTTCAGACCATTTCGTTAAAATGATTCGATGTGTTTTTATCAGGTCTGAACATGGAAAAGTATACGCAGTGTGAACATGAATGTAATAATGATATGTATTGTTAAATAGATTATTTTTATACTGTTCCGTCCTTTGTTAGAAACAATCCGTCCAAAACTTAACCATCTTTTCTTCTATAAACTTAGAAAGTTTTTGTGTCGGCTTAACAAGTGCTCATTACCTCGATGTTAATTGATGCAGTCACTCTGTTGGCCATCACAGTGTTATGTCTCTATAAAGTAGTTCTAACTGTATAGTAATTTATAGTATTTTTGCACCGTTATACGAGCACATTGTTGCATGTTTCGTTTTTTGTTGTAACTATTTGCACATAACAATCAAAACGAAACTCGATTGTAGCATTTGAATTCTTACTTTTCGCAGTAATTAAGGTGTGCCATTTTTTAAAAGAATCAGAAAACGTGGATTATTGTACATGTATTCTATATATACTTATTTTCTTTCTTTTTAGGCCGGAGTAATGTACTTTTTGACATTGCTTTGTTATACTTGTAATACGTGTTACATGAAATTATTCATGCACTTTATTACCTCGCTCGTATTCCATTTCATTAACCTCAACTACATTGGAAACATGGCTAATGTCTTCTTAATCTACTAATATTTGTTAAATTGGGTCATGTCACTTGACCCTTTGTTTTGTAAATATAATTGTTAATTAAGCAATATTTGTATGGTATCTTCTGAGATAAGAACCTTAATAAAATGTGATACCTTATAATATGTTAACTTTTTATATATATTGTGTCAACCATCTGGAAAATTGCCAGTGTATGTCCTATTTATAAAAAGTCCTTTCAAAACATGTAACTACAGACCTATATCTCTTCTAAGTTGTCTCAGAAAAGTTATGGAAAGATTTATCCATAACTATGTCATTTTAAATAAACCTCTAAAACCATTCCAATCATGAAAGGGAATTCAATCATAAAACAGCTAACCTTTCTCTGCAATAACATCAGCAAAGTCTTTGGTTCGCGCAATATTTTGTGATTTATCAAAAGCTTTCAAAAGGCCTAAAGAACACCTCTACAAACTCCTTCTATAGGCATACAAGGTTCTCTTGTTCAGTGGTTCTCGTCGTATCTTGCTGATAGAAAACAAAGGGTTATTGTATCAAATACTTCTTCAGCACTTTTAGATATCAATGCTGGAGTCCCTCGGGGTCAATCTTAGGCCCACGGACCTTTCTTATATACATTAACGCCATTGTTTCCGATATTCAAGAAAATATTCGACTATTTGCTGACAACACTAGTCTAGTCTCTAATAATTGTAGAAGATCCCAACTCCTCTGAGTCCTCCCAACTCCCAATGAATTGCGATCATTCAAAATTTTCTTTGTGGTCTATTTGGCTTGTTTTATCTGATCCTTCAAAAACAGAATACATGTATGTCCTTTTTGAAAACGAAACAAACCTAAACACCAATGTCAAGATTTGATAATGTGAATATTGCCACAGTTAAAGAACACAAGCATCTTGGTGTTAACTTTTCTGAAAATGTTAAATGTACTTCAAATATAACAACAAATAGCATGGCAGAGAATTGGTATTCATAGAAATCTGAAATTTCCTTTTTCTAGAGCGGGGCTGGGGAAATTATATGTAGCCCTCATTAGACATTTGCTTGAGTATGCTGACGTGATTTGGGATAACTACAGTAATGAACTAAAATAAGACATTGAATCAATTCAGATGAAGGAGCAAGAATCGTCACAGGACCTACTAAGCTTTGAAACAACAAAACATTAATAAACTTTCTCAGTTGGGATATCCTTGCAGAAAGGAGACAAACACCTCGTCTGGTATTCCTATTTAGAATGAAAAATGGTTTCGCTCCCGATTTTCCTATCTGGTCTGATACCAATACATCTTCATCAACCTTACACTCTTCGCTTTAACACATTTTAAAACGAAATCAATTGAAAATAAAAACAAATTTAACATTTTTTCAACTGGCTAACTAATATGTTTCTTCTATCGTACCTTTGTGATAAAGATCAGTATGTATACAGCTTTAACCAATTAAAGCACACAATTCAACACACGAGCAATGCATAAAACTCTCTTCAGTTTATTGCGCTACACCAAAGTAACCTTTTAAGGACATTTGAAATTTGATCAAACTAGTTGCATCAATTACAAAATTGAACTGAACATTGATATTCAAAAAGGAATTTCTAAGATCAGGATAAACTTATTAAAAATTGACAGTGCAGTTCACAGAATAATCAAGATAAACAAATGCTTAAGTAGTCAAAACAAATGACGAAACAACAACACTCTTTAAAACCATTATTGGATGTAATGCCTTTAAAAAATAAAGAGCACGTCTGTCAATTTATCATTTTTATTCATTTGTAAACCAATTACTATTCATTTGCAAACCAATTACTTTCATGACGATACAAATTTGAAATTTATGAGATTAGAGCCATCAAATATTCATAAATTCCCTGAATTGATGTTTCCTTTAATAGGTAAAAGTCATTTAACAGTATTGTCGACTAATTGTTAAGCTACAAATCCGGAGAAGCCGGAGATCGAGGTTATTTATAACTAATATGAAATTCCATATAAAATAAACTGATGTTCTTGACAGGTTTTTACTGTATCACCTCTGGCTAGCCGGTTTTGATCTCTAATGTATAAGCCAAATATTCAAATGCAATAAGCAAATTTTATGTTATCGCCTAAAACACTACATGTAAACAAAGAGTTTTATAATTGGTATAGTTTAAAACGTATAAATCACAATTACTACAGATGATTCCGCACCGAGTAAAATCGGAAGACCAAAAAGAAGTGCTTAAGTTGTTATGCAAAGTGCATGAGCTGGAGATTCAGAACACAGAGGTTCAGTCGTCTTGTATAATAAGAGATTTCCAGATCAAGAAGAAAGATATGGTAATATCCAGATACAGGCAGCATCAGCATCTCAGTGACCAGATCATCAGGAAACAAAAACGTCTTATTGAAGGTATAAAAATATTATCATTTGAATTGATTACTTATATTGATCAATTATTCAAACAGATCTTGAAGTCTCCGTGTCGTTCAGAATGGAAAAGCTCAGACAGTTTAAAACAAAATACTTCCATGACAAGCATTGGTTACATTGAGCAAGCGTTTGTATATGTACAGATGAATTCCTATTCAAATCGTTGTATTATAAACAATTTTTTATTATATTTTCAGAAAATAAACTATTTGTATCTAAAGAACTAGAGGAACTGATTGAGATGTACAAACTGGAGCGGAATTTACAAAGGGAAGACTCGGATATCAGCATAGGTTCCGATGTCGGTTTGAAGGTCAGTATGCTACATATATAATACATTCTGTAATTAACAGCTGTCCGATTAGCTCAAAAGGTAGAGCGTTGGACTGTGAATCGGGTGACCCGGGTCCGATTACCGGACGGTGCAAGTCATTTTCGTTGTATTTGATCATGAAATCCTTTCTACGTTCATTCGCACTGTTCCTCTGCTCTCGCATGTACATGTAATATCAGTTCCTTGAGAAAGTGAAGGCATCTAGTACTGGTAAACTGCTTGAAAACCTGCCCATGAACGATGCGGTGGTTGAACTTTGCTCATTGTGGCTTATTACCGTGCTCCGGTGTGTAAACCACCACAACCACCAATATAAAACTATTTGGCCTTTTACTTCATACGCAACAAAGCTAAAACTTAAACTATTTTAAAGGCTTGTAACAAAATTTAATGTTCATGGTATATTTTATTCACAAGCATCCCAGTTTATTCCTTGCTTATTTCATATTTCATATGTTTTACTTAAATAGGGGGATAGCTGTTATGTTACATGTTAAATGATTGTTTAATCAATATCACACGAAACTCATTACAGTTATCCTACCATCAACACCTTATCACCATTACCATATTACCTTTTAATAATAAATAATAAATTTTGAAACATATCTCCAAATCAAAATATGAAATAGCCAATAGAGTTGACGCTAAAAAACAAGCATTTATATTGATAATAAAATTATCCTTATCGCTTGTGATCTATCTATACGCAACGATGGGGTAGTGAATTGTTGTCATCAGTTCCAGTACACCTCACTATCTAACTGCATGCCTGAATAATTTAACAGTTTCAAGATAGGCTGATAACATTCAATGCAAGCAATTTAAATTTGATAACTCTAGAAAGCTTTTAATGAAACTTTTATTACATAAAACATACTATGAACCGATATGAGTGATCCTATATCGAGTTCCAAGAAATATAAAAAGATTTGTTGCTGTAAAAACATTTTGAAAATGAAATTCGTTTGATCCAAACAGCTGCTAAACAAATCGAATATATATTTGTTTTCTTGTATTTATTCAGTTGAATGGCTTGGATGTTGAACAACTTAGTACACTCACAGAAGAAACAGAGCCTACAATCAGCAGACGACAGAGAACAACAGATTTGAGAAGAACGTAAAAAAATGCATGCCGTGAAAAAAATATCTTAAGATTAAGATGATCAACTTACATTTTTAGATAACATATTTCAAAGAAAATGATGCAAAGTCGCAGGAAAGTATACTGCTTTATTAACAAGATCAATAGATATAAACTTGTATCAGATACCATATTTGCAGCTGTACATAAAGCTAGTTTGATAACTTTCTTCTAGAATAAATGTTTGTTCTCCACGTATATCATTTACTTTATTTTTATTTGTAGGAATTCCGATGATAAGATATTCTCCCATACACCTAAAGCTCGACAAATTGAAAATGCAAACTCGAAATTTGACCGGGGGAATTTATCAGGAGCATGGCGAAATAATTCCAGTCTCAGTCAAGAGATTGACAGAGTTACGCCCCCTCTGGATATTCATCCGGAGCGTAACAGTCTTGGTGCTCCATCGAGAAATTCAAATAGTGACAGAAACACGATAGTTACTAACACTAGAAACATAGCAGCCCTAGCGGCTAGAAAGCGCAATAGGGCGCAGACAAATTTAAACAATATTGAAAAACGCAGCGAGATTTTAGATCCGAGACCGCTGTATAGACCTTCACATGACAGCAAAGATTCTCTGGATGACAGAGACAATAAAGATGCATACCTTACACCAAGTAGACTTGATAAACATAACAGGACATTTATACCGGATGCTCCGTATGTGTCTATAAGGAAAGCACCTAGTGAGGACAGTCTGTCAACAGTGACAAAACATACGGTAATATCGGAACGATCTTTACCACCTTTGCGTAGAGTCGGAGAAGCAAATGGAGATAAAAATAGAAGTATGAACATGCGGCAGTGGGTTCCTGTTAATGAGCCTACATTCAACAGGAAGAAAAAGAAAGAGACATATACACATCAGGTAAGTTTATACTTTTTTACGTTTAGTACATTTCCATGTGTATACAAAAAAGCTAATTCGAACGCACAATTGGTGAAATTTGCAGACTCTGGTCATTTCTTCCATGTAAGATAATAAAAGGTACATCATCTACCAGGTTAGTTCTGTTTTTCAGCAAGTGCTGTGACAACATTATTTACACTATTCGTGTATTTTGATGCCTAATTTTATATTTATTTTTATTTCAGCAGTTGTATGAATTAATGATACTGGCAAACCCTAATGGCCTTGTCAAGCACATCTTTGTTATCTCGGTTTACAAACCTTATAAGTAAAATAATCCTACTATATTCTTATCAAGTGATAGCCCAGGTACTACATAATACCTGTACTTATAAAAGTGTGCTTACTAGCAGACTGATTTCATCAGTTTTCCCAGTGTAACCTACATGAATAGTACTATGTGGGACTCAATGAGGGAAGAACCGAATGTGGATACAGCAAAATATTTCAAACTTAATTATAAATACACTTAAAGAGTAAGAATAAATGTAGACAAATATGAATAAAGGTTTATTGCAGTTGTAGATCATCTTAAAGAATATATTGCTCATGATCTTTCAGTATTTAAAAAAGAACCATGGTCGCAATGGCAAAGGTAGAAACAACCAAGATAATATAACAAAACAGAAAACAAGTCGAACTGATCCAGACAAAGGTAATATATACAATGAAATAGGTAACTTTTATTTGACAATTGATGAAATATTTCCTTGGAAAAATAATAAAGATATAAAAGCTTGTTTGAGAAAATATATTGCAATTAATATAGATTATGCTTCAATCGCTTATTAGAATCTAGTTTTTGTTTGATTTGTTTTGTTTTAATAATAGTAACAGAAATAGGGACTATTTATTTCAAATTCATGTTCAAAAGGATAATTAGTCTTATTTGAAAGCTATATGGTACCGGAATTTGAAAATTAATGTCTTAAAAACATCTTTTTTTACAATCACTCAAAATCCAAGAGTGCCGTCAAGATGGATGAATGTAGGTAAAATGATTGCAAGCTTTTGGTGTTTTATTTAAGACATTTTTGTTAGATAAAATGATTTTCTGTAGGTTATTTGTTTAACCTACGCTTGCTATAAATTGATATAACGTAGTCTGTTCATGACTAAAGACTTACTGTAATGCATATACATTATCAGAATTCTACCTCTTTTGTTTCAGATTTTGACTCTTTGTCACTTGGAAAAAAGAAATTCAATAGAGGTAGGATTTTCTAGATCTATAATATGGAAAAATGATATAAAGTTTTGACTACCGATATATTGATATATACAAATAATTTTATATTCAGCACTTCTTTCTTCATATCAGGTGATAAACATGTAACATACTGTAAAACTATAAAACTCCTACTTCCCTTTCTAAAGACAGCAAAACTTATTTGTTTCTGAGTCATAACTGTGCCTATAAGAAAATTTAAAGCAGTAATTTCTGTAATTGGTTAGTTTTAGTTTAGTTTGCTAATAATGCGATATTTCGATTTATTTCAGGGGGACAGAGTTCTGACACGTCGAGCATGGGAACTCCAATGAATAACGGAAATGGGAAAAAGCGACCTCCTCCAACTATACCAGCATACAAGAAAGGGGACATAACTATTACCGGATTTAGTCTGCCCAGATACTTGGAATTTACATCGAAAAATGCTGCTGCAGAATATAGCTTTTGTTTATAAAATTATTAGGGGATACATGTAGTACTTTTATAATTATATTGAAAGTCAATGTACTGTATTTTAAACAAAAATAAAATATTCCAAAAAGGTGATTTTGTTAAGGTGGAATAATATAAGTAAAATCTAGTGCTAAAATGTATTGTGTCAAACATTTTGTCATTTCAGACTTCAAAACTATTTCTCAAACAACTCTATGCATTCCTCTGATATAGCATGATTGCATTTAGGCAGTTTTAAATTTTAAGGCAGCTGCAATTACTAGTTCACTTGAATGAGTAAATGTGGTGTTATGTATTATAATGAACGTAATGTCCGCTCGTCTGTTATGGCTTAATGTTTCTGTCCGTCCACATATTTCATACTGCTGATATTATCTGTGTAGCTTAACTTAACGTAACAATCATTAAAACAATTTTATACTGTATTTCTGCGCCGTTAATGTTTCTTTAAATATATATTTAAATGCTATTTTGTTTCCATGGTCGTTTAAAATAATTTGATGTTTCTTTTCTGTATTGTCTGTGATATGTTAGCGACATGTCTGTGATAAATTATATGTTTGACAAGCGTAGCTCACTTACGTGCTTGTGTCACGCATTCGCATGGCAACATCACTAAGTCTCACAAAGTGTTTGTTTACTCGGAAATTTCTGTTACAATTAATGAATCGACAAGCCCAAAATTAGGAATTATCTACTGATGTCATTCTGAAATTTGATTCCATTTTATTTGTATAATTAAGGTAAACATATAGATATAATTCCATAGAAAATCTTATAGCTAAAGCTAGCGCGTTCGTTTTGTTAGACTGGTCACTAAACAAAGGTCCTTAACAATTGTATTTTTCATTTACAATATGATAACTACCTATTTTGAAACTGAAGACAGTACATTTATTTTGCTACACATTTAATGTGTTTTGTTGATTAATAAAGAACAGGAATTTCAGAAGTAAACTTTTTCGTTGTTGCTTTAGTGATAATTTTAGCATGGTGAGGCGTTAGATAAAGGTGTTGGGAAATTTATTATATTGGCATTTTGACGTAACATTTCCACTTCAGACCATTTCGTTAAAATAATTCGATGTGTTTTTATCAGGTCTGAACATGGAAAAGTATACGCAGTGTGAACATGAATGTAATAATGACATGTATTGTTAAATAGATTATTTTTATACTGTTCCGTCCTTTGTTAGAAACAATCCGTCCAAAACTTAACCATCTTTTCTTCTATAAACTTTTTTAAAAAGATTTTGTGTCGGCTAAACAAGTGCTCTTTACCTCAATGTTAATTGATGCAGTAACTCTGTTGGCCATCACATTATTATGTCTCTATAAAGTAGTTCTAACTGTATAGTAATTTATAGTATTTTTGCACCGTTATACGAGCACATTGTTGCAAGTTTCGTTTTTTGTTGTAACTATGTGCACATAACAATCAAAACGAAACTCGATTGTAGCATTTGAATTCTTACTTTTCGCAGTAATTAAGGTGTGCCATTATAAAAGAATCACAAAAAGTGGATTATTGTATTCTATATATACTTATTTTCTTTCTTTTTTAGGCCGGAGTAATGTACTTTTTGACATTGCTTTGTTATACTTGTAATACGTGTTACATGAAATTATTCATGCACTTTATTACCTCGCTCGTATTCCATTTCATTAACCTCAACTACATTGGAAACATGGCTAATTGTCTTCTTAATCTACTAATATTTGTTAAATTGGGTCATGTCACTTGACCCTTTGTTTTGTAAATATAACTGTTAATTAAGCAATATTTGTATGGTATGTTCTGAGATAAGAACCTTAATAAAATGTGATACCTTATAATGTGCTAACTTTTTTATATATTGTGTCAACCTCCTGGAAACTTGCCAGTGTAAGTCCTATTTATAAAAAGTCTGACCCTTTCAAAACATGTTACTACAGACCTATATCTCTCCTAAGTCGTCTCAGAAAAGTCATATAACTATGTCATTTCAAATAAACTTCTACCACCATTCCAATCTGGATTCATGAAAGGGGATTCAACCATAAACCAGCAAGCCTTTCTCTACAATAATATAAGCATAGTCCTGGATGAAGGAAAAGAAGTTCGCGCAGTATTTTGTGATTTATCACAAGCTTTCGAGAGGCATTAAAGGACACCTCTACAAACTCCTTCTATAGGCATACAAGGTTCTCTTGTTCAGTGGTTCTCATCGTATCTTGCTGATAGAAGGATCATTGTATCAAATACTTCTTCCACACTTTTAAATATCTATGCTAGAGTCCCTCGGGGGTCAATCATAGGCCCACGGCTCTTTCTAATATATATTAATTAACGACATTGTTTCTAATATTCAAGAAAATATTCGACTATTTGCTGACGACACTAGTTTAGTCTCTAATAATTGTAGAAGATCGCAACTCCTCTGCTGCAAAAATAAATTGCGGTCATTCAAAATTTTCTTTGTGGTCTAAAACTTGGCTTGTTCTATTTGATCCTTCAAAAACAGAATATGTCATTTTTGAAAACGAAACAAGCCTCAAACTTGTCTAGTATTTGATACTGTGAACTTTGCTACAGTTAAAGAACACAAGCATCTTTGTGTCATCTTTTTGAAAATGGTAAATGTACTAAATAAAACAACAGATGTCAATAACATGGCAGAGAACTGGTATTCATAGAAGTCTGAAATTTCTTATTTCTAGAGCGGGTTTGGGGAAATTATATGTAGCCCTCATTAGACCTTATTTGGGTATGCTGACGTGATTTGGGATAACTACAGTAATGAACTAAAAAATCAATTCAGCATGAAGCAGCAAGAATCGTCACAGGAGCTACTAAGCTTTGTAACATCAAAACATTAATAAACTACCTCAGTTGGAATTAACTTTTTTCTACTGACTCACTTATAAGTTTCTCCTATTTTACTCAAACCTTTGTAATAAAGATCAGTATGTATACAGCTTTAACTAATTAAAGCACACAATTCAACACACGAGCAATGGATAAATCTCTCTTCAGTTTATTGCGTTACACCAAAGTAACCTTTTAAGGACATTTGAAATTTGATCAAACTAGTTGCATTAATTACTAAATTGAACTGAACATTGTCATTCAAAAAGGAATTTCTAAAAAAAAATAAAGTCCGATCAGGATAAACTTATTAGAAATTGTCAATACAGTTCACTTAACAATCGAGATAAACAAATGTTCAAGTAGTCAAAACAAATGATGAAACAACATCACTCTTTAAAACCATAATTGGATGTAATGCCTTTAAAAAAAATAAAGAGCACGCCCGTCAATTTATCATTTTTATTCATTTGTTTAGCAATTACTATTCATTTGTAAACCAATTACTTTCATGACGATACAAATTTGAAATTTATGAGACTAGAGCCATCAAATATTCATAAATTCCTTGAATTGATGCTTCCTTTAATAGGTCAAAGTCATTTATCAGAATTGCTGACTAATTGTTAAAGCAACACATCCTGAGAAGCCGGAGATCGAGGTTATTTATAACTAATATGAAATTACATATAAAATAAACTGATGTTCTTGACAGGTTTTACTGTATCACATTTGGCTAGCCGGTTCAGTCGGAACAAGTTACCGGCTAGACGGAGCAGCCAGGACAGACTAAGCAAAAATTTGTTCCGACTTCTCCGAATGTCTGGCTTACTTCACGAAAATCACATACAGGGCTTACCAGCATTCTTTTTACTCTACTTATCCTGCTGGATCTGAATGTGGTTAGCCATCATTATTGAGCCAAGAGGCCAGTATGAACATCCATGCAATCTGACCAGGATCTATACTGTTGGCTGCTCTATTTCTCTATTTTGATCATTATTGAATTCCCTTCATCTTTGAAGGAATGGACTGTTCCAAATTCTAAGCAGGGCAAGTTCATTACACAAAATAAGCGTTATCGTAATATAGTAATATATTAGCGTAACATTTTACATAGAAAACTAGAGGATCTGTATTACAGATATGTACATGTATATATCTACTGATTATAGGCAAGTTGACAGATGACATCACAAGCATCTGCTACCAGACTTAAGCAGATTTAACGGTTGGCAAGAAGGACCAATATTTATTTTATTTATTAAACATTACGAAGTGGAAAGGAAGAGGAAACGCACTAATTAATATGAGGACCTCTCTTGCTCGTGGCCCTCATTGTTTCGGTGTGTTTTACTCGGTATGTGCATGGGTGGTATAAACTATTTTGATGCCAATTCGATACAATTGTTTGCATATACCAGGCTGTATTGGAATTGAAATCAATGATTAAACTTTTACTGCAATATACAGCATATATGACAATTTTTGTACTTTTAATCGTAGAACTATCACTTTTATCGTTCTAATAATTTCTTTAAAATGTAATACAGGGTGGGTCAATATGTAATGCACTAAAATGGCTAATAAATTTAACAAGAATGCAAATACTTATACAATTTCCTATTTCAACCCTTCAAAATAATCTCCAACAGAAATACAGAGTTTTGGAATTAGACGCTAAATCCATTTTTTAAATGCTTCAATTAAGTCCTCCTTACTTATACCTTTCAATGACTGAAAAAAGGGCAACCCAAGTTCATTTATATTCTTGTTGCGATGACCTGCAATATGATTTTTTTTTTCAGTCTAGGAAAGAGGAAAATGTCATGGGGTACCAAGTCTGAAGAATACAAGGCAGTCACTTGTTTTTCTCATGACTGAGACCATTTTTACGAGGCAACGTCAAATTCGTGAATGATGCACTGAAGCAACTATGGTTACCTTATAGCAGAATTTATTACATGTTTTTCGGTGGTTTATAGAAATATATCAGTGATATAAAACTGGTAATTTCACTGTTTTGAATTTAAGCCCGTTACGTTGTTTCAGTGAAATACCAGCGTGCACAGAACTGGGTACCAACTTAATGACGTGACGTCGTAAATGACGTCACGTTGTATTATTATTTGGCGCGCTTTTCATTCAGTATTAGGTTTAATGTCTTTTTAAAACGTTTCTTTGCATATAATAAAAAGAAAATTTGTTTAGTTTAGTGTAAGATCGAAATATATTTCACCTTGTGAACACCAAAAGTTCATATTTCACTCGTGGCTGCGCCACTCGTGAAATATCCCTTTTGGTGCTCACACGGTGAAATATATTCCGATCTTACACTGAACTAAACAAATATCCTCTATATATTTCACCTTGTGAACACCAAGTTCATATTTCACTCGTGGCTGCGCCACTCGTGAAATATACCTTTTGGTGCTCACTCGGTGAAATATATTCCGATCTTACACTGAACTAAACAAATATCCTCTATATAATTTTACCTGCTTCAGTGTATGTTATACGACACTAGTAGTTTGGCAAATGTTTAAGGTATACTGAATATGTAGAAAATAAAGTTTTAAATGTAAGACGAAACATAAACTCGCCTTCAAAACGGTACTTAGGTCGTCATTCTCACGAATGATCTATGATTAAAGTAAACATATTCCTAGAAAAAATTGTAGTGCTATTTAACTTATAATGTCATAGCAGCCATATTCTTATTCATTTCTTTTAACTTGATTTAGGATAATATATTTTGGCTGGTTTACTTCCATGTAACTCGTGTAGGCTATAGCGTTGCACAGATTCGGCGTTACTTTTGTCACGATCCGTGATTTGTGTTACTTGCACATTCTTGCCTTGCTGGATATACACGGTGTATATGTCCTGGACTTCTTTATATTGAACATAATTTAAAGTCGGACTGCATCAAAAGTTACCTTTCAGACTGACTAGCAAATGCTTGTATACTATTTCTTCTAAATCATTCTTTGAGATCAGTGTGTTATACAGAGGACAAGTTTGTTAAGGCCGGCTATTTTTTAGCCTTATACAGCAATAATTTTACCACTTCACTGTTAACATAAGGAACTTAGAAAAGACAAATGATAAAAAAATTATGTTTGATAACACATTTATTCAGGTAACATGTATACAGGTAAGAAAAGAGTATATGTCAAGAAGCATCTATACTGCATTTGAGGAACCACTGGGCATTCTTGTTCACACAATAGTCCTAAAATATACAATAATATATATACTCAGTATTTCTTATAATACATGTAATTAAACGTATACACATGTACACATAGTGTTCAAGATCATAAAGGTGTGTTAATGATTATAAAAACAAGAGCTGTCCATTAGACAGCTCGCTCAGCTATTCTCAGTGCTTGACAGTAAGAAAAGGGGCATCACTCTGTAAAAAGGTTATGGGACCTGTGCCCATCATGTTCAATATTCACACAGCTACTGTGCCTAGTTGCAACCCATTCCTTTCAGTAGTTTTGGAGATACCAACTTACATGTAAAAACCTAACCAAGTGTGATACTGACGCAACCCCAATGCCAGGGGGAGTACAATAGTTTTCAATATTCTTAGAATAATCAGTTTGAAATGCTAATTAATTTTTAAACTTCAAAGCAACCAAATTTTCCATAAGTAAGGAAAATAATAAAGCATTATAAAAGCATCAATACAGAATATAAAAGCATCCATATAGAATTGTTAACTTTAATGTTTCTGCCAATCACAGAAGTAAAATCATGTTTTCAATGACACCAATAGAAAATATCCTGAAGGTTTACAAATAAACAAATTTTTATGAACAAGTTGGCCATGTTGTTGCCATCACATATGGGTTTAAATTATTCAATTTAAATGTCACTCAGGTAATTGTACATTCCTATTCACTTTCAAATTCAGAATCATTACTTGTTGCACAAAGTATAAGGACAAATACGTTTTAATAACAACTAACTAAAACATACTTATAGGGATTCTCTTCTTTTATATTTACTATTTTACTATGAAACTTTTCTGTGATTTCAGCCAAGCTGTATATATAAAATATTTGTACTTACCCTTAAGACATTTTTCACGGTATTCTCTGGAAATGCTTTTCCACTAATAGCTTCAGCATTTTTCATTACAGTTTTTTTCATGAGTCTATTTGAAGTCTTCGCTGATTCATAAATTGCCTTGCGTACCTAAAGAAAACAAAAATACTCCATCAAAAAAACAAACTATAACTGCAATCTTAAAAATACTACATTAATTAAAAACCAGGATTGTAATCTAAAGTGATGAATTCATTTTCTGCATAATTTGCTGACTGTGGCTTACATGAAGGAAAACACTTGACAGGAAAAAAGAGTATAAAAATCAGAAATGCACAATTTCACTTGTCACGTAATGTTAAGGAAATGTTCACAACCTTATGGAGAACCATGAGAAGTGAGTAGTACATACTTTAATTGTACATAGAAATTGTATGAAAACACATATATAACAATAGCACCACATGTGGTACCAACCCATGTCTGTTAATGGCAGCAACTAACTAGAACTGCCACTATGATGGCGTGAATACCCCCGCATACCACTTTGTCAGAATCAACAGTGGCCATTTAGAGCTCAAGGACAACCTCCCTGCCAAATCTGAGGTTACTAAGCCAGTGCATTGCTAAGTTATGTATTCTACATGCTTCAAATGTGAAAATGTCAAAATCAATACATTGCGGACAGGACATTCTTTAGCAATTGAGAAGAAAGGCTTTTTTTTGTCAAGGTCCCTGTGACCTTGACCTTTGACCCAGTGACCTCAAAATCAATAGGGGTCACCTTATAGTCATGATCAACATCCATGCCAAATATGAAGACTGTGGGTTAAAGGAATCTTAAGTTAATGGGTGGACAAACTTTTTGAAGTCAAAGTCCCTATGACCTTGACCTTTGATCCAGTGACCTCAAAATCAAAAGGGGTCATCTACTAATCATGACTAACCTCCATGCCAAATATGAAGACTAAGGGTCAAAGGAATCTTAAGTTATTGGGCGGACAAGAAAAAACCGACGGACGGCCGGACAGCCGGACGGACGGACGGACGGACGGACAAGCTGATTCCAGTATACCCCCCTTACAACTTTGTTGTGCGGGGGTATAAAAACATGTGCTGTCATTTTCTAATTAATAAAGACCAACAATGACCTTCTAACAAACAAGAGCTGTCAGTAGGACAGCATGCTCGACTATTCTAAGTGCTTGATAGTAAAAGAGCCTTCATAATGTTAAATTTTTTAAGTTCACTAAAGGGCCAATTTTTTTTTATAAATTCATGTTATAGGCCAATTATACAGTATTGGATTGACTATTCGGAAGGTAATGTCACAAGGGTGTTTTATTGAGTATAATAATACTAATAACCTATGAATACATAAATTTGACAGAAAAGGTACAAAGGCTTGTTATTAAGATGTTTTATCAAGTAAATCACTGCTTTATTATTATGAATGCATAAAATTGTCCCAAAAAGGCACAAACCCTTCAGTAGTTATTGAGATAACAGCTTACAAGCAAAACTTTACCATGAATTTCTAAGTTGAAAAAGGGGAGAAAAATCAGCCTAAATGCAAGATAGAATTATGGATCTTTGTCAGTGACCTACAATTATGACCCTAAGGCAGCACACCACACTAAATGAAGCCACAGCTTCGAATGGCCAGGGAGGATTTCATGGATATAGTGACTATTGTGGATTTAAATGACTGGTTGTCTTTAAAATGCATTTTCAGCATGAAATTTGTTTTTGTAACATGTAATATGATCATTGGCAAATTCGAAAACATGGTTAGAAATAACATGCTGTTTATTATAGATGTCAAGGCCGCCATTGTTTGTAAACATTGCTTTTAAACAGCATGCTCGGTAAAAACAAGTGATTTTACAGGGGGGTACAAACTTTCAGCCATAGCAAAAAATCTACAAGGCCAAGCACCTATTTCTTTGTGATAGTTTGCATGCATAGGGAGTTGCTAAAGCAGTGACAGAGTTTCTGTAGTCCGTATATTTGCAGGTATTTTTTGCCGGAGGGACGAAAAATGTTGTTTTGGGTCTCGGACCACTATAGATTTTTGGCTTTTACGGAATGAATTGGAATTTTTTAAACTGCCTGACTGTTGCACATGGGATGATTTCATTACAGATTTGCAATGTTATGACATATATGTTCTTAACAAAATGTGTTTTCTTTTTCCAGGTTGTGTAGTTTGGGATCAGATTTATAAGACATATTGCTTGTAGGACATTGACGGCAGAAACTTGAAATTTAGTGTGGAGTGCTACCTAAATGCATATGTGAAGTTTTAAATAAATATCTTTAATAGTTATTGAGATATGTAAAACTTGCATGTAAACATTAACCAAGAGACTAAGTAGAAAAGGGAATATGAATCAGCCTTAATGCAAGATAGAGTTATGGAACTTGGTCAGTGACATACAATTATGACCCTCCATTATTGACCCTAAGTTGCATGTGTAAAGTTTCAAGTAAATATCTTTGAAGACCTTTAACCTTTAACCAAAATTTCTAACTTTCAAAGGGGCAAATATTCTGCAAATTTTGCAGACAGAGTTTTGCAATTTTGCAAACTGATGTACATTGTTACTATAAAAAAAGTATTTTAAATTTCAATTGAATATCTCAAGCAATAATTGAGATATTTGACTTTATAAAAAAACTTTAACCACAATTTCTAAGTTCCAAAGGGGAATAATTCTGTCAATATTGTAGGCAGAGTTATCCAACTTGTCAATCTGATGTACCTTGTTACTATAAATAAGTATTGTAAGTTTCAATTGAATATCTCAAGCAATAATTGAGATATTTGACTTTACAAAAAACTTTAACCAAAATTTCTAAGCTAAAAAGGGACATAATTCTGTCAATATTGTAGGCAGAGTTATCCAACTTGTCAATCTGATGTACCTTGTTACTATAAATAAAGTACTGTAAGTTTCAATTGAATATCTCAAGCAATAATTGAGATATTTGACTTTATAAAAAAACTTTAACCAAAATTTCTAAGTTAAAAAGGGGCATAATTCTGTCAATATTGTAGGCAGAGTTATCCAACTTGTCAATCTGATGTACCTTGTTACTATAAATAAGTATTGTAAGTTTCAATTGAATATCTCAAGTAATAATTGAGATATTTGACTTTACAAAAAACTTTAACCAACGCAGACGCTGACGCGGACGCTGACGCCGACGCCGGGGCGACTACAATAGCTCTCATATTCTTCGAATAGTCGAGCTAAAAATGGCATGTTTCTCATTACATGTCCCAGTGACCTTAAACTTTGACCTATTGACCTGAAATTGGTTTGACAGGTAGAACTGGTAGAAGTGCACCTACATATAAATATGAAGCTCTTAGGTCAATGCATTTGAAAACTGTATGCCTTCAGATGAGCCAAAACATTTCAAGAAAATTAAACTTCAGAAAAATGTACTAAGACTTTTTAGAAAGTAAAAGATTTAAGGACTGCAATTAAGGACTGATTTTGAAGTATTGTTCACCATATTTCTACTCAAGAAAAAGGCAGTAATGGCTATTTTTCCTTTGTTTGACCTCTTTCTGGTAATTAACTTAGATTGCAAATGATTTTTAAAAATATATATATTATTTTCTTTGTTTTCTTAACAATATTATACTTGTAAATACATTTTTTAATTTTTCATGAAAATTAGCATGAATCTGGATTAATTCAATAACCAGGTTTGTGTTTACTTATTACATGTCTCAATACCTTTAAATTGGTCTGACAGGTAGAACCAACATAAATAGATTCAAGTTATACCATTGAAAGAGTTTAAGTAACAGGCTACATTAAGTTTTTGCATGACAATGACAACAATGATGATAATAACTCAACTTTTAAGCGAAACAGACTAGCTACAATTAATCCTTATATAAACAGATACATGTGTGTAAAATCTACAGACCTTTCAATGTTATGCAAAATGTACAAGGTCCCAACACAAATATTTCAATGTCCAAATATTTGATTGGAACCTACTGAGCTTTAAGACAAGATTTTTTTTTAAAGATTTAAAAGATAAATGATGTATACTCACAGGCTCCAGCTCGTCTCCTGTATCAACAAACATAAACATTGCTTCTTCTTGCCACTGAAACATTTGAATGTTGTTAATACTTTAATGTCATTCTAAATACCTTATAACCATTATCTATTTATTCCTTTGGGCCTTTAATAACACATTGTTTGTTTCCCCTCCCCCTACCTTCCCACAAAAATTATTGCTACTTAAAAATGTTGTTGCCAAAGAAAACCAATATTCAATTTTTATACATAACCAATGAAGCAGATTCTGTCAATCAGTATCACTTCTTTATATCTGTCTGATATTTTTTGCATTGCTAATATACAAACTGGGTTATATCTGAAAGGAAACTTTAGAACTTTTGTTCTAAACTTAAAAGGTGCTAATTTTATTTAATCCATATAATTCAGATATAAATAATAATTATGTTCAAATAAAAAATATTTTTGGATAAATAATATTTTACCTACCAAACCTACCCAAACGTGGACATGGGTTGTAGGAGAGGAAACATAGGTAATTTTAGGGATTACCTCATGTATGGTATATATATTCTATTATATTACCCAAGAACTTTCAAGAACTTTATTCAGCAAATGTTGCAACAGGCAATACTGATATATTAATCTCATAGTGTGAATTTTGTCAAATATTTATAATATGAACAAAACTTAACAGATGCTAAACACACAGAAAAACTTACATTTTTAGTTTATAAATTTTAACGAACAAGTTAAATTAAGATCTTAGAAAAATTTGTGTAATTTCATATCTTTATCAGAAGTACTAAATTTCTCCAAATTCCAAGTCAAAGATATTTTTCAGATGTTTATTAGACACAAAACTACACTGTTTTATCTCATGTTGACTATGTATGTTAATTCAGTCACACAAAAATTCTTTAAGTATCGTAAAACAAAAAGAATGTTATACAAGTTTTTACAATGCTGCTTACAAATTTAAAGCTTACCTTGGTATTAAGAACTATTCCACCAATCTCTATCACAGTTTGCTCGCACAGTTTATCTGTCACACCCTTATTGAGGATATACCCCGGGGGTGCCTGAGATAATTTCATGTTTAATAAACGTTTCAACTCACTAATTGACAACACATATCTGCTGCACAACTTCTCCTTTATGAACTTGTGCAGCTCTGTTCTAAACTCCTGTGATGTATTATCACTATTATTGATGTCATGTGAAATTTCCATTGTAGCACCATTTAAGACACTGTTATGATTATGACTTGATGATGAGGATTTATCATTTTTTGATAAGTGGTCTATATCAAAAGGTTCAGTTTCCATATCACTATGGTCCGATATAGAACGTCCACTCAATGTTCGTTTCCTTGTTCGTGAAGTTCTACGTCTTCGAGGTCTCTCCGCTTGTGCTTCAGCAGCAGCAATTTCTGTAATGATATGATTTTCTATCAATTTCTGTTAAAAAGATGTGATTTTCAATCAATTTTTGTTAAAAAAGATATGATTTCCAATCAATTTCTGTTACAATGATATGATGTTCAATCAATTTCTTTTACAATAATATTCTTTTTCAATCAATTTCTTTTACAATGATATGATTCTCAATCAATTTCTGTTACAATGATATGATGTTCAATCAATTTCTTTTACAATAATATTCTTTTTCAATCAATTTCTTTTACAATGATATGATTCTCAATCAATTTCTGTTACAATGATATGATGTTCAATCAATTTCTTTTACAATAATATTCTTTTTCAATCCATTTCTGTTACAATGACATGATTTTCAATCAAATCATGGTGTGTTTTCTTTTAAATTGTTTTCATAACTGATAAATTGAGTGATAATAATCATCACTTCATGAATTATCTTAAAACTAAGGGAAAAAAGAATTTTTACATATTCTATGCAATTTAATGAGAAGTACTGGGTTTAATGAGATTTCATTTATTGTAATTAACACATTTGGAAAAGGAATACATTTGCACATAAAAATGAACATACATTGTCCTTCCTAAGAGAGAAATTATAAATAAGAACTCATACAATAATATATTCAGTACCAATACACAAAATTGACATGGTACTTAACCGTAATTTAGAAATCTTAAGTTCAAATCTGCGAACATTTTACCTCTGATTTTTTTCTCCTGTGCCTCTGAAATATTCAGCTGTTTACTTAGTGTTTGAAACTTGGCATCCCACAACATGTTCTGCCTCTCAACTATTTCTTGATATCTGTCAAGTAAAGGTGAATACAGGTAACTTTATCTCAAAAGATTGTTTCTATTACCTTCATGCAAGGTGTTTTTTATATCAAATAATCTAAATGGTAATCTGTCAATACAGTTAAAATCAAAAGATTGACTAACAAGTATCAGGAAATATTTGTTCCAAACATTTAAACATATCAAATCTAAGTACATGGATTTAAAATTTCACTTTGTCTATATTATCCACAAGAAATTTAAGTGCATAGACTTAAAATTTCACTTTATTTATTTTATCCACAACAATAGCTGTCCGTAGGACTCTGCTAGATTATTCTCAGTGCTTGAAAGTTAGGCAAGTGCCTGGAAGAATTTTTAAGGGCATTAATTCTAGAGCTGTCATTGATTCAAGACAAAGCATATCAACGATATATCGATATTGGATGTCAAATATCAACGATACACCGATATATCGATAATTACCTAAAATTACTTGTCTTTCATTCACTTTTTTATCTGTTTAAATGATTTCAGTTGAAAACATAACCTGTTCAGTGTCTTGTTTATAAAAGTCCATTGCATGATTTTTATCCAGACCATTTTTTTTTGTCATCAATGCTATGAATATATTTTCACTATGTAACAACAGATAATATTAGACATGGCGCCTGCTTCTGTATATGTTTTCGGTGAATTTTCCTAATTTCTAGACATTCATTTAATAAGTCAAAATAATCGATCTATTAAAATGTGTATCGATTATTGATACATCGATATTATTTCTATCAATAACCGCTCTAGATAATTCTGTCAAAATCCGTGTTAAGAGTTATAATTATTCACCTTTGACAGTGACCTATTATGCCCTGAAATAAATGTGTGAAGTTTCAACTCATTCCCTGATATCAATGTATAAGTTTAACCGAAGTGTGATGGCAACGGCAACAGTGGTGATTACAAAAGCTTAAAATAGGTATACAAACAAAGTGAATAGCTGATATTTTTCTATATTTTTGGATTGACCTAACTTCATATTGTAGTATCTAACTATACAAGTAGAGGAATGTACAAGATGCTGATCCATGCTAAATTTTAAAAATAAACCTTACTTACTAAAATAAACTTTGAACCTTCCCTGTAAACGAAAGGCAAGAGATTTGTCAATGACCTTAACCGCTCAGCCAAAAAGGCTCCACATTTAATAACTGACTTATCTGTGGAATAAAATACTGACCTATCAGTGAAGTCATAATCATGTTCAAAGACAAACTCCCAGCCATGGTTAACTTTAATATGTGACATTTGTTCTAAAATATCTTTCACATCTTCACTTGGAAGTTTCACAACCGAGGCTATTTCTTTCCTTGTTACACATCGTGACATTGTGAATCGCCACATCTGGTGAAAAATAGAAAATATTTATTTGGAAAGAAAGGAATAAACAATAAAGGTTACATAAAACTAATTGCAACAAGAGCCATGTCAACATGGCCATCCCCCGCCGAATGTGTTTGCTCATTGGAAGAATGTATATGTAGTAGAGCAGAATAATTCCATTTTAAGAGGTCTTTTGGTAATGAAAACTGATGGCTATAGTGATTACAGATTTGAAACCTATGTGAATACTGATGGCTGAAAATAACAAAGGGCAATAACTGAAAAATAATGCAGGGTAGGTTATCATTCTTGTGTGCTGCATCCCTCCTCAGTAAAATCTATCCACCTATGAAGTTTCAAGTTGATACCTCAAATACTTTTTGAGAAAAAAAATGAATTGAAAAATTAAGTATGAAAAATAACAAAGGGCAATAACTCAAAAATTATAAAAGGTAGAGTTATCATTCTTGTGCAGTGCACACCTACTGGGTGAGATCTATGCACCTATGAAGTTTCATTTTGATATCTCACAGGCTTTTTGAGGTATGCTCTGGACAAAAATTAATTTTGAAAAATAACAAAGGGCAATAACTCAAAAATAATGCAGGGTATAGTTATCATTCTTAAGCACTGCACTCCTCCTCAATGAGATCCATCCACCTTTGAAGTTTCAAGTTGATACCTCAAATACTTTTTGAGATAAGCTCTGGACAAAATAGCATGAAAAAAAACAAAGGGCAATAACTCAAAAATTGTATAGGGAAGAGTTATCATTCTTGCGCACAACATTCCTCCTCAATAAGATCTATCCACCTATGACATTTCATGTTGATATCTCAAACACTTTTTGAGTTATGCTCCACTCAGGTGAAAAATTAGGTATGAAAAATAACAAAGGGCAATAACTCAAAAATTATGAAAGGTAGAGTTATCATTCTTGTGCACTTCACACCTCCTGAGTGAGATCTATGCACCTATAAAGTTTCATGTTAATATCTCATAGGCTTTTGGAGTTATGCTCTGGACAAAAATCAATTTTGAAAAATAACAAAGGGCAATAACTCAAAAATCATGCAAGGTAGAGTTATCATTCTTGTGCACTGCACTCCTCCTCAATGAGGTCTATCCACCTATGAAGTTTCAAGTTGATAACTCAAATACTTTTAGAGATATGCTCCGGACAAAAATGTCGGACGGACGGAAGGTCGGACGGACGGATGGACGGACGGAGACTATTTCTATATCCTCCGCCGAAAATTTTCGGCGGGGGATAATAAAGTCAAATGATATTTGTTCCAAAAGAATTAAAACTAAACATTTAAAGATACTGAAGAATTACTTAAATCATAAAATTTTATCTCAGAGATGACTGTCAATCATTATGTCACTGACAAAGTTAAACACATGGTCTTACTATGACAAACACTAAGAAAATCTATAGTTGGCCTAGATGACCTTAACTCAATCCAGAATACCAAACAAATATCAAAAATACCATCCTATATAAAAGTTATTACTAGAAATAGTAAAAATCTGAAATGGAAGGATGGAAGGACAGAAAATTTCAGACTTAAAAGAGGAAGTAAAGTATAACATACCACAAAATCTCTGCCTCGACACAGTAACTCGGAGGATATACCACTATTTGGACTACAACCATCTTTGGGATAAAGGATTTCACTGAAATTTTAAAACAAAATTCTTATAAGATTTAAGTATTTTAATAAAATGAAATACAGATACATTCACTGATCTTATGAAAATTAATTTTACACATTACACACATGTTACATTAATGGCACTCCACTGAGGTCCAAATGCCTATAAAATAAAATTTTAATGTCTTTCATAAATAAACTGGGGCACTTAAAACAGAGATATACAAAATATAATTAAGAAATAAATTGAAGATCAAACTTTTTTGCTATACTTACCCTAATTGGACTGAAAAGCATTGTTAAGCATTTCAACTTTAGACCTTTTTTCACAATAAGAATAATTATTCTGGAAAAACAGAGTGAGCAAATGATCTGAAATTATGCACACAAGTTAACGGTCTAGACCTATATCAAATGGAACATTGATCTCGAAAAAATATTTCCAATCCCATTATGTTAAAAAACTTCAGTATAATAGTACCTTTTAACAACCCAGCATCCTTGGACAAGGACAGCAACAATCTGTATTGCACGTAGTGTAGCCTGAGGATCTGTACCTTGTGGTAACAGGTGTAAAAGCTGATTGAATCTGATCACCTTAGCTGAAATAAAATATATACAAGATAATGGAATAAACATTCTTAAAAACAGAAAAAAACAATGTAAAATTCTTAAGTGAGCATCTAAGTATTGACAGTAACCAAATATTAGAGTACACTAATGATAATTTCCAACAAAAAAACTCAATTGCTTTTTAGACTTCAAAAGAAAATATTGTATTTAACTGCTTTCCAGAATATGCATATTATCTACAGTAACTAGTGTGCAGATGTACAGAATATAGCAAAAAAAATATCTCTTACCATTGGTCAACAATGCTTTTACTTGGTCACTTAATGGCATTGACTTCAGTTGTGTCAGAGACAGAACATTACTTGGCATAGCTGGTTTCTCACTGAAAAAATAACATAGGAATGAAAAGTACTTACTTTTAACCCTGAACATGCTGTAGCTGATGTGATTAGCCTTTGTCACCAGTATAGAGACAGGCCACACTTTGAAATTTGAATAAAAAACCTAGTTTAAGCATTGGACATTACATTTCCAAATCATGAGCATTTAACAATTAACCTTAAACACCATTTAGGTGTAGTGGTTGACAGAACATACCAAGACACTATTCTTAGATATCAATCGCTATAGAGCTGAAAGACTGAGAGAATAGACAAACCAGAAAATAAATGCACCTTAAAAAAATTCCAAGTAGAACAAATAAGGCCGGATTCCAACGACAGATTTTCCATTGATGAATAATTAAAGTAAGCTTACTGTTGTACTTCATCAGCATGTGCCATCAACATTTTGAGATACTCTGATGATTCTACGTGGAACTCATTGCTAGTTTCCTCACTTTTTAATGACAACGATCTAAGATCTCGCTCTGACGCTTCAGTCTGCAAAGTATAAAAATTTACATGACAAACATGGGTTTTGTTTGTTGGTTTTTTTTAAAGTCATACCAGCATTGTAATGGTCATATGGTGATTTTTAAGCTTTTATGTTGGATGAAGATCTCAGGTGCCCCTTTGTGCATTATTTCAGACAGGAGCTGGCACCTGAGTAAGATAACAGACCTTCCATAAGCTAGGCTAGCTCCCTCACATGACATAAAAGAATTTATATATAAAAGTACAAAATTGTCAACACTTGAACAGATCAAAATGCAATAAATTATTATGCACCTAACATGAATGTGCTCTTTTTCACAAAACACATTTGTTTGGAAAAGCTCCTACTTGTAAAGTTTCATTTATACCTCCAAAACACTTGTTACATGAAGTCAAAAGTCTACAAAATGTCTATTAACAAATAAATAATGACAGAGCTAGTTTACAAATTCATCCCAACTATATTTCTTTGATTGAAAAGATTTTTATCTTGTTTAACCTGAAGCAAAACATTGTTTTCTTTATCTTCAGACAGATAAGGTCAAGACACTTACATATGTATTAGAGAATCTTAGAGGGACCCAGGCTTCTTCTTCCTGTAGTTTCTGCATGTGTCCGAAGGAAGCAAGACGTCTAGCTTTCGCTATATCTGACTCTGGTCTAGCAAACTTTACAGTGACTGCCTTAGCTTCCTCCTCACCTTCATCTTGTGAAGAGTCTCCTGTAAATTAACATATCATGACTTGAGTTACTTATCAGAGCAATTTTGTTGTTGTAAAAATACACAATATGACTATTTTTCAATCGAGAATTTGTTTCATTAATTGGTATTCCTAGATTTTTTTGCCAATTTTAACATGTACACTAAAGAGCAACAGACAATTTTTCAGACAATTAGTTTTTCATTACATGATATATAATTTTTCATGTATCTGTTGTTTCGACTCTTTTCTGAAATAAAATTGGTGTAAAATCCTATCCTGTAAATTAAAAGCTATTTCAATTATGCCTCTGTAAGTTAAATAGCTCAAAATAACATTGTAGCGAAAATTTTCTTTTTTACAAAAAATTTGTATCTGATACTGGTAATCTAATTTTGGTATCAAGATTGTTTTGATTTTTTTCCCTGTCATTATACGTTTTTCTTAAATTATATATTAACTTTATTACAAATATACCTGCTTCTTGAGCTGCCAATTTGCTCTCTGCACGGGTGTCTGACTTGTCTAAATAATGGAAGCTAGGTTTCATCTGGACTTGGGCATGCACTGGACTAAGGAACAAATCACCTGTGAATTATATATATAAGTTGTATAATTACATGATAGTAAATGATAGTTTCAACACTGAAATTGTAAACCACAACATTATCAATTCAAAATTTAACTTTAATCGCAAAAAACTCAACTTACAAATGATGGTAATATAAAAATTATCAGTCATTGAATTTAAGATTTTGAATTTATTGGCCCGAATTCCAGTTTTAAATTTATTCTACTATATATTTAACTAAATTTTCTTAAAATTTACACCGGCCCAAACTAATTTTCACTGGCCATGGACCACCAGGCCAGTGCTAAATTTGATGACTGAATTATTATTTGTTTGTCGAGGCCTCCCACCAGTGCTTTTCTACAACTGACTTGCCATTCTTATAGTCTTTTATTAACATTCAATATGGTCATTCCCATATTTGACATGGATTTTCAAAAACTAAAAATTATAAAATGACCACCAGAATCAGTACTGATACTATCATTTAAAAGGGCTAGGACATGCTTACTTACCATCCTTCAAATAGCCTAAAGCATATCTTCCACTGTTAGTTCCTGATGGATATGATGATAATACTTGTTTGTCCATCTTATCACTGTAATTAAAACATAACTTTCACATTCTCCAACATTCTAACATAAAATAAAGACCATCAAAACCATATAATATTAATTTTACAGTAAACTTATTACAAAGTTTAGCTGTTAGCATCAATCAATTGATATATCAAACACTTAACTCCCTTGTTTGTCTGAATATATTTGTATGTGTAATACAATGTGTATTGAAAGTCCAAAAGACTGAAAGCTACATCAAGTGTCAAACACTAAATATATCAGATAATGCAATTTGAGCTACAATACATAGATTTAATAACTTTTTATAATTGTCAAATATCCTGTATGTACATTCTTTTAAAATGAGTTTTTGAAAATATGGTAACAGTCACAAAAGTTTCTCATTTGAAAATAATATCTGGGGTAAATTGAATGAGTCTTCTGATTTATTATTACAATAAGTCTGTATCAACTAAATCCATATTTGTTACTATATAATTCTCTTGTAATGTTTAAAGACAGTTTTACAATTGATCATTAATTCCTTTAAAAATACATACTTCATTGAAATATCAAATTATTGTATATTATAGCACATTTACCTGCTGTAGAAAGAAGAAGCATCTGGGTTCCTACCATCTACATTGAGAGCAAACTGTTCACCTTTACTGTTACAATAATGCTTACTTTTTGTATTTAAAGCAACTTCTAATTCCAGCTGTAAGAAAAATATAAACCATTCATACTATATTACTTTAAAACATGTATAAAACATTACTGGCCCAGGAATAATATTTATTATGGTCCAAGGTTTAAATCTAGCCTATAGAACCTGTCAAATGTCATAAAACAAAAAACAATTTATTTCTTTTTAAATTTTCACAGTTTGCCATTAAATAAGAAGCAGAAAAGTCTGAAGAATAGAATTGATTTTATTAACTGACCAAGTGCTATGCTAAAGAACACTAATGTCTTCATGAAGAAAATAGAGGTTTTCAACACTTGAACATGTTAGTACTGATTTATAATATAACACTGCCTCTCAATGGTTTATGATTTGGAAACTTGTCAAGATTTACGGATGTAACCTCAAAACAAATATATGAATACACTTGATGACAGGGAGCTGACAAGAAGATTGCATAAATCATTATAAACAATACTACTAACATGTACAATAATTATTGAAACAAGAGGGCCATGATGGCCCTGAGGTCGCTCACCTGTATATAGGCCCCCCCAACCCCCACCCCCACCCACCCAACGTTGCAGGGCCAATTTAACCCAAGGGCTTTTATTTGCACAAACTTGGTAGACACCCATAAGAAGATGTTTCATGCTAAACATCTAAGCTCTAGCTCATTGGGCTTTTTAAAAGAAGATTTTTTTTAAAGTTTTTACTATATGCATATAGTTAAAAACAATGACACCCCTGGGGCCGGGCCAGGGCTTTTAATTGAACAAACTTTGTAGACACTTACTAGAAGATGTTTCATGCTTAATATCTAAACTCTAGCTATTTGGGTTTTTTCAAAGAAGATTTTAAGTTTTTGCTATACACATATAAAGAAAATCAATGACCCCCGGGGCGGGGCGGGGCCAATTTTGACCCCAGGTCTTTTATTTGAACAAACTTTGTAGACACTCACTAAAAGATGTTTCATGCTTAATATCTTAACTCTAGCTATTTGGGTTTTTTCAAAGAAGATTTTTTAAGTTTTTGCTATACACATATAAGGAAAATCAATGACCCCCGGGGCGGTGCCAATTTTGACCCCAGGGCTTTTATTTGAACAAACTTGGTAGACACCTATGAGAACATGTTTGATGCTAAATATCTTAGCCATAGCTCTTTGAGTTCTTTAAAAGAAGATTTTTTAAGTTTTTACTATATGCATATAGGCAAAATCAATGACCCCCCCCGGGGCGGGGCCAATTTTGACCCCAGGGCTTTTATTTGAACAAACTTGGTAGACACTTATTAGAACATGTTTCATGCTAAATATCTTAGCTTTAACTCTTTTGGTTCTTTAAAAGAAGATTTTTTAAGTTTTTACTATATGCATATAGGGAAAATCAATGACGCCCTGGGGCGGGGCCAATTTTGACCCCAGGGCTTTTATTTGAACAATTTTGGTAGACACCTATTAGAACATGTTTGATGCTCAATATCTTAGCCATAGCTCTTTGAGTTCTTTAAAAGAAGATTTTTTAAGTTTTTACTATATGCATATAGGGAAAATCAGGGGCGGGGCCAATTTTGACCCCCAGGGCTTTTATTTGAACAAACTTGGTAGACACCCATTAGAACATATTTCATGCTAAATATCTTAGCTCTAGCTCAAAGAAGTTTTTTTAAGTTTTTACTATATGCATATAGGGAAAATCAATGACCCCCCGGGGCGGGGCCAATTTTGACCCCAGGGCTTTTATTTGAACAAACTTGGTAGACATTCACAAGAAGATGTTTCATGCCAAATATCTAAGCTCTAGCTCTTATGGTTTTTTAAAAGAAGATACTTTAAGTTTTTACTTTCGGTTGCCATGGCAACCAGAGTTCTGCATGGAATTAAATTCTTTGAACAATTTTTAAAGGTGACCACCAAAGGAACATTCCTGTGAAGTTTGGATGAAATTGGCTTAGTGGTTTATGAGGAGATGTCATTTAAAGTAAAAGTTTACGGACGGACGATGGACGGACGCCGGACGAAAAGCGATCACAAAAGCTCACCCTGTCACTTTGTGACAGGTGAGCTAATAAAAAATAAAGTACCACAAAATTTAATATTACCTTCTTTTGATTTGGTTTAACTTTTCCAGACAGTAATTCAACATTATCATATGTCATGAAGCTAGGTCGCACTGGGTACTGAAGTATAAATATGTGCAGATTTTATTACAATGTTATGATGGAAAGCTGATATGAGAAAATGTTTTATTGACTACAAGAGATGGCCATTACATCACTCACCTTACCATAAACGGCTACAAATTACAAGGGACACTTTAATTTTGATAATTATAAAAGAAAAGCAGGTTTTGCAATCTGAAATAAAGCATGTCAAAAAGTCAATTATGTTGGAAACCAAATACTGGTATAAAGATCACTGGCTGTTTTGGGAGTCTCTGATTGCTTTCAGAAGTCAATGGCTGCTATGGCAAAAACTGGTAGGTAACTTAAGGAAAGTCAATAATTGCTATGGAAGTCACTGGTTTTGAAGGAAAGTCAATAGATGCTATGGAAGTCACTGGTTGCTATGTTAAGTCAATGGCTGCAGGGGAAGAAACTGGTTGCAATGAAGTCAATGGTTTCTTTGGTTGCTATGGTAAGTCAAAAGCTGTTTATTCTGTTTTGACCTTGGCCAGACAAATGTTGACTTCTAGGCTATAACTAAAACAAATTTGAATCCTGTCCATTGGATAATATTGTATGCAAAATTTAGAAGTGTTAACCTTTACTGGTTTTATTTGAGCAATCTTGGTAGAAGTCCACTAGACCAGAGTAAGTTCTAATCTTTGCTGATTCAATAAGTTTATAATATACACAGAAGAAATTGTGCTCATTTGAAAAGATTTTTGAAGTTTCAAATAAAAACCTTCAGTGATTGTTGACGCACAACCATAATATGATAATTTGCAAAGGAGTAATTCATTAGGAATTCATGCAAGCTTTATGGGTCATGTATATTGACTACAATTATGATCCTAAATATACTTGTTAAGTTTCAAGTGATTACTTTTTATGGTTGAGGAGACCTGAACCTGAAACTTTCACAAAGTTCACTAAGGAATATAATTAACAAAACATCTAGAATTTTGGGGCTTTTGACAGTGAACTACAATAATAAACCTAAAGGCAAAGTGAGCAATTTCAAGTTAATATCTTCAATGGTAAATAAGATAATGTCACATGGTTGTTCCTTTTCTTTATTAATGTGTGGTGTCCTGTATTATCCTCTGTATCTATTGCATTTTGTTTGTATTGTAATATACATCTATCCATATAGCACACAGATTCTATTTACCATACCGGTAAGTAATACAATACATAGCACATATGCATTTATTTCTCATAAAACACATACTTTCAATTCATAAATAGAACATCTGACTGTAACACTAACTATTTACTTACTTTAATACTAATTTGATATATAATAATATATGTTGGCACATACCTGCAGTAGGTAAAGGTTACTTGAAAGTCTTTTGCTAAGGTGGACATTAATCTAGAATTAAAAAAAGCATAATAATGTGACAATAAATATGTATTTTAAATATGTGACAGTGAACAAGAAATGTTTATCTCTGCAAATCAAATAACACTGACAAAAAACCTTTCAAGATCTAGTAATGTGAAATTGTCAGGGGTTTCACTCTCTACACTATTTACACTGAAGACCTTTACTCTTGGGAAATGACCCTCATTTATTATCTTGAAGATATGAATTATGTTTCAAGTGAATACCATCAGTATGATTGCTTTCTTCACCATTGTAAATAAGCTGTTTGTTATTTTGTAACAAGTCTTCTGATTGGTCGATAGCAACGAAACAGCAATGTTTTAACACAAGGATACCTGTTCCTTTCTTGCAAGTATTAATTTAACATTAATCAATCGTTAGACCGTGGACAGATTTAGGTTTGAAACTCGAATCTAGCATGAATCATATGCTTATAACGGTTGTGAGTGGTCCCTGTATTTAGGAATAATATTTAGTAAATTCAAGTGATTTTTGACTCGTACTTGGCTGACAACCATGTATTAGTCTATGTTTATGTACCAAATCATTGTATTTTATAGTGTTGTATCTGAGCCTGAAAAAAATACAGGGTACACAGGAAACTGGCAGGGCACATACATTGTATGGTAAATGGGACAGGGTGTGCTGTGATTAATCTATGAGATTGACAGAGATTTAGTAGATTTTTTACACATTGTTTTCTATGGGGTTAAGCAAATGAAAAGATATCAGGATAAATTAACAGTAACAGTTTTATTAAAACATACACATCATCACTCAGCAGGGTTTTTTTTTAATTTTGGGGAAAAGGCCTGGCCTGTCAGTTGGGGAAAAATGCACGAAAAATAACATATTGGAGAAAATCCCTTACATTAATAAGTTAATAATGTCAAAATTAACAATTAAAACATGGAACAAAAGTCAAGTGAGTCATAAATAATGAAAAAATTTCAGATCTCAGAGCCATCTTCTTAGCCTTGAATTCCTTTTACATGTACATATAAACCACTTTATTTAAGTTTGAATCACTCAAGTTAATATCATTTGTGGTGTTGACAAGCTTTATCATTGCTGTAACCTCCCCACACAACTCACCTATCTATTTCAGAATGGTTGCTTTGATTTTCATATGTAAAAACTGCATTCAGTGCTAAATAAATCAGTGGATGGTTCTCAAAGGACATATTGACACATGAAATCATAAATATCAATTGATTATTTTATGTCTTATACCGTAATAATTCTATTTAGCGCCCAGGCTTTTATTAGAATCATGGACTATTCGAAAGTTGGGGATGGGCGTTAATTGAAGACGCATCTTCATAAGACAGACTAATTTTCTAAGCAAGGCTTTATAAGGTCGGACTTTTTTTTTTTTTTTTTTTTTTTTTTTTTAGTCAATCAACAATTGTAGATATGTCAGATACGGATTATATGTACTTTAAATTATATTCTATAGCATATAAAAGTACTTAAAATGTTAGACTACCAAACCTAGTCTTCAATATTTTATTTTGAAATAAATTTTACCAATGGCATGACTCGACTTTCGTTTTCATTTTTTTTATTCTTACCGAACAACTGGCTTTAATTTTAATATTATCACTCTTAACATGACCATGCACGTCCGAAAAATGTTTTGAGCTGTTTTGCTGTGGTCTATTAATTTGATTTCCTGTTTTGCCAAACTATGATCGTATTTTTAAAGAAAATCGCCAGCAGTGACACTTCGGCTGCTTGTTGTGCCGCCATATTAGCCAGTGCGCGTTAATACGTAATTGGAACCCAAATCGTCTGTGCCTCACATCGTTGTCGACTCCCAATACTAAAACCCGTCTTCGGTACAGGCGCCATTTTTTTTTGTACATCGATAAAAAACTTTGGGTCGGCGCTAAAAAATAGGGTCGGTCCGGCCACCGGAAACACAACATTTTTTTTTAGGCCTAAATCCACTCGCCCCTCATAACTATAAGAAGAAATCGAATCCGAAGATAGAGCAAATGTTGATTAATAATTGCAGACAACGCTAAAGTCTGTTCTTTTCCGCACTTTAATACTGTGCATGTAGAGTCCGGTATCCGAGCACGGGAATAAAAAATGAGCCTCACGCATTGTTACTGCAAAAATATAATAGTATATTTTTAAGGTGGCTCATATTTCATAATTTTTTTGTTTGTTTTTGACACATTAAAGACGAACACACATTTTTTTTTATCAATCTCATGTGGTCATATTTGTTCCCAGGTCCGATACTCTTGTCTGTGGGAATAACTTACTTTTACTTTACTTTATCCAGCGTAGGGTCGCGAGATCAGAAATCTCTTATAACCCCCTCGAGGTCTGACACCCAATGATTATTATCCGGTATAACAGTACAGTCTGCACGAAAAACTTTTTATGGACAAAGACATTCGGGCTTGGTCCATTAAAATATCACATAGCCCGAACAAATTTTAGGTAGCCCGAAAATTCATACAAAATTTTTCATAATTTGGCCAGGTTTTCAAATTTATATATATTGTGAAGAAATTGATAAAAAGCTTTGTCAGTTGAATAACATTTATTTCTGATATTCTACACTGAAAGATAATAGATTTCTTTCAACTTCTTGTTGACTCATTTCCATAGGCTCATCTTCATCTATACCAGAATCATAATCCGAGTCGCTGTCTCTGTCAGAACATTCCCCGTGGTTATGATGCTGAAAATATTACGGAAAATAAAGTGAAATTCATTGTTATTAAATAAGAATAAAATTTTTCAAAACAACACAAATGTTTTACTTTTTAATATTATAAGTATATTAAAATTCAAACCTAAGCTAACATGGCAAACTTGTGAAATGGATAGCTTTTCTTTGAAATTGGAACAGTCAATTTATAATTATTATTTAAAGTTTTAAGTGATTTCAGTATCAAAATACAAAAAAATGGTTAGTCTAGACTGCAGTATAAAATTGAATACGGGTTGTAAAGGTAAAGAGCTGAATTCTGGTTGCTTGTTGTTTTTTTTTTAATAGTAAACAATTAACAACTTCATGAAAAATGTTTCAAAAAGTAGCAATATACCTCTTCAGCAAATACTTGTTCTGGAGGAGAACTTTCTAAAGGTTTGTCTGTGTTGATATCAGAATCTTGCTCTTGCTCTATAATACACACTGATACATGCATCTATGTGCGCCATTTTGACATTTTAATAACGCGGTATTTGATTGGCTTAAAATGTCTATGCATTATTTCAATAAGCTTACCCCTCTGGCGTTTTGGAAATACCAGTGTCAATAACCCGAAAAAAATCAATATGCTATACCCCTCTCGGCAGTTATAAATAGTATCGACGTATATTGGAAAATCCCGTGTCAATACCTCGAAGAAAATCAATATGTTATATCCCTCCCAGTCATTGTGTTTAAAATTCTATTTATAATCATTTCGGTTTCCCAAATAATGCAAGACCGTCGGACTATGTGCCTTGCCTTTTTAGCTAGCCCGAATGATTTTTTACTAGACTCAGGCTCGGGCTTTGAGTATTTTTCGCAGACTGACAGTATATAATTTGATTTCATAACCTTATCGAGTCTGTTTTTTAGCGAATTCAGCGTTGGTGAACATACTACAGAATCTGGTAATTTATTCCATTCTGGTATTACTCTTAATGAGAAAACATGTTTTCTTAATTCCTTTTTACATGATTTTATTTTGAACTTCATGGAATTTCCATAGGAACTCTGGAACAGGACCGCATATTGCGGCGCATAAATCCGAATCCTTAGCGGCTTTACATATAGTTTGTCCGACCTTTGAATATCTTTTCATATTTTGCCAGCGGGTGGTCTTTAATTATCTAATCTCAATTTAATATAATCTGCTAATTTAAAAATCAGTCAAATTTACGGTTTATTGAAAAAAGAAAAGGAGTGACATCCGCCATTTGCCGCAACGTTCGGCTTAAGTTATCCCCCTTGATATGTTTGATTTTTGTTTTAATTTTTCTAGTAATGAATACGAGATGAGTGCCTAAAATATTTATCTTTGGATCATGTTTTAATATTCCTTTTTTCAGTTAGGCAAAATCAGTTGGACCATATTACTAAAGTGTCTGTTTTCACCATTTTAACAAATCAATACACGAATACGCCCGTTATAATGCCGCCTATACATGTCAACATGTGTAAACAATAAACCGTTAACGTTATATCTGGACGATACCTGATAGTTGACAAAAATAACGGGAACAAAATACTGAAAAAATAGTAATCAATTGTAGCCAAATGGGAAAAACTCATGCCGAAAACGTTGCGGCAAATGGCGGATGTCACTCCTTGTCTTTTTTATAATACCGTAAAATTTGACCAGTTTTAAAAGAGAAAGATTGGGTTCAATTGGTAATATATCTTTTGAGTCCATACACTCGGATAATACTAAAAGATATTTAGATGTAGCAGAAACGTTTTTAAAAACCGTCACACGATCGAAAATATACTCCGCAATCTGCGGTCCCGTTCTCGAGTTCCTATGGGAATTTCCTCTGATGTGATGATTATCAAGTTGTGCTTTTTCAAAAAATACATTATAATCTATATCTTCCTTCCCATTTAATACGCGGAAAGTCCGAGCGGGGCCAAAGGCCCCGCGAGGGCTGTAGCGCTCTTAGATAACATGTATGACGCGTATCAATTCAAAAGAAATCAAATTAAAAGTTAATGAAAAATTCAAAAAAATATATATCCCAAACCTAATGAGCTGCGAAAAAATCCTTAGTTAGCGGGCGCCGCCATTTTGAAATCTAGGTTGTAAAACGCTTGACAAGCGCCTCTTGTAAAACGCTTAACAAGCGCCTCAATGGCTGAATATTTAGACTGGTTTAAATGTTATGAATAGCGGGCGCTTTTTGATTTTCATTCCGAAAAGCGTGTAAACTACACTGATTTTTTATCATTAAACGGCCCAGTCGTCTGCTTTTTTATCGCTGTCGTCTCAACAGGCTGAACGGTACTATTTTGGCATAATTACATTTTCCTATTTAAAGTCCTAGAATTATATTTACTTTTGCATATTTGGACTACCACAAATTTTACATGTTTCTTTTTGTACATTTAAATATATTTTAACATTTTTAATTAAGTTACTTATGCAAGTTTATGCAATAACTTGAGCTAGTCCTACTGGACTATACTGTATACAACTATACCAGTTCTAAATATGTTTAAGTGAAATTCCAAGCATATTTTCACTTGATTTCAATTGATTTTTCTGAAGAAAAAAAATTCATAAAAATTATATAGACTCTACCAGATCTTATGCATTATTTTCACACTTAATAATTGTCTACATTCAGCAAGCATACTGGTAAATAACTATGTCTATTTTCAACAAGCATTATTATTGGCTGGACAACAATATTGTAGGAAATCAATTCCAAGAACTTCAAACAAAAAAAGTTAAACATTTAAATGAAATATACCAAGAAAACAATTATTGTACAGAAGTAAATAATGATTAACAGGCTTCTACACAGGTATATTTACTCTCTCCAAATCAATCTGAGCATTTACATATGCAGAATGATAATTACAATGACCATAATTAATGTCTGAACAACAATGTCAACCACAAACTGATACACTTTCACAAATATAAATATCAGAGAAAATATACTTTCCATTAATTTATTATATCTCCAACAACACATTTCATCACATTCAATTATTTTTCAATTAAACAACTGTTTCTTAAAAGCATCTATGGACAAAACTAGATAATTTAAAAGGGACTAATAACAGAAGATTTTTTGGTGGGTGGTATGTCAACCACTAACTGATACACTTTCACAAATATAAATATCACATAAAATAAACTTACAATTGTATATGTACTTTCACCAATACATTCAACTAGAGGATGCTTTTGTAAAAAAGCGCATGTCTCCCCCACTGCACTGTGACCTTGACCTTTGACCTACTGACCCCAAAAACAATAGGGATCATCTGCTCTATAAGACCAATCATCCTATGAAGTTTGAGGGCTGTAGGTCAAAAGGAACTCTAGTTATCATCCGGAAACGAGAAATTGACCAACGGTCACTGTGACCTTGACCTTTGACCTACTGACCCCAAAAACAATAGGGATCATCTGCTCAATAAGACCAATCATCCTATGAAGTTTGAGGGCTGTAGGTCAAAAGGAACTCTAGTTATCATCCGGAAACGAGAAATTGACCAACGGTCACTGTGACCTTGACCTTTGAACTACTGACCCCAAAAACAATAGGGATCATCTGCTCAATAAGACCAATCATCCTATGAAGTTTGAGGGCTGTAGGTCAAAAGGAACTCTAGTTATCATCCGGAAACGAGAAATTGACCAACGGTCACTGTGACCTTGACCTTTGACCTACTGACCCCAAAAACAATAGGGATCATCTGCTCTATAAGACCAATCATCCTATGAAGTTTGAGGGCTGTAGGTCAAAAGGAACTCTAGTTATCATCCGGAAACGAGAAATTGACCAACGGTCACTGTGACCTTGACCTTTGAACTACTGACCCCAAAAACAATAGGGATCATCTGCTCAATAAGACCAATCATCCTATGAAGTTTGAGGGCTGTAGGTCAAAAGGAACTCTAGTTATCATCCGGAAACGAGAAATTGACCAACGGTCACTGTGACCTTGACCTTTGACCTACTGACCCCAAAAACAATAGGGATCATCTGCTCTATAAGACCAATCATCCTATGAAGTTTGAGGGCTGTAGGTCAAAAGGAACTCTAGTTATCATCCGGAAACGAGAAATTGACCAACGGTCACTGTGACCTTGACCTTTGAACTACTGACCCCAAAAACAATAGGGATCATCTGCTCAATAAGACCAATCATCCTATGAAGTTTGAGGGCTGTAGGTCTAAAGGAACTCTAGTTATCATCCGGAAACAAGAAATTGACCAACGGTCAGTGTGACCTTGACCTTTGACCTACTGACCCCAAAAACAATAGGGATCATCAGCTCTATAAGACCAATCATCCTATGAAGTTTGAGGGCTGTAGGTCAAAAGGAACTCTAGTTATCGTCCGGAAACGAAGAATGGACGGACGGACGGACTGACGGACGGACTGACGGACGGACTGACGGACGGACAGGGCAAAAACAATATGTCTCCCCCCGAGGTGGGGGAGACATAATTACTAGTATTCATGTATTTTTCTAAATCTACATTAAACATATTTTCATCATTTCGTCTACATCTTCCTCTCAACATTTTTTGTCATAATGATTTTTTTAATTGATGACATGTTTATTATTTCTATGTTTCTTTTCAAAATATTCCATGACATTAAATGTCATCATGACATTTCACCACTGATTAAAAGAATCTGTCTAGATTTAGAATTTAACACCATGAATAGCTACAAAACTGTATATCAACTATTTATTTAGACACTAATAAAAAGAATTTAAAGTCCTACCCATATGTTGCTCATTTTGAATATTATCAATGTATCTTTTCTTACTAGCATGCTTTTATTACTTAATCACATGTATATATATGTAATTCAAACATTCATGTTATTAATTCATATTGCATATTTCTTTTATGATTATTAAGCTAAATTTTATCATCAATTATTCACATTTGTAATCAATACTTTTAACATTTATTGATCACAGTTCTTGGAATTGGTTAATAGTTTGTCAAATTTTCTTTAAATATTGTCATATAAATACATTTTAATATATTTAAACTATGTAGTTTTTTTTTCACATGAAACAGTGAAAAACTTTTTCTGTTTTGTTCTTTTCACAGATGAATCATCTGATATTTACAACTGACTCAAGAGGGCGTATCATATAAAAATTTGTATGATGGTGTTCATGCAGATGAACATCTAAAGAGAAATGGTTCACATTTCTTTGTCATTCTGTAGAAAATGATTTAAGGTCTTTGGACTTTAAACAATAAAAAACATTCCTGTTACACAGTACTTAAATACATAAGGACAATCATCAAAATTTCAATTTAAATTTGCTTACATAACAGAACGTCTTTTAATGTTAATGAAAATTCTGTCAAGTGTGGGACATGTCAGTCTCTAACCAACAGAAACATTTAATTAAAAAGTATAAATCTATCGTTATTAAATACCAGCTATATATAAATACCAGCTATATTCAATAATTATACGGGGAAGTCAAAGACCTGGCCCGCAAAGCGGGTCCGGGCTTTGGCTTGCCCGGCTATTGACTACACGTGTATATTTAAAAGTAAATCAAATAAAAAACAATTAAAAATTATATAGAATTCTATACCTATCAATGAAATTTTCAGTGTCACTTTAGTCGGGCGCCGCCATTTACAATGAAACTTAATGATAATAGGCGGGGTATTCCGATAATGGAACAAATCTCAACTTTTCGGATAAATGATAATCGTCGAGTATTCCGAGTGAAGACGGAAGCGGTGCATGTAATACCGAATAACACCTTCAAAACGGAAAGAATGAAAGGAATTTTTCATTATTACCATTACATTGTGTTAGATAATGTAAATATTCAAAATATATACATGTATTTGTTTACTATATATATATACATGTTTTTTTTGTTGTTTTTTTTTCTTTAATTTTTTAAATGTTGATAAATGTTCTGAAGTGTGGGACATGTTAGTCTCTAACCACCAGAAACATTTCTTAAACAAAAAAAGTATAATTCAATTTTCAAGGTTTATTATCTTTAAACACCAGAATATTTAAAAATGAAACAAAAATTCTAAAATCACAGAGGTAGTGTTGAACATTATCAATATAATTCAGTTAGATAATTTCTTTGATACTGCATAATTTACATGAAGATCTACATGACTTTCCGCGCCATAGGTAGCACCTAATTTCATATTAATTTCCATGCTTGTATGATATCACCTCTAAATCTTCTGTAAGCCAAAGTAGGAATTTCCAGAATTTTTAATCTTTCTACATACGATAAATTTCTAATACATTGAACCATTTTTGTTGCTCTTTTTTGAAAGAAAATTTCATTTATTATGTTCTGAATAAATTAAAGTAAGATATTTCTTCTGCCAAGCATCACAAATCTTAACAAAATGATAATTAAATGTTTAAGGTAATTTTCAAAAAATGATAATCAAGCGTCTGCAAATACATGTCAATGGACGCTTATAAAATTTAGAAAGCAAAAATGATGCAAAACGGAGAAATTTTTCTAATAATACACAATTCTATTAAACAACACAAAAGGACAGACGCATTCAAATTGAGTTTCTAAATCAGGAATTCATATAAATTTGCATGGCAACATAGTAAAATAAGGTCATTTGTATTAAAACACCACCTCGAGTTCCACCGGATCCTCTTCGTCGTCCATGGTGGTGTACATTTGATTAATCGAACTAGAATATGTTCCACTTCAAAGTGCGGCTTACTGAAAAGAAAACTTTTTTTTAATCGAGGGTCACATATATAGAGGAGAATTCGAGAGTGTTTACAAGTTCAACACTGAATGAGTTGAATGAGTTTAATAAAGTTATATTATGCGAGCCTCTTTTTCAGAAATGAACCTCTTACTTACGCCATGCCCAAAATAAAGACAGCTTAAAGTGGAAAAAGAATCATTTTTCATTGACGCATTAATTGTGTAACATGCACTAGTTACGTTTAGCGCGCCTTTACACTTTGTTTGTATGACTCAAATGAAGTCACTGCAAAATATATACACGGTCATGCAATATCATTTTAACGGAGTCGTAAAAGCGGCATGTCTTAACATGTATAAGTATGTGACATATCAACAGCTTTTCTATCTCCTTAAATTGACTAGAGGCTTAAGTCTTTTGATTTCGAAAAAAATATTGTTAAACTTGCAAATTTAGGAAATACAAAATCCTTGTTAAACTTTTGATTTTGTTAAAATCTGCATGACTTTTACATGTCTCTGTTATATACTGTAAAAAGCTGATAAACCACAATAATAATGATATCCACGATCAAATAACTTTAATAGCAATAACCTGAAAAATTAACTGAAACTAAGAAGACCCTATGAGATGGTGGAAAAAGCTCAATCTGGCTTATAGCCTCATTGAAAATGGGCAGACAATGTGTCAACATCTATCGGCAAGGTATCTCATTGAAAAATGTTGCTGGTGTGAATGAGTCTTCATAGTAGTCGGTAAGTGGTTGAATTTGTCAGAAAGCAAGGTAAAGGAAAATTCGAGTTGGTCTTGTTACTTGTTTGAGGCAGTCTGGAAGGGAAATGGCAACTTAATTTTGAATGAGGTTTGAAGCATAAGAAAGTGCTGATCTACATGTATGCATCTTTGCTCCAGGCTTCTTCACTTTAGAGAATCAAGCATGGCCCAGACACTTTATTTACGATTGTAATCCTCTTTGACCCAGCGGGCAGCACGATGCTACACGGACACTTTCTAGTTGGGTGATTCCAATATTCCTACTTGAATAATGTTGAATCACCCTTAGGATATGTTGCCTGCTTTTTAAATTTGTCTTTTGACGTCTTATCTGTGATACGCAGGCTTCATAACCTCAGATCCCCTTTCAAAATTCCATTTTATTTAGTTCCGCCCATTGTTTTCTCGTTTAGGGCACACGCTTTTTTTACTTGGGGACCATATGCCGCTTTTCATGGAATGGCACTACCGTGTCACATTGAAGGTTCCATGATAACCGCCATATGAACACATCTGCGGATGTTTCAAAATTCTAAATTTTACCAGTTCATGTTAAATGTTGAATTCTGCTTAAGCCGGTGCTAGGGGGCGTGGACGGTAACTTGCACTTTCCAGTACCGTCCATGAACAGGCTCAATCAAACCGAGCCTGCAACATTTTCAATTTTGCCGTGTTGGGCTTTCTTTAGGGATTCTGTATTTATCTATTTCAATATGGTCAATGACTGTAAACAGGCACTGGAACTGTATTGAAGTTGTAGTTTAACGAGACATAATGTCTTTAAGGTTGAATTTTTAAGAAGTTCACAGCGGACCTTTATATTTCGCCTCAGGAAACCAACTGTTTGGTTTGCGCTTTTAACAATGTTGTCAATAAGAGTGCCTCATGTTAGATTTTCTGATTTTGTGACACCAAGCTAATTTGCTGACGGATCTGATTCTAGGATGGTATTGGCAAAGATTTATTGTGTTGATATTTGAGTTTCCAACTTTGTAAGCTGAGTGACTTGACATTTTAATAGATTAAATCTTATATCCCATGTTTCAAGGTGATGTATGTCTTATTAAAGTGGTAGGTGTGAGAGGCTACAGTAACAGTAAGTTACACAGCTGTGTCGTCTGCAGTGATTCACGGAGTCAGAAAGATCATTATATAAAAATAGTAAATGAGAGCGGTCCCAGAACAGAACCTAGGGGGCACCAGAGGAGATTTGGATAGTCGTTGACAAAAGAGGATGAGTATTCATGGGTTGACCATAGCTTTGAGAAGTCATATAACTATATATATATATATATATATTTATATATTATATATAATTATATATATATATATATATTAAATTTATATATATAATTATATATATAATATTATATTATATTATATATATATATATATATATATATATATATATATTATCAATGTAGTTTTTTTCATAGAGGCTCCAAGGTAATGAACATTCCCCAGTAGCAAAAAAAATGGGAATTTAAAAATAAATAAATTAATTATAATGAAAAAATATAAACAAAAATAATTAATGAAATAAATTTACTCTCATTTAATCAAAAGGTTACATCCGCTGAATGAATTATTTCCACTGAAAAAAAGCCCTTTAATCTTGAATCAATATTGGTAAACAGTTTACAATCCGCCTCTAACATGAATGTCTTTTGTATATCTTTCTTTTTGCGGCAGCGAAAAACAACTTGAAAAAAATGCCTTATCATAAATAGCTGTAATGTAGATAACGATTTATTTCAAAAAAAAAAAAAAAAGAAAACATAATGCCATTGCGAAAAAACAGTTATATAGTACTATACGAAACTCGTTAGTTACGAGGATATAACACTGGCTGGGCGACATCTCTGGATGTTTCTGCAAACAATTATCTCGGCTTAATTTTTTAGCAGAAACATCCCTTGATGTCGCCACAGCCAGTGTTTTATCCTCGTAACTAACGAGTTTCATGTACTATAACTATTACATGTGTAAATGAAATTTAACATGATAAACAATAAAGGGCGGCATTCAATGAACGCACCCGCTCCCCGCCCCCCAACACAGGACCACTGGCAATTAGCCCAGCAGGACACCAAACAGGACAGGGCACAAGTTCATTGTAGAAAAGACTTCAGTAACAGTAACCCATTACAACCACTAACAAATGTGATGATTTTGGCAATTTGTGTGCTATAATAATTTAATTGTCTTATTTTTTTATTTTATCATAAAAATTATCACGATCTATTTATTTGTTTGTTTTATTCATTTATGAAATATCGAAAAGGATATGTCAACAATTATCATTCTTGTGAACCTTCTGGTCTCTTATTATCAATTTTGTTATATAATGCAGAGGTTTGGGGTATTTATGATTGTAAAGAAATAGACAAAATTCATGTTTAATTTTGCAAGTTATATGTTTGGTGTCTTTCAGAAACCCCCAAAAATGTTGCTGGGGTTTGGTGATTTTAGGAAAAAATTTCCTTTTTCCTGTTATTTTTTAAAAAAGAAAAAACTCTTAAATTCTGGTTAAAAATTATAAAAAACCGGGGACTCCCCAAAATTACAACATGTTTGTAGACCAGTTGTAATCGAAATTTTGGGATTGTAATTTGGACAACCCAGTAAAAAAACCCCGCTTGTTAAAAACCAGTTTAAAGGTTTTTAGTGATATTTGGCTTAATTTTAAACCAAAATTTTTTAATTATTTTTTGCCAATTTTAAAAGAAAGCTCTGCGAAAACCAAATTTACAGAACTGGAATATTTATAAAAAATATCCCCAACCCTTGTTTATTAAAAAAAATTTTTAAAACTTCTTTTTGTTATGAAAAATATTTTGATTTTTTAAAAAATAATGTTTTAAAAGAAAAATTTTGCTTTTTTCAGACTGGGGTTTCGAAAATAATTTTTAGAAATAGAAACGGGAAGTTTTTTTAACTTTTGATAGAAACGACCCGCAAAGGGAAATTTAATTGTATATTTTAACTTTTTTTGAATCAAAAAACCACTTCCTTTTATGTTGCCCAAATTTATACTGTTTTTAAGAACCAAATTTTTAAGGAAACATTTCAATTGGCCTACTATACAAAAATGTTCGACTATATTTCCACTAATTTAACAAAAAGCTTATTCTTAAATGTTCCCAAACTATGGTTCATAATGCATTTAAGTTTGAGGCAAACAGTCCTCTTGAAGATGTAACTGCTTCCCTTAATTAGTTTCATTCTTTGTACCTCCTTTTTGTTTTAAAATATTGTTGATTATAATGTTTGGGTAACTATTTAAAAACTTTTGGCCATAATTTGCTGATACTCTGTTAAATGGCCAAATGTAAATGCTTATTTGCCCGTTTGCCAATAAAAGAAATGAAAAAATTTTATCGTTTCTAAAACTTCACGGGTTTATGTAATATAAAAATCCGTGCCAAAAATATAGCCACTGTAGTATACCATAGAGAATGCGTTAAAAATGAAATAATTAGTGGTTTTAAAGACCTAAAAAAAAAAATTTACTGCTGTGAAACATTTACTTTTTTGATCATTTTGATTTTTCCCAAAAGGCAATTCAAGGGTCCCTCCCAGTTTAAACTTTTTTCCCAAAAATAAATTTTAAATCTTTTCTTAAAAAGCCCTTTTTATTTTTTCTTGAAATTCAAAATGAAATATATTACTAAAAATTTTTTTTTCGCTCTTTAGAAAAATTTAACTTGGGCAAGCTTTTTTTTTGGGGAAAAACAAAGTATTCCCCCAAATTTTTGGTAACTGATACTGAACTAAAATTAACATAGGGGAGGGTAACCCCGGGAAATATTCCCGGGACTAGTAAACTTCGAGAGAAAGTTTTTGGATCCCGGGGAAAACCCCAGTCCTGAATGGCCAAAAACCCGGGGGTGAAACCCAATAAAACGGTTTTTCTGTCCATTTTTTTATGTCTCATTGCTTACTCAACCTGTCAACTGACATAATAGAATAATTAAATGAATGTTGGCTGCCTCTTTAAAAATTAAGGGCTGGATCAAAAAGAGTTAATCAATCTGCTAAAATTTAATATTACATCCCAAAATTGATGGGTGTTTAATCAGGTTTGGTGAAAATGCCCGATCAAGGCCCTTATATCATAAAAATTTCATATTTCGGAAATAAAGATATTTCTTTTTAAAACTTTCTTTGTTATTGAGAATAATATTTGACATAAACAGACACTTCAGAAAAATTATTCGGCTATGTCATTTTGAGTGTCATTTTTCCCTTTTTTAAGGGAAAAAGGGGAAATAGATTCTTACGAAAATAAAAAAAAAAAAAATATTTTGAATTATCAGTGTTTAAATAACAAAACAAATAATAAAAATTTAGGAAAATGATATTTTATGTCTAAGCCCGATCAGGCATTTTCACCAGCCTGTTAATTAGTGATGAAGTCTCCCATCATGTGCAGGACTGTACAGTTTCATATCCTTTGCCAATTAGTGCATCGTATGTATGTAGTTAATGAGGGTCCATCCGCCCTTTCGGGCACAAAATGCAGCTTTCGGCTGCGAGTTACGGACCCCGGGACATGTCACCAGGTCATTCCCTTAAAGAGTTTAATTTTTGAAGGGGCCAGCAAAATGGTGAATAATTTTACCTCCATTGCAATTTCCACGGATATTAGCCAAAAGATATGAATTTTTGGAGCCAAAAAGTAGGTCACTGTAAGGGCGGTTAATAGAACCTAAATGTAACAGAACCTATCAATAGGCTTTTCGCGAAAAAGTTGCCGGACCGTCGGACATGTCCGACAAAAATTAAAGGCCGGTCCGATTATTTTTTTTTGCCGGAGAAGAGAGAGATATTATTTCCTTATTTCCGGTACGAATTTACCGGGAAGAGAGATATATCCAAGACCCAATCAAGGCCGAGTTTTCTCCCTTGAATTTTAAAAAATTAAGAACGGATTTTTTCCGCCGAAGATTTCTTTTAGGTCCAATCAAAATTTTTCTAGATACCATACAACTTTTCAATGATCTTTGTACTCGGAAAGAAAATGTCGGTGTTACTGCATTATTAAATTTCATTACGTTGGCGCTAACGCCAGGCAAAAAGTTTAAAACGTAAATTATCTAATGAAGGAAAAAAGGGCGAAACAAAAGAAATACGAGTCCAGGGCGCAATGCCGAGAAAATTTGTGGGTAAATGGAAAAAATGGCCGCCTCGTGGTTTGGTTTTTAACGAGGAAGGAAAAATAAGATGAAATGTACATTGTGCATAAAATTTTATAAAGATAATATGATGATGATGAATTTTGTTCATGAAAATGTTTTAAATTTCCAGACAGAGTCCATCAATTTCTGGATAAATACTGATGTTTTATTTAAGAAGAATAAAAATTGTGTTGCAAATCTTTTAAAAAGTTCCTATGTCTTTAAAAAAAAACAACAAAGGTTTATTACCATATAACATATATTTGGAAAAAAAAAAAAATTCGGTCAGAAAAAAGTTCTTTCGGTCCAGACAAGAATTGAAAGTTTGTCTGACCGAATGTTCAGGCAAATGTTTCAGCACGCAAAGCCTGGACAATAGGAAAAGGTAGTTTTATCCCTGAAAAGGCTGTTTGGTGCCAAGCATATAACCGGCCTGCCTTACAAGGGCCGTCTAATCTGTACAAGGGGCTCAACGCACCCTAATACACCATCCTCCGTTCGTCTCAGCCTACTTTGTAGGGCCAACTCCCCTCGGCATTAAGTCAGGACATCCCGGCAGCTGGTCCCGCAGAAGTGACCGAAGTAGGATCCGTAGTTTAAACGGCCCACGGTTTTGAAGGCTACGTTTTAAAGATTGTCTACCAGCCCAAGTTGTAAAATCTTCTTGCCTGATTTATGCCCTGTGCCTTTTCAGTGACGTGCACCTCCCAGGGGAAGTGAGGGAACAAAATTTGTGCAATCCTTTTCTTTTAAACCCGATTTTTTAAAACCATGATCCATTTTATACAAAAAAAGCAAAATTGACTTTAATGGTTTTAAAACAGATCAATCAGAAGATAATTTAATGATTTTTTACATTTATATTTAAAATTTGGGTTTTTTTTTTTCTGTTTATAAACATGTGCAATTTTGCTTGATTTAAAGTGACAATTCCAAAGTTTCTTTAATTTAAAAAGGGATCTTTACATTATTTCAATATAAAGGTTTAACTTAAATACTAAACAAAATAATTTTTTATGGTATTTTTCAGGCCCCTCCCAAATTTTGAACCCCAAACACCTTTTAAAATTTAAAAATTTTTATATCAAAGTCTTTTTTTTAAAAAAAGTTTCCCCAATTCAAAAAAAGACTTTATGAATATGTAACCTTATTGTATTTTCATGTAAATATTACAGGCACCCCAGAAAGAGAAATTATGAGCGTGAGACAGAGACTGAAAGACTGCCAGCAACGGTTGCATCTTCACATCCTCTGAAAGCCATTACAGTAAGTACCTGAATACTAACATTGAAAGTTTTAAGTCTTATTTAAAGGGACTGTGTTGGGTTTTTTGACATTAAGGGACTGGAAATATTTTTTTTCCAAGATTTGTGATATTTTTATTGTACAAAATGACCAAAAAAAAAATTCATTACATTGGCTTTATATCTCAAATGCAGGTTAAAAAAACACATGCAAAAAAAATGATTTTGCATTTAAAATTTCTGATTTTTTTTATTAATTGTATCTTTTATATATTTTTCTATTTAAATAGTGCTTCAATTGATTTACCAAAAAATTAAAGAATTTCATGCATGTAATTTTAATGGAGGTTTTGGGTTTTTGAACCTTTATGTGTGGATCTCATCAACCGTTCGCTGAGGTGGTTTTTCCTCAAAAAACTAATATAAGTAACATGGATGAAAGTGAACAAGTTATAAAGAAGTACCCTTCTTTTTGATAGATTTAACTAGTAAGCAATGTAACCAATAAATTACTACAATATGTTACTATATTTTAATTCTTTCCCAAAAAGGTCAAAAAGGGCAAACCCAAAAATGGACAGAATGAAAAGTTATAAATCTTTCAAGATGAAAAAAAAAATAAAATAGAGCGATAAAAAAAATCAAAGGGAAAATGGGAATAAATTCCTTGATAAACAATTTTACTGACAGTTGTAAAAAGGTTTTAAAAAAGACACATTAAAAGATTTATGTATTTTAAAATTTTTGGATAAAAAATTTGGGGGATAAGAAAGGGCACTGCGGGAAAAAACCCCCAAACAAAGGATCAACCCCTTTAGCAAGGTTTGATTTTAGCAGATCTTAGTTCACCAGTCCCCAGGGTCCATATACGCACTAAGGCTTAGATCCTTGCACCGGGCACTGAGGTTTCCGGGAAAACCCAAAGAGTAAGGATAATTTTGGGGGGTAATAAATGTTTTTTTAGTTCATGTAATTGATTAGAAGCTTTTGTGATGATGGATGTCTCTAGAAAACCCTCATGTATTATTCCAGATTTTGATAGCTACCTCAAATGATAGAGGTCAATGTCTGCTGGTCAGCTCATTAACATTTATGCATTGATGAAGAAATGTCACTCATCAATGTCCAATAACAAAAATAATTGAAATAATTGAACTACATAGAAAACTACCTACATATTCTACCTTAACTGTCATAGGTCTCAAGAGTGGAAACAAAGTAATTGTTTAGTCTTGCCTGATACTAGAGTTTATTTTCTGGTTATACAGGAAAGTGGTACAAAAGGTCGAGCAGATTCTCTGGATGATTCATTTGAGCCATGGTCAGCAAAGCGAGTAGATATACTGTCCAAATACACTACATCAGAAAAGCTGTCAATAACCACAAGTTTTTTGTCTTCTGCAGACAAGGAACATGGTATTTATATATCTATTAACATCTTTATTGAATTTATGATCCAATGTTATTTTAGTAAGATTTACTTTTAAAAAGTTTGCAACTTTTAATGATTACTGAAACTGCTCCACATAATTTGAATGTATAGTCTTTTAATCATTTACCTGCTAAATTTGTGTCATGGATTTGTCCTGCTTTGATATTGGAACAGTCAGTCCAAAGTTTAAGGATTATCTAAATCATAAAAATTGAGCTTCAAACATTATACACCTGGTAAGACTGCATGGAATCTATACTGATGGTAAAACTTATAACACTATTGATTGGTTAAACCTTTATCAGATAATATATGATACTTAACTAACCCAAAAATCTATGTCAAGATTAATATATAATTATAATCGAAAATACTGATGGTTGAAGCACAAATAGGCAAATTCTTGATGTATTTTATCTTGTTTGCTTAATTGTTTTCATCTCTACAAACTGATTGTGTTATAATCTGTTAGCATATATACACTGACTACATATTCTTTATTACAGTTGTTATAAAATCACAGAGTCAAACCACTACTGGTACAATGTCAGACAAAGTGAAAAACAGACTGGAACAATTAGATGACTTTGAAGAGGTAGGCACATTTTTTTGCACATTTTTTTGTACATGTATAATAATTTTCAATGAATGTGAAGAGATAAATTGTTTTTGATATGATGAACTGGCACATACATGAATTACTTTATTAAGATTTAACTAAGATGAACTACTTCTTGTTATGAAATCACACTACAATTTTTTCATTTCTGTATTTAAACGTATATTAAACGTATATTAGGAACACTTGTTATTTAAACAAAACTAAAACAAGCTATAAAATACAAACATTATTAATTATAACGTCAAGAAATCACTGCATATTAACTGAAACAATAACTGTATAATGAAAAAATATTAAGATATCAATGTGTTAATTTAAGCCTCATAAAGGGGACTTCTTATCAAACTATAAACATAGCCTTATAGTTTCTAATGAGTTACATATCAAAAACAATATCTTTAACTGACATTTTCTTTTAATTTTCATAAGTAAATGAGTCAGATTGTAGAGTAATTCATTCTCACACTATTTTTTGTTCAAATACAGGGTTCTGTACAAGAGATGTTGAATCTAAGTCAGCAGGAGTATGTTTCCCGTATAGAAGATCTCAATCAGGCTCTTATAGCAGCTTGGGATCAAGACCAGAGAGTAAAGGCGCTTAAAATAGCTATACAGGTTTGTCTCCCCTAATTGATCTAGTGAAATATTAAGTATTTTTGAGCATAGATATGATATAATATGATATAAAAAGACTGATATTACTAACTTGGTTCTCCAGAAATTGTGATTATTTCAATGGGCACTTAATTGATTCATAAACAATGACAAAGTTGGGGCATTCATTGCTTGGTACTAGATGCTTCCAGAGTGTGTTTCAATGAGCTTATAGCTTTTAACAGAATCAAACTAAAATAAACCTGGTTTGCATGAATTTTGGTGTTTCTGCCTTACATTGAAAATGACCATAAGTAAAAAGTAACACATTATTTTACTAATTTAACTTTGAAGGCATGGTCAACTTTTTAAACTTTGTGTCACTATTTTTGTGTAATTTTTATTTCTAGTGCTCTAAGTTGTTGGCTGATGTAAGTGTGATACAGTTCTACCCCAGCAAGTTTGTTCTTATAACAGATATACTTGATACATTTGGTGAGTATAAAACAGAATTATTGAACTGAAGGCTTAAAGCTGTATGCCTCCATAAGAGCCAAAAAGTTCAAGAATATGAAACTTGAGAAAAGTGTAATAAGATTTTTAGAAAAGTAAAAAGATACAAGATTCAAGTAATGATTTACATGATATGTGCGATTATTGACTCATTTAGCAGTATTTATCACCGTATTTCTACTGCATTACTGACCAAGTATGGGCAATTTTTGCATATTTTTGACCTCTTTTTATGGTAATTTACTTGGATTGTAGATGCGGTTGACAATCATGTGTAAATTACTTGCTTTGTTCTCTTCACAATATTTTACTACTAAATACATTTTCAAAGTTTTCATGAAAATTAGCAATTTAGCAGCCTGGAATCTGAAGTGTGCTGTTTTAATCGAACACTATTATTAAACACCTTGACTAAGTTTTTTATGAAGAAAAATAAATTTTATGTTTATTTTTGTCAGTGCTGGTTATTTATTGTCTGGTACAAAACATTTAGAATATAAGTATTACTGAATAGTAATTTACTGTGGAAGGCATAAGGAAGTTAGTTTAAGATTTCTGTCTTTGCATTTTCACAGAATCAGTAAAACAGATTAATGTCAGTTTGGACAAGTCAGTTTAGGACATCGTTTTCTTTAAATATTCACTAATATGGTTTAATCTGATTAAAGATCACTTTTCTCTATGCTTTTACTTTATTTTCTGACATCATGCCATTAATTTTTTTGTATGTATTTTACAAGCTAACTTTGATGTGTGATGTATAAGTACATGTAGATATCTATTAGTTTAAATCTTGTGTTATATATAATTGTATATTTCAGGGAAGTTGGTGTATGTGAGATTGAGAGATAAAGCCCAGTATTTTCCCCCTGGAAGTGGAGTAGCCATTAAACTACCTGGTATGCTTAACTTTTTTGTAGATAACATAAATTATTGATTTACTGTATGAGCTGAGCTTAAAAGAAGGTGTGAAATTCACTTTATTAAGGAATTGGTAAACTTAACTTTATTTTAAAATTATACTCACAGCTAGCAAAATGTATTTCATAAAATGAAGATTAATGATTTTCTAAGAGATTTGGTGTGTTCCTGTTTCTTTGAGATTTTGCCTTATAGTGTTAGAGCTAAATAATGTGTTTGTCTTTGTTTTAAAATGAACAATTAGATAATTTTATAAGTGTTTAAATATTAATTTCTTAAATATACATGTAATTCAGAGGGATTCAGATTCAAATTAGGACACAGTATTAAAATCAGAAGAGAAAAGATGAAACCACTGTCAGACTATTGCAGGAATGTTAGTTTTCTGTATCATATAATTTGTAAAATAATGTTCTTATCTTGAACATTATATCATTTCAGAAAATTTTACTCCTGATCAGGTGCCTGATTCGGCTAAGGAAACCTGTCGTAATTGGTTCTTTAAGATTGCCTCAATCCGTGAACTAATTCCAAGGTTTTATGTGGAGGCGGCTATCATGAAATGCTACAGTTTCCTTAATCCAGGGTTAGTATGTACATGTATATACATCATTATACTGCATCTAAATTGTTTATGATTACACTAAGCAGGTTACACTGTATACATTGAATTAAGAGACAGCTATAAGATACAAGGGAATTCAGGAACCAGTTTTAGCTCATATTAAATAGACCCCTTGGTTCTTTTATATGCCCAGTGTATAGTACTGATGCATCAAGGATTACCAGGATTTCTTACCAGTTCACCTCTAGTTAGGTGGGAAACATTGAAAGTGTCTCTGAAAAATCCCAAGGTGTCAAACCCGGGACCTCAGGAGTGATGGTCAGTGGTCTAACCAACTGAGCTATGTATATATGTCTTGATTCTTTATCTTCATTTAAATCAATGTGATATAGTTTGAATTGACATTTAAAAGCCTAGTTTTTGCAGAAAATATTAAAAAGCAGTCAAACATGTACATTATTTAATTCTCACAAGATATTTCTAGGTATGCATTTTCCAGGCAAATTCAGTTTATGCTGTATTTGAGTCTTTTCTGATATAAAATGATTAAAATGTTATTTTATCTTTGATGACAAAGTACACGTAGATTTTATATGTATATTTTACAGAGAGTATGCTGATGCATTAAGACGCCTGTCTCAGATGATAAGTGGAATGGGTGATCCACTTGTATCGCTATATGCTAAATGTTTCCTCAGTAGGGTATGTATATATGTATATGTATTTTAAGAGGTACAGGAGATAAAGCTGTGTATCTATATAATATCTAAGCTTTCTGCCTAATAACGTGTGGCACTCAAACCTTAATGTACAATTTTTTTTATTGTCTGGATTCTCATTTAAAACCAATAACAGTATTGGTTGATTATGATTGAATGCATTATTTTTCATGTATGTGTAGAAAGAAGTGTTATATTGGTTTAAAGACAGTTGTTTGCTCACTGCTGATTAGAATCTATTGTCGGAAGAAATTTTCAAATTAGATATTATTGACATAGATATCCCCTGCTTGAAGTTAAATACATTAAAAGTAGTGAGTTTTTTCCTTCTCTTGTTATTAATGGTTAAAGCTAAATACAAGTGATTTTTACAATGTTTCTATAACATTGCTCTGAATACATGTATATGTATATTGAATTATGCACACTTAATAAAGCATTTGTAAAAGATTGCTTATTTCAAATCTTTTAAAGGTTGTTTCCGAGGTCTTACTATGAAGAAGTGGGAAAACGATACTTTAAATATTTTTAAGTTTCTTCCAGGGACTGTTAATTAACAGTAAACTGTTACATGACATGTCAGCAACTGAGCACAGTTGTAGAAATAGAATATCTTAATTCTATTGCTGATATACTGCTGTGCTTAAGGAAAGTTACTGATTTCAGACAATGTCTTATGTTTTTACTTTGACAATGTAATATGTAACACATGACATTGTTTTTGCCTTATCACATTGTCACACATTGCATTTTGTAGGTGGGAATAGCAGTTGCTCCAAGCATCAGGGATCACCTGTTACCAATGTTTGATGGGTTTCTAGCCACATTCCCACAGGTAAAATATATATAATTACTTATTGTAATCCTTATCAACTTAATACAGAATCACTGTAAACTGACATTACAACATTTATTGGTACATGTGACATTACAGGAAACTTTCTATCTATACATTTACAGGTAAAAGAGGTTTATTTTCTAATATTTATGTTTGCTTTACAGTGAACAATTTTTAATGCCGATTGTTAAGAATCTGAAAATTCCTGTTAACATTTTATAATGAGACAAATTTGGAGTTTACCTTGAGCTATTTTGGCTTGGAACTTATTGTTTTACTATTCATGGAAGAAACTTTTTCATGAAATTAAATGAAATGTTTTAAGAATTTTCTCATATATTCTGTTTTGGGAAACACTAAAATGCACCATGATTCATTGTTGCATAAAAAGACATTTAGTGGACAATGTCCTTGTGTTGAAATAGTGAAACAAATAAGTAAACCCTATACTTTTATAAAAGTATATAATTTACATGTATAACTGGCTATAACAGGTACAAGGTGACAGTGTACAGAATATTTTGGCCATACAGAAATTAGAGATGCCACGCTACCTGACCCTGTTCTCACCTGGCTTGGACTGGTTGCTACAATGTATAGCTCATAAAGCATCTGATAACACTCTCACTGATATACTAGAGAAGTCGAGGAAACAATGTAACAGGTCAGTTATTTAGAAAATTACTTTAAAAAAAATATAGTAAAAAAAAAATAATAATAGTGAATATTTCTTTTAGTATACATGACCACCATAAGTAAATGATGTGTCATGTGCAAGAACTATTTCATGTCAAAGGTCAAGGCCCTGAAGTTCAGAACAGGAGGGCAATATTATATGTTATTTTGGTTTTGGAGTGATATATGTGGATATATTACCTGTTAAGACTTTATATCACCCGAGCCGTTAGGCGAGGGTGATATTTTATCTTGGCAGGTAATATATCCACATATATCACTCCAAAACCAAAATAATAATTTTATTACCCTTCCCCTGCCGAGTTTAGACGATTTTTTGAAAAATCATTGTTGTTTCAAATGAAACGTCGAAATAAGATTCCCTTCAGGATACCTCTTCGTCACAACATGACGTCACATAAATACATGTCGTATTTTTCCCGTACCTTACGAAAGTAAACAAGAGAAAAGGAGTAGTCTATTGAACGCACTTTTTATACGCCCGTTTGAAAAACGGGACGTATTATGGGAACGCCCCTGGCGGGCGGGCGGGCGGGCGGTCGGGCGCGTCCAATTTTTGTCCGGAGCATATCTCCTACATGCATTGAGTAATTTTTATGAAACTTCATAGAAATGTTCACCACTATGAGGAGCAGTGTCGCGCACATGAACCAGGTCTCTAGGTCAAAGGTTCAAGGTCACACTTAGAGGTCATTGAAAAATGACTTGTCTGGAGCCACACTTCTACATGCTCATAAGGATTTCAATATAACTTAGCACAAATGTTCACCATTGTGAGGCAGTGTCGTTTGAAAAATTAAGGTCCATGTGGCCAAGGTCAAGGTCACAAATAGGGCCAAAGTTCAGATGAAAATATGAAAATGTGTATTTGGACCATTTAGTCATCATTTATTGAGGGATTGTAACACAAATGGTCATTATCAAGACTATGGCTGTGATACATATAATTTAGGTCAATATATACAAGGTCAAGGTCACTAACGATGATGAAATATCCAGATTTTGTAAATAGAATTTAATCAAAGGGCAACAACAAAGTTATTACTTTGTTCATAAATGACTTACACAATTACTCCCCTTGATCTACTTTCACTTTCAATTCTAAAAATAGAATTTAATCAAAGGGCATAAAATAATCCTCTTTCTTGGACTTGAGTATGTTCTAAAGAATGTAACATTTATTTACACATGTTTCATTCATTGGTCAAGATTCTTAACTGTGATAACTATGGTGTTCTGTAGACTTGGTATTTGTTCATAAAGATCATACAGTAATTACCTTATCAAATGTAAATACTTTCTCATAGAAATTTAATTATATTTTAATTTTCAAGTAAATATAAGTTCAGCTCATTCAAAGATTAAGAATTGTAATGAAATGTATTTCCCTAGAATAAAATCTTAAATCAGAATTTTTTAGTTATTAAATTACAATTACATGTACTTGTTATCTTCCCTACTGATTTGTTTTAAGGTTCATTTAACAACACAGTGCCAAGGATAAAAACTTGCTTGCTAGATAACACTTATCCATAATGCCCCCATCTCCATCTAAAGCTTTCGTAAACGGGCGTATTTTGTGACTATGGCACCCTTGTTTGTAATTAATATCAAGCTTTCACAAGGTCATATATGTTTTCGATACTGATGGTAATATGTATCATTACTCTAATTTGGTAAATATTTATCATTTGACAGTTAAAAAGTGCTTTTAAATCGGAATTTACGCCGCGTAAAATCGAACCGTACGCGCATCACCTCAGCGCATGTTGTTTACAACGTTGGGTACCAAACGGGGAAATTAAGTGTGTATATTACCCGTCTGGCTCGGTTATATCAATTTCTTTCGGGTGATCAATATCCAATCAAAAAGGCGGAAAAAATTTGGAAGGGTAATAAAATAATATATTCTTAAGTGCGGTTTTTACATGGAATTAATTTTCAAAATCAATTTCATTACTAACAGAGTTATATTTTCAGTATTTGTCATATTTTGTCCAAAGTCAATAATACATTATATGATTGTCTTAAAACTTATATAAATGTATATACACACCATAAAAAGGTGCCAACTGAAAGCCTATGCTGCTGGGGCATCCATTTCTTATGGAAACATGTTATGTTTTCCAATCAAGTGCTGAGAATAGTCAATATCTTGTACTAACTGATGATAAAATTTTACTTTGAAGAAATACTTGGATGATATTTTATGGTACATATATTTTCAGTGCTTTGTTACTGAACTCTCTGATATCAGCATTTAAACCAGAGTATATAGCAGCTAGAGCCACCAAGTTTATTGAGATGATCAAAGAATGTGAAGAAACAGGCTTTCCTAAAGCAAGTTATATCCTTTAACAACTATATTCACACCAATTATTACTAAATACCATTTACCTTGTCCACTGAATTAAAGTTTGTACTATAATAGAATCCAAGATAACTGGTTTAATTAATTTCAAATTTCTGATATAACTAGTACTTTGTATATGCGATTGTAATAATCAATTTAAATACAAATGTTAATGATGTTCTTATCAGATAGAAATCTACATGTGTTAGCCCTGAGCCCTCAGAATAGATATTTATGTAAAAAAAGTCCAACATGAATGAATATAGATTAGTTATATTGTTGCCTCTTAAATATATGAAGATGTTGGTGTGATGTAACCAGATCTCATATCATCAACATTTGTTTATTCTCTATGGTTTCATTTCAGCATTTATTATTCCGTACATTGGGAACATGTCTGGCAATAGCTGATCCACCAGGGGACCAGAAACTGACAGTGTTAAATGAAGTCTGGAAACCAATAACTAAACTGAAAAATCCAGCTGTAAGTATTCTATTACAATCTTCAGGTTTAGAATAAAACAATGAATTCTTGAAATCAAAAGTGTGTAAAGTACCTACCTACCTATCCACTTTGCTCCGATCGGAGCATAAGGTCAGTGTGTAAAGTACAGTAGTATGAAATTATATAGTTCAAGTGATCGATGTTAGAACAATGAGTTCAAAGGAAGGGAGTATTCTAGCTATCCAAGTTTGAGCAAAGTTTAACTCTTTAACTGAAAAATGGTAGTATACAGTACTACCAAAATCCTGTCTATACAACCAAGCTTCTATTCATATGATTACGTATATAGCATGCTTTTATAAAAATAATGATAGTCCCTGTATATTACATTTGCATTATACACATTTAATTGAGTGTCATTATACCCCAAAAAACGAAGTTTGGGGGGGTATATAGGAGTCACCCGGTGGTCGGTTGGTCGGTCGGTCGGGCGGTCGGTCGGTCGGTCCAGACGTCCGTTGCATTTTCCTTGTCCGGACCATAACTTGAAGACTAATGGTTGGAATTCAATATAACTACATACAATGGTCAAGCACATTGAGAGGAAGTGCAGTGCACAAGAACCATAACTCTATCTTGACTAATTACAGAGTTATTGCCCTTTGTTACTTTTCCTTGTCCTGGGCATAACTTGAAAACTACTGGTTGGAATTCAAAACAACTTCATACAATTGTCAAACACAATAAGGGGAAGTGCAGTGCATAAGAACCATAACTCTATCTAAAGTAATTACAGAGTTATTGCCCTTTGTTACTTTTCCATTGCTTTCTTTTGTCCGGACCATAACTTGAAGACTAATGGTTGGAATTCAATATAACTACATACAATGGTCAAGCACATTGAGAGGAAGTGCAGTGCACAAGAACCATAACTCTATCTTGACTAATTACAGAGTTATTGCCCTTTGTTACTTTTCCTTGTCCGGGGCATAACTTGAAAATTACTTGTTGGAATTCAAAACAACTTCATACAATTGTCAAACACAGTAAGGGGAAGTGCAATGCATAAGAACCATAACTCTATCTAAAGTAATTACAGAGTGATTGCCCTTTGTTACTTTTCCATTGCTTTCTTTTGTCCGGAGTATAACTTGAAGACTCATGGTTAGAATTCAATATAACTACATACAATGGTCAAGCACATTGAGAGGAAGTGCAGTGCACAAGAACCATAACTCCATCTTGACAAATTACAGAGTTATTGCCCTTTGTTACTTTTCCTTGTCCAGAGCATAACTTGAAAACTACTGTTTGGAATTCAATACAACTTCATACAGTTGTCAAGGACATTAAAAGGAAGTGCAATGCATAAGAGCCATAACTCCATTTTGACAAAGTACAGAGTTACTGCCCTTTGATACTTTTCCTTGTCTGGAGCATAACTTAAAACATACTGGTTGAAATTCAAAACAACTTCATACAATGGTCAAGCACAAAAAGAGGAAGTGCAGTGCACAAGAACTATAACTCCATCTTCAGTATTTATAGAGTTATTGCCCTTTGTTCCTTTTCTTTGTCTTTCTGGACTTATTACAGAGTAATTCAATAAAACTTCATCAATGGCCAACCACATTGAAAGGAAATGCAATATACAAGAACCACAACTATCTTTAATTGCCCACAACCATAACTCTATATTTCAATTCTTTTACAAGATATTCTGTTACTAGTAACATCCTCATTTCCGAAGCAGTCTTGTGGGGGTATTAATCACATTTAGTGATAGTTCTAGTTTTTATTACTTTTACAGGATTACATGGGGTGTGCAGAGTCCTGGATGGAGTTTATTGTTAAACATTTTGGGGTAAAGTCATTTTTATTTTAAAGCTTACACTAGTTACATAAATGCGTAGTGTTGTATTTTATTCTATATAGTGCCTGTTTGATGTTATATGTATCACATGATATAAATGTTATTTTGAAAACATGTAGTGTATCGTATTAATACAGTAAATTGTTTGTTTTAAAATACTTAAATAATAACATGTTTTAGCAAACTGATAAGATTGTGGGAAGGGCCAACTCTCCAATGTTGTAAAAACTTGTGGTCCAACCCTTTTGCTTTTTATGAACAACTACAGCATCCATGTAAATACTGTAAATTTATTTGTTAATGTTTTGTCATATGTTTGCATGTGACATTGTATCTGATTTTATGTAGAAAGAAAGAAAAAAAAAAAAAAAAACAAACAAAAAAACCAACAATAAAATATGATTAAACTAAACTAACTGATATGACTTATTTTTTTCAGAAACGGGAGATAAACACAGTATTAAATGACATTATCAAGCATTTGACCCCAGATAGGGCATTTGAAGATTTTTACCCCCAGTTACAATCTGTGGTTTCTAAGATACTGGTTCACATCCATGACTTCTCCCTGCTTTTCTCACTGGTGAGAAATGAATATTTGAAGTTTTTTTATTATTACCTTTTTTTATTTGAATGACCTTTTATAAATAATAGTGTCTGTACTAGGTCCTATACATGTATCATGAAATAAATAAGATATGAAAATATTTTAAATTTTATTAGTCTTTATAAACTTATTATATTAAATTGTACAGTTTTTCCAATTTTCCAATACCTGTATCTATTATAATTGCATGTAATAATTTTAATAGTATTATACTTTTGGAATTTAAACACATATGAAATAAAGAGCTAATGTTTGACAATGTCCCTATTACCTGATTTACTCTTAATTTAACATGTTTCTTTCTTCAAGGAAAAGTTCTTGCCATTTATTGACATGTTCCAAAAGGAAAGTGTAAAGGTTGATGTCTGCAAAAATATCACCGAAGCATTTGCAAAGTAAGGATTAAGCTGGAGTTTTTCTGAGATATTAGATAAATATTGTAATTGTAATACATGTACTTGTAAAAGAATTTTCTAAAATGAATTTAAAAATTGTTTATTTTAGATTTTGAAATTTCAAAAAACTTTGTTTCACCTGTCTTACCTTTTAAAATGTGGAAATAAGCTGAATGAGACTAAACTGGGAAATTAAGAAATCGTTGAAATATATAGGCTGGAAATCCTTTGAATAGAGATATAACTAGGAAATTATTATATGATTAGAGATATATAACCAAGTAATCTTTGATAATGAAATTATTTGGTCAGAGTGATAAAAAATGAACATTTTACGGTTCGGGTTAAAAGACCAAATATTGTTGAGGTTAGAAATATATAATCAGTGAATTATTTGGGCAGAGATAAATTACCAAAAATCAATGTGATCTGGTTGATAAAACAAGAAAATTTTGAGGTTAGAATGAAAAAAAAAAAAGAACACAAAATAAAGAAGACTGAGTGATGAAATGAAATATTGATGACATTATACATTTAACCTGATAATTGATATTATAAACCTGGCTTTAAAATATTCTTTTATGATTAAGATTACATTCAAACAGAGTCTGTGTAATTGTCAGTTTCATTCTTCATAATATATTACTTTGTCCTTTAATTTCAGATTTCAAGAGTCAGAAACGAAAGATCCAGTTATTATAAATGCTATGATGTTTGTTTGTAAAACTATGCATGATTCTGTCAAGTAAGTTGAGCAGATTTGGTCATAGAGACATTAATATTCACATGATGACCTGTGTATTTGTGAATTTTAACCATTTATCTGCTGGGACTAACAGAAATTAGCCTTTGCCGCCAGTATAGAGCCAATCTAACTTGCACATACATGCAGTCTGACCACTATTTATACTTATCTGTTAAAAAAATTATGGACAGTCTCGAATATTGAAGCTTGACAAAATAATAACAGGTTAAGGGTTATGAACAAGACTTATACATGTATGTGATTTAATATGTGTAATTGTCTCCTGGATCTCCTGAACAAAGATAAAAATATAAAGTTGATGTTGCTGACCTTGAGTGATAGAACTCATTCATAATTTTAACTTTTTCAAACTTAAATAAACAATAATATTTCATAAAATCATTGTTATAACTTATAACTTTATAATGCAATGTCATCAGGAGGTTTCTTTTTATAAAAGGAATCAAATTTCATGAAATGACTTTCTTGAGTGAGTACAAGGATTTTCAACTAATTTTTGACTTCCCAGGTGCAGTGTTATTTTCAATGCTCTTGAGATGTTCTTTTTTCCCTAGGCATACTACTTTTGGTGATTTTCTAGCTCTTCATACTTATATGAACTGAATCATCCTGCTCATATTATCTTAAAACAAACTTTAAGAACTAAAGACAGTTGCTATAAGTTTGAGTAATTTTTAACGAAATACTAGTTACTTGCAAAATATTTTTTCTTCAAACTCTTTAATGTTTGATGATAAATATTATTTTTAGTGCATTAACACTGGATGATGAGAAGAAATCAATTAGCAACCTTATATCAGAGTTTGTGAGGAAGATTTCATTTGGCCGTGACTTTGAGCAACAACTTAGCTTCTATGTTGAAGCCAGGGCCTCTTTTACCAACCTAGACATCGTTCTTATACAGTTGATTCAGGTATGTATCAATGGTGAACTAATAAATGTAATTTAAAAATTATTTATTTAAGTTTGATTGTAATAACTGTTTGTAGCTTATTATACCCACTGTAGTCATCTTCTTGCAACTAACTAGTATTGGCGTCATATGTGGACACCTGGTCATGACCCATATTAAGCTTGAAACCCAAAATTTCTTGGCAGAGTGGTAAACACCTGTATTACTGGACTACTCACCTTTAAACTGTAATGAACCTGAATATGTGCACATTGTATACACAAAATGTGTTTTGTGTGTTGATATTATAGAAGATTTATCATGCTGACTATGCCAGCAGTGCCAAGCCAGAATGCTTATTCATTTTGATGTTTGCCACAAGTATAGAGCCAGGCCAATATGCTTACCAGTATTTGATATATATATCAGCAGTTTTGAATCAGGCCAGCATGCTTATTTGATTTATGCCCAGGGCAGCTTACTTATTTTATTATTGCCATCAGTGTGCAGTCTGTCTGGCCAGAGATCAACAAATTCTATAGTCTAACGTCTGGGGTAATTCTAAAACCACTTCAGACAATTTGTCTGAGACAACTGACAATACACAGAAAGTTAGTCCTGGACAAAATTCTGGAAACAAAGTGATCCCTCGGAAGCATTAATCACAACAAAATAACATAAGAATTGCAGACTCAGTTTGATTGAGTCTGTACATGAGGGATAATGAATAAGTGCAACATCCCTCACGCCCCCTAGCACCACCTTGAGCCGTACTCAATTCTCAACACTTTATAGTGTTGGCATCAATGATCCCGAAGGACCAGAAAAAATAACAACACTGAAGTGAAGTACGGGCCAACTTTTTACGGCTGCCACACGGCACTTGACACCTGCTGTTGTGAAGTACAAAATTCTGGAAACAAAGTGATCCCTCGGAAGCATTATCACAACAAAATTACATAAGAATTGCAGACTCGGTTTGATTGAGTCTGTACATGAGGGATAATGAATCAGTGCAACATCCCTCACAACCCCTAGCACCTGCTTGAGCGGTACTCAATTCTCAACACTTTATAGTGTTGGCATCAATGATCCCGAAAGGACCAGAAAATATAACAACACTGAAGTGAAGTATGGGGCAACTTTTTACGGCTGCCACACGGCACTTGACACCTGCTCTTGTGAAGTCTTATTTTGATAGATACTTATCTTGGCCAACTGTTTATTAAGACAATTCCACACAGTAAACAGCAAAGTGCGTTGTTAATTTGCATTCAGGCAATTAATTTCAGAAATTAACTGGCAGATTAAATTAAAGGTGCTGGTTCTGTGAGGGTTCTACAAAAGTAATGTTATGAAATAAAATTCAGTTTAGTTCTAGATACTTACAGTATATTTAGAAATCTACTATTATCACAAAGTAGAATGAGCACTCATTCTTTAGATAAGTATGTGCACATGTTATCATCATCTTAACATGTGTTTTACAGAATGTTAACAACTTAGCCATCCAGACAAGAAATGTTGTCAATGGAAATCATTCAAGAAAAACTGGCAACTTTGTTAGGGTAAGTTACCATCTTACATGTACATGTTTATGTGACTATCAAATCAATGTAAATATTTCACTTTATCTTGAGACATCTGATTCAGTGGATCATTTTGTAGTTTAACATGAATTTTATACCAGACAATATCATTTTTTTTTCTTTTTAACTCACCTGTCACAAAGTGACAGGGTGAGCTTTTGTGATCGCTTTTCGTCCGGCGTCCATCCGTCCGTAAACTTTTACTTTAAATGACATTTCCTCATAAACCACTAAGCCAATTTCATCCAAACTTCACAGGAATGTTCCTTTGGTGGTCACCTTTAAAAATTGTTCAAAGAATTTAATTCCATGCAGAACTCTGGTTGCCATGGCAACCTAAAGAAAAAACTTTAAATATCTTCTTTAAAAAAAAACAAAGAGCTAGAGCTTAGATATTTTGCATGAAACATCTTCTAGTGAGTGTCTACCAAGTTTGTTCAAATAAAAGCCCTGGGGTCAAAATTGGCCCCACCCCAGGGGGTCATTGATTTTCCCTATATGCATATAGTAAAAACTTAAAAAATCTTCTTTTAAAGAACCCAAAGAGCTAGAGCTGAGATATTTAGCATGAAACATCTTCTAATGAGTGTCTACCAAGTTTGTTCAAATAAAAGCCCTGGGGTCAAAATTGGCCCCGCCCCAGGGGGTCATTTATTTTCCTTATATGTGTATAGCAAAAACTTAAAAAAATCTTCTTTGAAAAAACCTTAATAGCTAGAGTTTAGATATTAAGCATGAAACATCTTCTAGTGAGTGTCTACAAAGTTTGTTCAGATAAAAGCCCTGGGGTCAAAATTGGCCCAGCCCTGGGGGTCATTGATTTTCCTTATATGTGTACAGTGAAAACTTAAAAAATCTTCTTTTAAAAAACCCAATGAGCTAGAGCTTAGATGTTTAGCATGAAACATCTTCAAATGAGTGTCTACCAAGTTTGTTCAAATAAAAGCCCTTTGGTCAAAACTGGCCCCATCCCAGGGGTGTCATTGTTTGTAACAATGTGTACAGTAAAAACTTAAAAAATCTTCTTTTAAAAAACCCAATGAGCTAGAGCTTAGATGTTTAGCATGAAACATCTTCTTTTGAGTGTCTACCAAGTTTGTTCAAATAAAAGCCCTTGGGTTAAAATTGGCCCTGCGGGTGGGGGGGGTGATCATTGTTTTTCATTATATGTGTGTAGTAAAAAAATTCTGATAACAAAGTGATCCCTCGGAAGCATTAATCACAACAAAATTACAAGAGAATTGCAGACTCGGTTTGATTAAGTCTGTACATGAGGGATAATGAATAAGTGCAACATCCCTCACGCCCCCTAGCACCGGCTTGAGCAGAACTCAATTCTCAACACTTAATAGTGCTGGAATCAATGATCCCGAAGGACCAGAAAATATAACAACACTGAAGTGAAGTACGGGGCAACTATCAACTATCATAAAAACTTAACATCATGAAACATCTTCTAATGGGTGTCTTCCAAGTTTGTTTAAATAATAGCCCTGGGGTTTAAACTGGCCCTGCTCCAGGGGGCCTATATACAGGTGAGCGACCTCAGGGCCATCATGGCCCTCTTGTCTCATTATCTGATTAGACTTTCAGTAGGTAATTTCTTGTAACTTATCCAGGAAAACTGGTTAGGTGGATCAACTGCTGAGATATGACGAAAAGATATGTTGAAATTTGTGTAAAAACTAGAAAAACAAACAATTTTTGAAGATACTAATTACTATACTATATGATAACTATACATGTGTACATTAATTATGTTTATTTCAGGCATGTGCAGCATATTGTTTTATAACAATACCTTCACTACAGTCTGTGTTTTCCCAGCTACAACTTTACCTGTTGTCTGGTCAGGTAGCTCTTCTAAACCAGTGTTATAGTCAAGGTAAGTGCCAATATTTTATATTTTGTCATCCTTCTTCCTATATACCCCTGTCAGTTTCAATATAACTTTAGTTTGCTATTCTAAAAAAGGCATATTAGTCATTGTAACACACAGGGGTCATACATTTTTCTAGCTAGACTATACAGATATTTATATACATGTAACAATTAACTCAGTTTTTGATATAAAGCCAGGTATCTTTATAAGATACATGTATGTGTTATTAAATGGTAATAAGCATTGCTACTTTAACATTATTTTGTATATATAGTCTACCAGGCTAGGAGGAGTGGTTCATTTAGGGTGTTGATGTTGACTTCAAATAAATATGTATTAAAAAGTCATGGTAGTTTGAAAAAGGTTATTTCTAAATTCAGTCTAAAAAAATCTGAAATGTGATGGCATGCTAGTATACATGTGATAGTTCTTTTACATGTTCTATTTAAATTCTTCCTGTCTATATCATATAATTCTGTCCCAATATTTGTAGGTGATGCATTTTTTAAGGCAGCAGTTTCACTTATACCTGATGTCCCACGTGTAATGGAGGCGGAAGGAAAACACAAATCGTCGGAACCTTTCCTTGTGGATTATATCAGTAACTTTGTCTCTACTCTCCTAGTTGTACCAGTAAGTCTTCTTGTTTTAACTACAATCAAAGGATCCATACTGCAAATCATTATTATCCAAACGGGCATTAATAAGTCGATCAACAAATTTAAGATCCAACAAAATTTTATTTCGTCTGCTGTGAGATTATTTTCCATTGCATTATTTCATTTTACTTTTTAGCTCACCTGTCACAAAGTGACAAGGTGAGCTTTTGTGATCGCTTTTCGTCCGGCGTCCGTCGTCCGTCCGGCATCCGTCTGTAAACTTTTACTTTAAATGACATCTCCTCATAAACCACTAAGCCAATTTCATCCAAACTTCACAGGAATGTTCCTTTGGTGGTCACCTTTAAAAAATTGTTCAAAGAATTTAATTCCATGCAGAACTCTGGTTGCAATGGCAACCGAAAGAAAAAAACTTAAAAAAAATCTTCTTTTAAAAAACCCTAAGAGCTAGAGCTTAGATATTTGGCATGAAACATTTTCTAGTGAGTGTCTACTAAGTTTGTTCAAATAAAAGCCCTGGGGTCAAAATTGGCCCTGCCCCAGGGGGTCATTGATTTTCCCTATATGCATATAGTAAAAACTTAAAAAAATCTTCTTTTAAAGAACTCAAAGAGCTAGAGCTAAGATATTTAGCATGAAACATCTTCAAATGAGTGTCTACCAAGTTTGTTCAAATAAAAGCCCTGAGGTCAAAATTGGCCCCGCCGCAGGGGGTCATTGATTTTGACCCTATATATATATATAGTAAAAACTTAAAAAATCTCCTTTATAAGAACTCAAAGAGCTAGAGCTTAGATATTTAGCATGAAACATGTTCTAATGGATGTCTACCAAGTTTGTTCAAATAAAAGCCCTGGGTTCAAAATTGGACCCGCCCGGGGGTCATTGATTTTCCTTATATGTGTATAGCAAAAACTTAAAAAAAATCTTCTTTGAAAAAACCCAAATAGCTAGAGTTTAGATGTTAAGCATGAAACATCTTCTAGTGAGTGTCTACAAAGTTTGTTCAAATAAAAGCCCTGGGGTCAAAACTGGCCCCGCCCCAGGGGTGTCATTGTTTTTAACTATATGTGTATAGTAAAAACTTAAAAAATCTTCTTTGAAAAAACCCAATGAGCTAGAGCTTAGATGTTTAGCATGAAACATCTTATTGGGGGTGGGGGGGGGCCTATATACAGGTGAGCGACCTCAGGGCCATCATGGCCCTCTTGTTTAAACATTGAGACAATCCATGAATTTTAGAACCAATGAAAATGTCCTTTGTGGCAAAAACCACAAAATTAAAGTAATTCACAGTGGTATTCTTATCTGTTATAATACAAGCAATGATGATTCATTTTTGTAGTAAATGTTTTTAATGTTTTTCTTCAAGGACAATCCAGACTCCAGTGTGTTGTATTTACTCAGAGGTCTATTGAACATACTCCAAAATTACACCTGGGAACCAAACTCGGATGCTAAAGTTGTAGTATATACCAGAGTACTGGCAATGTTGTCAGCATCGTGCCAGGAAACATACCCATATCATGTTGACAAAGGTAAATATTGCAAAACCTGCATGGTTATCATAAGCTTGACTTACAATTTCGGTAATAATTTTATGAAGTAGATAGATCTATATGTATGTTTGTAATTTCTTTGCTGCTCCTTTTGATGTTTTTGTAAAGCATAAACAGACTGATTTGTCCTTCCTTTCTTCTGTTACCCTCACTTACAGTATCTCAGAAGAATTTCATTTATTTTCTGATATCTTAGATATTTGGTGTGTACCTTCCATCAACTTTTCAAACTAAAGTGGTGGTCACTTATGTTAAAAAATAAAATTGATTTATATTTAAACATAGAATGAATACCTTAAATTAAACAAATTGATAATTGTACAGATTATTTATTTCATATGGCATTTCTGACAAGATGATTTCATTCCTTTCATAGCACAAGAAACTAGTAAAGAAAGATAACTCTTTGGAAATGTTGCAAATTTATTTAGCACTAATTATCATTCTTGGTTATATCCCTTGCTTTGCGGAGTTTGCGCAAGTCTAGGATAACCAGTAATAACTCAACCTGTTACCCTTTGTAAAACTTTGTTTTATTATTTCTTGTATTCAAAATTTAACGAGAACTTTCTTTAAAAAATTTTCAGTATGTTAAGATGTCAATATATACATGTTGTATTGAATAGAAACATTCATTTTTTCAGGTCTGATTTATTTGGGTTATATACTTATCTGTTTGTTTTTTTGTTTGTTACTTATCTTATGCACCTGGGATAAAATAATAGTATAAATGACAATCTTATTTATATTATTTCAGTGGATTCCAATGACAGTTTATATGCCTCAGATCCCAAATATATAAAAGAGGTGTGTGGTATATGTTCAACTCTTGTTGAAGAAATCCTCGCCCACCTAAAAACTCTAACAACACCTGAGGTATGTTTAGTTTTAGATTTGGTATTTAAACATCCTTCACCTGTTCTTTTTAAACTGCTTTCAGAGGATATAGAAAATTTAGACTGATTAACTGTACCAGTCTGTCCTGTTGCTTAAGAAAGATTTTGTAGTATACAGTTTTAGATATTTGTTCAAAAATAATACAATAACTTGTAATTGTTGTGTTGATAATTTGTGATAAAATTTACACTGAATTTGCACTGAAGAGAATGAATAGACATGCCAAAAATTACTTTTATTCTCAAATTAACATTTTTACAAAAAATACCTTCAGACTCAGAAAAGGCAGACCATGTTGTCTATGGAATTGTTCAACACAGTTGTAAATCATTCTGATATTGGGCAAAAAAATCTTCAAGATTTAGTGGTCAACTTATGGAACTTGGCGCACAGAAACAATCAAATGGATGTAAAACAAACGGTAACGATAATTTTATTGTTTTTCGAAAAAGCTCTATTATCCAATTGTCAGACAGTGAGTGAAACTGAAATTGAGTATCAGTTTTGAAATAATTATGAGAGTTTGAGATGGTTACACTTAGACAGGTGCTTATCATAAAAGAGTAAGAACTTCATGTACTGCAGTCACTACAATACCCTCCCTTTTGTTACTCTTTTTAAGTTTTTAAAATAGAATGTGTTGTGTCCCTCCATAATACTTAATTCTTGGAGAAAAACTTTATGAGATCTGATATCTTTCATTGTAATCAATTTCCAGTGTTTATAACTGAATGAATGTATATCATGTATTGTGTAAGTTTTGGAATAAAATATGTTTGAAGCATATGAGTTCAAAGAATTAAAAACTGTTTTCTACAAGAATCTTTGAAGACATACATAATCAAAGTGCTGCAGCACTGAATGCGACGGACATGCAACCAGAGAGACATTAAGGCTTCTTTTAGAAAAAAAAAACAAAAACAACAAAACACAAAATATATAACAGAGAAAATTTGTTCCATACAAGTTCGAGATTTGTAGAGCAATATGTTTTGTGTCCCAAATTGATATAATTCAGATTTTCTACTTTCAAGCACTTAAATACAGAATGAAATTTATGCCTAAAAACTGTGGTCAAACTTGTAAATCAGTGTCCTTATCGATTTATTCTAAGAAATGATATGTAAATAGAAAAACTATCCACGAAATATTTCTAGAATAAATCCAGGCAAATAAACTTCAAACATAATACATTATACATTTGAGAATGCTATTTAGAATTGCTTCGTGTTATATCATAGTGGGCATACAGACAATAAAATATAAGTCATTTGTATTTTTATTTCTCTTGGATATGTAACATTAAAAAAAAAATTGGTTAAAATCATCCGCAATTAATAGTGTATTTCTTAGATTTTTATGCCACTGCAGCGATGCGGTGGCATATAGCGATTCACCTGTGTGTGTGTGTGTTTGTGTGTGTGTGTTATATAGATTATATAGTGATCTTAAAAAATCTTCTTGTGAAAAACTACTAGTCCAATTTCAACCAAACTTGGCAGGATTGTCCCTTGGATGAAGGGCTTCTAAAGTTGTTCAAAGAATTTCATTCCATGCAGAAATCTGGTTGCCATGGCAACCAAAAGGAATTATAAGAATAAATTTAAAAAATCTTCTTGTAAAGACCCAAAAGGCCTAGAGCTTAGATATTTTGCATAAGGCATTGTCTGATAGACCTCTAACAAGATTGTTCAAATTATAGCCCTGGGGTCAAAATTGGCCCCGTCCCGGGGGTCATTGATTTTCACTATGTACATATAGTAAAAACTTAAAATACCTTCTTGTAAAAACCCAAAAGGCTTAGAGCTTAGATATTTTGCATAAGGCATCATCTGGTAGACCCTTACCAAGATTGTTCAAATTATAGCCCTTGGGTCAAAATCGGCCCCGCCCCGGGGTCATTGAATTTCGCTATATGTACATATAGTAAAAACTTAAAACACCTTCTTGTAAAGAGCCAAAAGGCCTAGAGCTTAGATATTTTGCATAAGGCATTGTCTGGTAGACCTCTACCCAGATTGTTCAAATTATAGCCCTGGGGTCAAAACCGGCCTGCCCCAGGGGTCATTGGTTTTCCTTATATGTATATAGTAAAAACTTTAAAAAGATTCTTGTAGCAATTGACAAATGCTAGAGGTTAGATATTTTGCATGAAACATTGTGTTGTAAAACTCTAGCAAGATTGTTCAAATTATAGCCCTGGGGTCAAAATTGCCCCCGCCCTGGGGGTCATTGATTTCAATATATACATATAGTAAAAAATAAAAAAATCTTATTGTCTGAAGGTACAAGGCTTAGAGCTTTAATATTTGTTAAAATGATATCATCTAAAGGTACTCTACCAAAGTTGTTCAAATTTTGCCATAGCCCTTGGGTCAAAATCGGCCAGCCACGGGGTCATTGATTTTCGCTATATGTACATATAGTAAAAACTTAAAACACCTTCTTGTAAAGACCCAAAAGGCCTAGAGCTTAGATATTTTGCATAAGGCATTGTCTGGTAGACCTCTACCCAGATTGTTCAAATTATAGCCCTGGGGTCAAAATCGGCCCGCCCCAGGGGTCATTGGTTTTCCTTATATGTATATAGTAAAAACTTTAAAAAAATTCTTCTAGCAATTGACAAATGCTAGAGGTTAGATATTTTGCATAAAAACATTGTGTTGTAAAACTTTAGCAAGATTATACAAATTATAGCCCTGGGGTCAAAATTGACCCCGCCCTGGGGTCATTGATTTCAATATATACATATAGTAAAAAATAAAAAAATCTTATTGTCTGAAGGTACAAGGCTTAGAGCTTAAATATTTGTTAAATTATATCATCTAAAGGTACTCTACCAAAGTTGTTCAAATTTTGCCTCTTGTGTCAAAATTAGCCCCGCCCCTTGGAGCCAGAGGTTTATCTTATATGTATATAGTTAAAACTTAAAAAATCATCTTCTCTAAATTTACAAAGGATAGAGTTAAGATATATTGCATGAAACATTGTGTAGTGAACCTCTAGCAAGATTGTTCAAATTATAGCCCTGGGGTCAAAATTGGTTCCGCCCGGGGGTCATTGATTTTCATAATGTACATATAGTGAAAAAAAAATTGTCTGAAGGTTCAAGGCATAGAGCTTTGATGTTTGATATATAATATCATCTATAGGTCCTCTACCAAAGTTGTACAAATGTCAAAAATTGGCCCTGCCCGGGGGCAGTGATTCTTATTATGTACACGTAGTAAAAACAGAAAATAAAACAAATGTTTTCTGAGTGGGAGAAAGCTATAGCTTAGATATTTGACGTGAAATGTTGAGTGGTGGACCTGTATCAAGATTGTTATTAAACCCTTGGGTCAAAATTATGCCTTGCCCAAGGGGACAGTGACCTACTTTCTTGTCCATGTGCACAGTTTTAGTTGTAAAATTTAACTTTGACCTAGATTTTGATGATGTGACCTACTTTCTTGTCCTTTGATGTACAGCTATGAAATTTGAACCATGCGGTGGCATAGCATTTTTCTCAAATGCAATCTTGTTTTTATTTACAAGGTAAAGATGTAGAGGCCAGAGCACATCGTTTTTATTTTAATTTAAATGTCACTTAAGCACTACAGTGTTTAGTTGTCCTTTTCAACTTCACACTAAATTCCATTTTCAACTTGTTTGCTTCTTACAATTGTATAGAATTTCTAAAAGTATTGCATGTAATCCGCTGGTTTATTAATTACATGTGTACTTCCTAATCGCCTGTCCAAAAATTCAGAACAGGTGGAAGCAGAATCTATTTTTAGAATAGCGAAGGTTAACTCATATCATGATCTTAGTAAAAATATGTAAACAAACCACAAGAATCGGAAGTAGAACTGATATTATAACTTCCTTACATGAAAGACTACATGGCGGTAAAAGTGTTGTAAAACTCTCTTCTTACATGCATTTTCAAAAATAGATATTTATACTAACCATTGTACTGTATCTAATATATTAATAACTGCTGAATATTCAGCTAAACCCGCGGTATGAGTCACGAAAATAGTTCTTCTTTTATTAATGCGCGAGTTATCCTAGAGTCACGAAAAACTTTTGATTTGTTAATAATAATGTTTTGTATAATGTAGAAATATTTATTTCCTACTAATAATGTCTTGGAACTCAGAGGTTACACCTTTATTGTAGTATAATTTGCTGTCCTACTTTTTTCGACAGCGGTAAATCGTTAGCAGTAATTTGCATATTGCGCAATAATACTACGGGACTACAACGCTTTTATCAATAATATATGTTTCATTTTCAACTTGGATAACTTAATTTTGAAATTGAAAGGCTAAATATGGAAAACATTAAGATATCCAGACAAAGTATGGGAGTTTTGAAGGATCAAATTCATGTACTATTTCTTGGGCTGTTAATTGGTTTAGGACACATTGCGCGATTGTAGCCAACGAAATCCCATGTGTAGATGACTTAGCTCTGAACGCGCCTGAGGGTGCGTCCGTCGCAAAAATTACAAATTCCCCAGTTTTCCTTTTGAAACATAAAACAAGAAATTTGGAAACAACACTTGGTTGTAGAAAAAGATTTTCATAGCAAAATTTTGTAATTATTATTTTCTTTAAATCAACTGAAATTCTGTGAACTGTGGAATATACATGTACATGTATCAATATTTTCTGTTTAATTTCTACATATGATATTTTATTTATAAAAATGTTCACCATTTTATTAATTAATTTTACAGAGAATAGTGTATGCATCAATAAAGATGAAGTCATCTGGACTTGATGGGAAGGCTTATCAGGAACTTTTATCTAAACTACCACTGGACAATACCACGTAGCTAGCCAGAACACCAGTCTCCTGTTTTAAAATAGAAATTAAATGAATATTTGACTTTGCTTGATTTCTGGATCATGCATATTTTCTATATGTCATCCCTTGATGTCATATTAACTTGATTGAACATAAAATATAGAAAAAAATCCTTATATAGACAGGAGAATAGACAGGAGAAACAAGATTTGAAAAATTGAGTTTACAGAATAAATAAGTATCCTTGTTTCAGAATTCAAAGAAATTTTGTGCATTTAGTGATGGCATTAATCTTCAAAGAATTTCTGTGCCTGTGAGAAAATGTGTGTAAAGAATTGTTATTAGATTTATATTTTAAATAGATATATATAATTTATCTATGTAAATGACAATATTTATGATAATCATGATGATTTTATGTAATATTGTTATTCTAAATATTAAATAATTATAAAGTTATAAAATGAAAAATAAAATGCTAAATTGAATACAATTTGTATTTTCTGTTTTTATCCATTCTTGTGCTAGATCCTTATTTGTGTAAAAAATAGAGTGGACTGTATGGTAAACAGTAAAAAAGTTAAACACAGCAAGTCTTCCCTACCTCAAACCAACACATGCAAAAACAATAGCACATGTTACACTTTAGGTGGAATCAGATCGTTTTATCTGTTTAGAAATGCAACATTGACTTAAGTAATTAAAAATAAATTCAAAGATTAGTACATATTTCATTGTACATAATGTCAGGTAGTCATTTAATAACAAATTTTTACAGTCTCTGGGTCAAAATCTAAGTCAGTCGATAATAAAGTTGATAAACACATTAAATTGTGAATTAATCAAAATTCCAGGCTGCAGCTCAAAAAACAAGAAAGTATGTAACATTAGGTAAATATCCTGGTAATATGTTCAATATACAAAAAGTAACATGTACATATAAATAAAACCAACTGTTATCCCAAGGCCTTAATTTGAACAAACTTTTTAGAGGTTCATTAGACAATATACCCATATATCTTTGCTCTAATCATTCCTGTTTCAGAGTAGATTTTTTTTTTTTTTGCAGTAAAAGGAAAAGTCCCGGCCTTTTGGGTAGGGTATTATACCTACCCCCCTGTGCCATAATTTGAACAATCTTATTAAAGTTCCATTAGACAATACTATTAATACAAAGAAAACCCATGACCCCAGGGCCACAACAATTTTAACCCAGGGACAATTATTTGAACAAGCCATGTAGAGATCCACTGGACAATTTTATTTGCCAAAGTCCTAAGCCCTATAGCCTTTGTGGATTTGGAGATTTTTAAAGTTTTTTTTTCCTTTTGGTTGCCATGACAACCATAGTTCTGCATGTAATGCAATTTTTCAAATAACTTTGAAAAGGGCCCATCAAATAATCTTTTCTATAAAGTGCTGTTACAATTGACTTGGTGGTTAAGTCAAGGATGTGTAGGCAGTAATGGTCAATGCCAGATGTTGATTAAGCATGCACAATAGCTCATCTTGAACATGTTCTGCTCTGATGAGCTAATAAAGAAAACCTATGCAGTTACCAACCTTTGTCAAGTTCCACTGGACAACATTACACATTGGTGCTAGTCAATGTGTTTATTGACAAGATAATTTAAAAGATTTCACATTGGTTGCCATGGCAACCAGATTGTTAATGGAATTTAATTTTTGACCAACTTTAAAAAGGGCCACCTGATGATTATTCATGCAATTTGGCAAGTGAAGAAGAGAACATGTATATTGTTTAAATAAATGTTTGACACTACAAAATGGGGTACATATTTATGTGTTGATCTACTCAGATAAAAATAAAAATCAATTTAGTTTGACTGATAGATCTATGTGCTTTTATCTGATTTTAGCATTTTTAAAAAGTGTATGTGACTGCATGTACCTAAAAGCAAATTAGGCCAGATCAGAAAAGTTATTTAAGATCACGGAATATAATATAAATCCGTGATAAGATGAACAAATCACCTTTAAAATACTTTAAGTACTTTGATAGTTGGCCGGGTATCAAAAGTTGCTCAGGTCATTGCAAAAAAATAATGAATGCATATCGATAGAAACGTAATGATTATTGTTTAATTTCATAAGAACAACAATAAACTTTTAGGTTATATTTCGTTACAATTTCAGGAATAAAAAGTTATTTTTTTTATATATATTGATAAATTTAACCACATAAGCGGCTCTACGTCATAGTTCTGAAAATCAATGGAATCGTGAAGGTGTTGTCAAATGATTGGAAATTGCTGTAAAGAAATCAATAATATCGTGGAATAAAAGGTACCGGAGCGCAGAATTCTCGTTTAGAAGCTGTTTTGAAGTTCATGTACCAACATTTCTGTGCGGAGTTCTTATCTTAAACGTTGTTATTGTCAACAAACTTTGGCCCACTTTTGGCTTTAAACTTTTGTGTGACTGCAATTAATTTTACTTTCTGACAGTTTGAGACTTATCAGCTACGCTTATGAGTGCAAAGGCAAGATCGCCAAGCGGTAAAACTGCTTGGGGAGATTATGGTAGTGCAAGGCCAGACCCGCAATTTGATTTTGGTCAAGAGCCAATTCGGGATGATGCAGATTTGAGCCCAACTGCAATGGAAGGTGACGATTCGGTATACATGGGTGGTGACAGAAATAAATCGGCTGCTGTTGCTACCACCTCCAAGAATCAGTCGAAATCGTGCTTTGCTAAAATAGGCCATGGAATAAGATGTAAGTTTTTTTTTTTCAATTTGTCCATTTCTTATCGAGATATAAAATTTTTTGAAGAAAAAGCTGATTGAGCTGTTGTTTGATATGACACACTCGTCAGTCAATTTAGTTAAGAGATTGCTAAAAGTCTGGATATAAACAACACTTTCAACACTGTTAGTATTACCAGTTTTAATAGTATATCCAGACATGTGATCATAACCATACATAAGATTCTTATATATCATGCATTGAGCTGTCTTTATTTTATTTATTTTTCGGCTTAATTTGGGAATGTTTCACTATTTAAGTGTAATAATTAAGTTCCCTATAATTATAGTAGATTCAACATGTACTTGATTTCACTAATTTGACAATATTTTTAATTCTCAGTAGATACATGTCTGTAAAATCTGATTTTTTTTAACATCAGAGTAATTTTAAAAAATAATATTCTACAAAGACCCTCAAAACCAGTACTGTTTTCAGTAGTCAAGTGTTGCCCCTTTTTTAAAAGGTTAATAAAAGGAAAAATCATCAGAATACAGAATATTTTTGTGCAGGGTTTGTTTCATTTTTAGTAAATTCACCAAGTTGAAAGCTTAATTCAAGCTATAGTAAATAAAAGGGAAAAAATCCATAATTGTTATTTAGCATGATTCCTGAAGTTATTGCAGATACAGTAAAATTCCTATTAAACGCCCCCGGGGCTAAACATTTTCCAAAAGGGGGGCTATTATTACAACTCAGTTTTTCCTAAATCCAAAAATCATTGTAAATACATTCAGTGTTAGCAAGTATTGGTAATAACATTAAAAAGTGTAAAGATTTTTAAGTTCATACTATAAAATAAAATGGATTGTGAATGATTTGAATGAAATTATGGATTTACTCATGAGCTCAGCACTGATGAGTAGATTGTTTTTCTTAACAAAAGGCCTGGGGGGCCTTTAATAGGGGAGGGGCATTTATAAGGAATTTTACGGTAACTCATTTTAATTCCATAATTCACAATCTTCTATTCAATCAAAACATCTCTGTAATTTTGTATATATCAATTTATTAAGTGCAGGATTTTTTACTTTATTAGAAAAAGTATGTCCTGCATTTACTCTAATAGTTATGTGTCTTATGTCAAGTTAAGCCATTCTTATTTTATTGTTTTAATTGTCAAACTCATTTTGCAAAAGGTAGAGCTACCCACTCAAGAAAAACACACACATTTATACAAAGTCTAAAATTATTGACTTACATTTCTATATGATAGAAAATATTTCCTTCTTGATACTGTGAAACATCAACACATTGTTATTAAATATATTATTGGTGGATAAAAGTTCAAACTATATCAAAGGCACTGAAACCAGCCTTTATCAATTATAAATATATTGGCTTATATGTTTACAGCCCCTATGCATATATATGATTATGAAAACAATGCATACAAACAAATGCAGTGATTTTTTTACCTCTGCATCCTGAGTCCAGGACTCATTGAATTTGCTGTGGATGCAAAATTTCAAATAATGTGCATCTTTTGGATGCATACTTTTTCTGAGTAGGGAGTCCTGTCTGACAAGAATTTGGTAATAAATACCAAATTGTGTCCAAGTTATGTCAATCATATTCTAGGTCTGCAAATCTTCTACAGATAAGAAATAATAATATGCTTTACTATACATGAAGATAAGCATAAAAATATTAAGGAAAATGAAGTTTTAATTAATCTCAAACTAAATTGATGGAAATAAACTTAATAAATTTATTTGACAGTTTTGAATAATTTCAGTATCAGAAGCATTGTAATTAATGTAGAAATCAAATTCATTTTTTCTTCATTCCATTGTTTATATACCTTTCATATCACTAACGCCAGTGTTAGCGATTTTCCCTAACTTTACTGAGTACCTGGGACTCAGTGCTAATAGATCTGTTACGTCCCAATTCAAATGGAACGAGTCCTCAATTACAAAAATGTCAATGTTTGCATAACTTCATAATACAATCAAATTTGTGACTGTTGATGTTCGCGGATACCATTGATAGGTTGGCCCAAAACGAGGCCGAGCACTTGCTCCTAGTCTACGTTTGATATATAAATCTGCATTGCTAATGAGAAAGGAACAAATGAAAATGAGGTGAAAGTCAAGGTCTTATAATACAATTTATTTAAAGTGAATAGAAAATCATTTTCAAGCAGAGCAAAAAAACTTAAGAGAGAATTGACCAATTATCGGGGAAAAAGTGTTTCGTCCCAGGGACTCAACAGCCCTTTTTTTCTTTCCTCCCTGGCAATTTTAGCGAGTAAATTGATATGTTTACTCAGTAAACGCGAACACTGCTAACGCAATATAAAGCCTTGTAACTTGGATAAGTCGGATAAATTTTGGGACTCATAGATTTATAGCCCAGCGAGTCCTAGGACCCACACTGATGAGTTTGTAAAAAAATCACTGCAAATGTATTCAACGTAATGAATTTTGAAAAGAATACATGAACAATTAAGTAACAATCTCAATTTTATGTGATTTATGTAGTATATTAAAATGATATGAATGTATTAATAGGTCTTTGACATGAAAAAGTTTTTCAAACGATAGGGAAATTGCAAAATTATGTGTTTGGAAAAGTTGTTTGTATCAAGAACTCTTTAGAGAATCAACCTTACCTAAGAGTTCAAAAGAAATACTAATTTTACCATTTAAATTTAATATTTCTTTAGATATAGCTTCATTCCGTTTATTAAGGACTGTAATGGCAATAATTTTGATTGCCCTGAAGACTGCTTTTCTCTAACAATTACTAAAAAATTTTAAACTTCTAACTATTATTATTGAGAAAAATCATAGTTTAAAAAAACAGAAAAAAATACGGATCAAAATAGTTAAAAGTCTTACTCTTAGTTAACCCTTTACCTCATATATATGCAAAACAACGCACTTTCAGCCCCCCCCCCCCCCTTTTAGGCCTCAAATAGTGAAAAAATGTCCTATTTTGGCCCCTAACACATGTTTTCGTTTGAGAAATGTTGCTAAAAAAAAAAGAGCACTTTTCGGCACCGCCCCCCATCCAAAAGATACATCACTTGCCAGAAGGGGGATGTGCCCCCTTCTATTTGGGGGGTTTGAAGGGGGGGTGGTAGACCCCCTCATCGCCAAGAAAATTTTGGACTTGTGAGAGGCTAAAAATGACCCCAGGTCGATCATAAGGTAACATGTAACCAATGCTGAAAAGCCTTTGACTCTATCTCAATCCCTTGAGAAGTTGCAGCACTTTGAAATAAATTTTGATGGAAAAAATCAAGGCAAAATAGTGATTTTTGGCAATTTTGAGATGTCCCCTCGTTGCCATGGTAACAGGAAATTTGAGACTGAGCATGTCATTACAAAGGCAATGGTCAAGTCAACATTTGTGCCAAGTTTGATAAGTATTGAAGCATTTTTCATAGTTTCATAGCAGTTTGAACTTGTAACAAGAGGCTTTTAAATGAAAACAGCCTTTTTTCACAATATGCTCATGAGGGAAAGGGTTAATAGACACTTGATTTTATTGGTGATTTTATTATAATGATAAATCAACCAATTGTTTGAACTTTAAAATTCTGCTCAAATTATCTTGGTCATCTTCAATTGGTGACATTCTCCTCTTTTTCAATGTATCAAAATGTTATTTTTCCATTAAACAGAATTGTAGTAGTTCCAGTGTAAGAAAAAGTTACATAACTGTAAATTATTAAGGCTCAATAAACAGTCAACTTTTTCTTTTTCTATTTACTTAAATTGATGTGCCAAAAAACTTTCCCAAGATATTGATTGCTGTGCTGACAGTTCTCCTCAGTATCTTTTTTTTTCTTACAATGTAAATAAGCAAATCATTAAAGTCTGTAACTGGAAAGGGTACTGAATAAAAGAATGCATTAAAATAGATTTCATTTGTTTGCTCTGTCATAAATTATTCACAGAATTTCTTCATAAGCTTAGTTACCATTCCGGACAACGGCCAAGTTCTTTGAACATCTACGTAAGCAAATTGATTAGTTTGCAGAAAAACACATCAAATATTCATCAGAACTTAATACCGTTCCATAGCCTAGTTTGACTTGTTGATGAATCTTGAATAATTGACAATATACCTTTTGTTTGATTAGCCCCACAGGTATAACCAGTATATTGATTCCATTGTTGGTTACTGCGTCTAGGACAGGATATTGGAGTCGGTTTTAAGCTATGCTTGATTGAAACAGTTGAAGCCTTTGAAGCAAGTTCCTAGAAACATTGATTTTTGGTTAATGAAATGGGTTTTAATGTCAGGTGGAGTGCCATTGAATATTCCTAACAGGTCATGTCTGACATTCCAATAAAGATTGGGGTTATTTTATGACAAGACGCAAAAGGAATTATATATTTATATATTCTAAGTAATTAGCCCATAGTTTAATGCTTTCTAAGTTAGATCAAACGGTTTTCACCTTTTTCACTATTTTCTTTTTACGAACTTTTATTTATTTATTAATTAGTTATTTTCAAAGAAAAACAATTTAAATTGTTGCTTTTAATATGATAAATGTGAAGGTTCTCTGAAAATAGTTGACCCCTAAATTACATGTCTGCCTATGTTTGAAACATAATGAAAAATCATATAAATGTAGGTGCAAATTTGCTTTCCACCTGCACCTTTTTCATTTTGAAAGTACTGATATACACAAGATTAAACAATGTAAACTGGATGTTATACATTTTGCCTTAAATGCTACATTAGTGATCAACACTCTAATTAATATAACAGTACATGGAAATAGCTTTTTCTTATAAAGATTAGAAAAAATAAAACTTGCCAAAAGGTTTTTTTTCTTAAATAATAAATGACTTGGCCTTTAAATGTAAAAAAAGTGATTTTTTAGTTTTTAAAAAAGAATGTACAAATATATAATAACGATTTAAACTGAAAAAAAAAACTACTTGTACAAGTTCATAAAATCATTATCTTCTTATTTTGTCAAGGAATTTTGAAATTTAATTGCCTGCAAGTTCATAGCCCAGTTTTTACAATGTCAATATCTTCTACATGTAAACATTTTCTATTGATAGCCTTAAAATAAGCATTGAACAAATTTTGATCAAATACGGATAAAGAACTAAGCCATAGAATTTTGCAGTCAACTATTATAATATTGTAAGACATGGGGTTTTAAACCGCAGATAAAAATTTAACATATTTAGGGCAAGTTTTTGCGCTCTTGGTTAAACCGTTTATTTACATTTCTTCAAATAGTAATGAATATAATATACATTGTATATACAGTCATTGTATATACATCTATTAAGTAATAAGTAAAATCAATTTTTTTTAAATTCAAGATGTATTAAAAAGTAAATAAATGAAACAGAAAATTGAATTGTTTTATTATATAAAAATTTGTTTTATTAAAAAAAACCCTTATGATGAAATGAATTTCATTTTATTTAAAGGAGTGCTGTTAGATGTTGTGTTTATATGTGATACAGTAACTCATATAAATGTTAAAAAACATTATCTAGTAGTGCTATTAGTGTTTTTTTCCCCACATATTTTACAGCCTTGTACAGGCTGTTTCCCCTAGCCAAAAATGCTATATTTTGAATTTATTTGCCCCTTTACTTAGCTCATTCATTCATTCATTCATTCATTCCCAATGAACAGAAAATATACTGTAATTTGAAGTAAAATTATTTTTATAAAAATTATGACAATGTTAAAGTCTCAGTTGTTGGTCATTGATTTCAGCTTTTCCGTTTTATAGTTTTATTTCATTAACACAGCTTTGTATATTTCACCATTCAGAAAGCCTGCCTCAGGTTGTTTTAAAAATTACTACTAAGACACTTATTTTTGCAAGTTTTCTTATCACTTTGTTAATATCTTTATATCTTAATTTTTTTAGTGTAATACTGCTATTAACATAATTAAGGTCAAATGTTCTGTAATTTTCATATTTGCTTTTAATTAAATAAACAAAATACATAAAGGTGTAGACATAGAGAAATGAAATACAATGTAAGATATTTTATCAAGACTGAGGTCCTTATGGTTAAGTTATATTGATTCCTGGTAGCACCAAAATATATCTAAGGCCAGGGTTTTCTTTTTAGAATTCATTTTTCTGCAGAAAATGTTTTCATGTCTTGCAAAAAAGTACACTTTTTGTACCTTCCTTAACAGAAAATGTTGCTTTTACAAAAAAAAAGAAAGAAAAAACCCCAACAAAAACAAAAGAAAGCAACAGTATAAAACAAACAATAATTACAAGTTAAAGAAATTATTTTAACATTAAGTCTAAAGTGAAGTGATATACATGTATTATAAGACTTTATTACATATAATTTCAGCGCTATGGGCAACACGTCAGACAGAGGATGTGAAAGGAGACAGAGAACTTCATGTGAAGACAACTCTCAGAGAGCTGATCATTTACATTGTATTTCTGGTCATCCTTTGCATTGGTAAGCTTTTATATGAATCTATGAACACAACTTGCTATTATTTCAGGCCTGTAAATATCCATATACCAGCTGGCACAGTTTTATCTGTTCGGTCTTGAAATCATTGGAACTGATAATAAATCATTCATAATTTTAAGATAGTGAACTTTAGAAAATAGGAAATTTAAAAAAAAGGCATTAAATTTTCAACATTAGATTCAAAGTTGTTTTTATAAATGAATGGTCACTGTACAAGTTCTTGATATTAGGAATACATAAAAAAGATGAAAATTTGAAAATTATTCTAAAACTTTTAAATATCAGAAACTTTAATCTCACTGGTACTTCTTGTTGATCATGATTCAATTTGATTTTTTCAGTAACCTTTGGTATGACCCAGACTACAATGTACTACTACACGAAGGTGATGAGCGACTTGTTCCTTGATAAAACCCATTCAAGTGGCGGATCTTTCCGTACCATAACCAGCGTTGAAGACTTCTGGAAGGTATTTATTTTAAGAATTAACATTGATAATAGCGTTTCTAGAAATAATAGCGCACAGAGAATTATAATTTAATTTTATGATTATATCTGTGAGCTGGAGACTGTTGCCATTATGCCTTATATGGTACGAGGTTTGTAGAAGATTGTTTCTCTTGCAGTTATTCATGCGTGTTTGCCTATGCTAATCTAGGTGCATAATTTGTCATTCACATACATATATTTATATGGGTTTTCATATGACTTTATTTTGTACTTTAATATTAATATTTATCTTGTAGAGATTTTTCTTGAAAAAAAAGATTGATTTTTTTTTAAGAGATTTGTATCAGTTATTGACATTTTGTATAGAAATCATATTACTAGTATCCCCTTTAAAATTATTCTTTCATTTTATCATTCCTTAGTTTGCCAAAGGACCATTGGTAAATGGACTGTACTGGGAGACATGGTATAATAATGCAACCGTCCCTGAAGGTCAAGAAGGTTATATCTACTACGAGAACAAGCTACTTGGTGTACCACGACTTCGACAGCTCCAGGTCCACAGCAACTCATGTGTTGTCCATGACGACTTCAAGAATGTTATCAGAGAATGTTACGAGTCTTATTCTGAAAGTTTGGAAAACAAGCAATCATTTGGTGAAGCTATAACGACTAATGATAATCACACTGGGTAGGTAATAGGAACATGTCCAGTCTTCATTGTAAATGAATATTTTGTATACCTGTAGAAAAAAGTGTGTGTACATTTAATGTTTCATGATGATATTACAGCTTGTTGAAAATGATACTAGTTTACTGAATAAAAAAGTTTAATACTTGATGTGGAGTACATCAAATTGCTTATCTTACATGAAGTTCCCAATTAAAGTTATAATCTGTTTTAATCTTGCTTTAAACTATTATCTATATAAACAAATGGTTGTAATGTTGAATTACAAATATGGTTTTCTTGGACATCAGAGACGTGTTTATTTGGCATACCATTTATGATTTGAAAATGATGTTTTGATTTTAATCAAAGTATCTGGCCTAGTTACAAATTATTTTTAATTTCTTGTTTATTTTCAGTTGGTATTATCAGACGCAGGACGAACTGGATGGGTCTAGCCACTGGGGTAAGATAGCTACATATAGTGGCGCTGGATATGTACAGGACCTAACACAGAATAAGAGCGAATCTGCCGCGCTGATAGACTACCTGTTTGACAAGCGCTGGATACGGAGAGGCACAAGGGTTCTATTTATAGACTTCACGGTGTACAATGCTAACATCAATCTGTTCTGTGTAATCAGGTAAGAAAGCAAACTGTTCATGTGGTACCTTTACATTAAAGTGAGTTTTCAATGTAGATGTAAGAACCGTCTGATATAGGTCCTTTGAAAGACAAACAACTTAACTATTTCAGTGTTGAAACTTGATTGTTTTCTGTTGTTGATTGTTAATTTGTTTCAATGGTTTAATGTTAAAATTGCAGCAAACAGATATTGGTGGTATATTTTAACAGACTAAGGTTGAATCTTGTAATTTAGAGTACATACTTGAATAAAGAAGTAAGCACAAATATGTGAAGAGGCATAATTACTATTTTTCTCCACCATATTAGGTTAACTGTTGAGTTCCCACCAACTGGTGGTGCAATCCCCCATGCCACAATGAGAACTGTCAAGTTGATCCGATATGTGACGGTGATGGACTACTTTATCATGGCCTGTGAATTCATACTCTGCCTTTTCATATTCTACTACATGGTTGAGGAAGCTATTGAGGTAAAGTAGTGTTGTATCATTAACAGTCATATGTTCTTTCAGTTCAATTTAGTACAGTACAATTTTGTACAATTCAATACAATACAATTCAATCAATACAATTTAGTAGTACAAGATCATTTAATTGTGTAAATACATTACAAAGTTTCTTTTTAATTTTTTTTTTTATTTTTCTTGCAAAGTCAACTCGAATATTATATTTCTAACACATTTTTTTTAACAGATCAAGAAGCACAAGTTCTCGTACTTCAAGAGTGTGTGGAACATTCTCGACATACTGGTCATTGTGATTGCCTTAGTGTGTGTCGCGTTTAATGTGTATCGTACCCTGAAGGTGGATGAGCTACTGAAGAAACTACTAGACAAGCCAGACCAGTATGCCGACTTTGAGTTCCTCAGCTACGGTCAGACACAGTTTGACAATGCCATTGCCATAGCTGTCTTCTTGGCCTGGATCAAGGTGAGTTTATTCGATTCAGTTAACAGAAATGAACACATGATGTTTTTAATTAAATTCATATTTTAGGAACTTTTACAATACTGATTGTGTATGAAATCAAAAAGTTACTGTATTGTTTATGTTGGTTTTATAGCAAGGTTTTAAATTTAAATGGTGTCACAAATACTTATTATTAATAGTTTTATGTCCAGTGTTTCATGGTGTTTTCTTGTTACTTAAAAAGATAAATTTACAAGCAATCTTATTTACAACAGATCTTCAAGTACATCAGTTTCAACAAGACAATGACCCAACTGTCCTCCACACTTGGTAAGTGTGCCAAGGATCTGGCCGGGTTTGCTGTCATGTTCTTCATCATCTTCTTGGCCTTCACCCAGCTCGGCTACCTGTTGTTCGGAACCCAAGTGAAAGACTTCAGCAACTTTCAGAATTCTTTGTAAGTACCTGTGTAACCTTATATCAGATTATATAATAATCTTGTGGATGTTACCAGTCATTGGTGATCTGTAATATTAGTTTGATCAGACTAGAAATTATACTTCTGGTAATATGAAATGTATTAGCCTGCAAATTATTTAACTTATACTTTTGTACTTACAATGTCATGTGCCTGGTCCTGTGCAGGCATATTTGCTGACAATGTTCTTTTTTATTTGTTTTATTTTTCCATACAACAGCTTCACCTTGTTCCGTATCATCCTGGGAGATTTCGACTTTGACCAACTTGAGGCTGCTAACCGTGTACTTGGACCGATCTTCTTCATGTTGTTCGTGTTCTTCGTATTCTTTGTGCTCATTAACATGTTCTTGGCCATCATCAACGACACCTACTCTGAGGTTAAGGGAGACATGGCCAACCAGAAGAATGAGTTTGAAATGGGCGACTACTTTAAGAGAGTAAGATTACTTGTTCATGTAACAAATTATGATTATTAGCAATTATATTTTCATGAAGCTGAAGCATTTTTTTTTTACATAAAATTATCTATGCGTTACCTACATTTAGAAAAAAGAGCTTGAAGATTAAAAATGTTTTTCTTCTAGAAATTTAATGTAAGAATAATGAAAACCATTCAAATACAGAGATGACCATTTAGAATAACTTTACAATACTTTTCCGCTCGTTTAAAAATATCTCGATTTTTGCCCTTAATTTCTCTAATCTTTGAATGTTTTCTATAAAGGGTTATGAGAAGATGTTGAACAAGTTGAACTTCAAACATGACAAGATTGTGGACATCCAGAAAGCTCTCCAATCTGCTGATATCAATAACGATCAACAAGTTGACTTTGATGAATGGCGTCAAGATCTCAAAACGTAAGTGTTAAATTGAAAACTACACTAAAATATAAGGGTCTTTTTTTTATTTAAAATAGATTAGTATAAAAATTTTCCCATTGAAATGTGTTAGTCTTGGGTTTATTGTTAAAGTGTACACACAGCTGTTTTTCAATACTAAATTTTTGTTGTTACATGACTAACTTGGACAGGGTTTTGTGGAATATACCCTTCACTTTATGTAATTTTAAAAATCTTATTACATTATAGACGTGGCTATGCTGATGGTGAAATTGAGGCTCTGTTTGCCAAGTACGACATGGACGGCGATCGTGTACTCGACAAAGATGAACAGAGGAAAATGCAAGCTGACCTTGCTCATCAAAGGGTTAGTCTTGTTCTTATTATTGGTACACAAAATCTTTGTGCAGATCATATATTTATAAATTTTGAATATAGAAGTCAAGGTACATTACCAAAAATTAGCAAAGTATTCTGACCTGGTAATTTGACAGAATTAAAATTGCTATTGAATGTAAGACAGAATTGACATATTTATACTTGCATTGTCTTTACTACTTAAATTTTTCATTTTAGAAAATCACAATATTTCTTTATAAAAACCTTTCATTTCTTAAACATAATACTTAAGTAAGGGTGTCTATAAATATCAACAAAAATGTAAGCAATTAAAAGATAAAAGGACTTTTATAAAAAAAATTGTTCTTTATTTTGAATGGGTTTTCATTTGTGTTTTATTTAGGATGCCCTCAAAAAAGAATATGACGAACTGGACAAAATTGACCGACCAGAAAGTGCCCGCAGATCTACAAGCCGAGTTAGCTTTAACGATGACAGTGCCGATGACAGCGATGATGAAGACAGTCACACAAAATCCTCACGATCAGGCCCATCACAAAGTGTTTCATATGAAGAATTTACAGTACTCTCTCGTAGAGTGGACAGAATGGAACATTCTATTGGCAGTATTGTATCAAAGATAGACGCAGTTTTAGTAAAATTAGAAGCCATGGAAAAAGCAAAATTAAAAAGAAGAGAAACTATGGGTAAAATCCTAGACAGTATAACAGAGGTAGGTTATCAAAAAGAAATATATACCCTTTTAACTATATTGAGAAACATATACCCGTATATAATTTTTTTGTTATAACAATACTAAGTTTTTATGCAATTTTTGAATATAACATTTTTTTTTCAATCTGAACTAGGTCTAATTGAATTTTTAAATTGTTGAAGAAACATTTTTTTATTTTCATTTATAACATTAATTTTTCAAAAATTTGCTATTTGGCAGGTTATATACATATTATGACATTCGGTTATCTATTTGTTATAGTTTATTATAATGTTATAATTTAGTGGATGTGAATTGTTTTAGAGAAAAGAAGCTAGTAAAGAAGTTAAAGAGGGTAAAGAGGTGGATAAGGTACACTGATGTCTCTTGTCCCTGCCATTAGAGCTGATGTTGAAAATTAACTGCCACGTTTTATGATTTTTTCCCCACCACATTCTCATATGTTGAAAATTTCGATATATTTATCTCCTCAGTATGAAGATTCAGTTTTATCATGCAGATATTTATGGAAACAAATTGGATGTTTTTTTAATTAGTTATCACCCACATATATTTCTTGAAATCACCATTAAGATATTCTGGATAAAATGACATTAATTTTTTTTTTATGAAAATGGAAATTGACCTCAAACTATGATATAGAAACATAACAAAAAAATAATGGATTTTAGTTCATATGCAGCTACCGGTACACATAGTGCGCCAAAATCAGAAATCATATTAAAAGAATGATTTTTTATCAGGAAAACTATAAATTATGATTAAACTGGTGATTTATTACCTATTTAAATTGTCCTTCATTTTGTTAGAAACCTGTAGAAACCAAGAGTCCTGCAACAAAACGAAAGAAATAAATGAGTAAGTTTTCTATGTAGACAGGGGAGCTAACTAGTGATAACAGGAAGTGCTTATCTTACAAACAGGCTTATATAACTTAAAACTATTTCTGCATGGTAAACCATGGTCTAACATAAATTCATGGTCACTCATTGATTTCTAATATACCTGGTTTTTAATATTCATGTTTCAACAATTCAACCATAAATTAAGATTCAAATGTTTCATACAGTAAACTATTATAGCTGAAGATCCAGGACTTTTTAAAGTAATGTTTAAAATTATTTTTGTCCTACAATTAAGCAAGAAAAACTGAGTAGAAAAAACTGTCAAAATCAAATTAACCTGAAAAAAGGTTGTCATAGAATATTTTTGATTTATGGTTGAATTGTGAAGTATTTGATTAATCTCATTTATAAGTGTGAAGTAAGGTAAGTATATGTTACATTGTGTGCTGTATCTAATCATCACTGAAACTTTCAGTCCGACGGGACAAGCGATGAAGTTAAAAGAGAACAAATGGAAAGATTAGTTCGAGAAGAGTTAGAAAGATGGGACTCTGAATCGTCAATAACCCCACAGCCCAGTGCAAGTGGTCGAGGGGCATCCCCTATCAGTAGTGGGCCTGGGACAAGGTCAAGGTCGCGACCAGCATCTGGGGGAAATCCGGTACGTATGACAAGCCTCACTGAGAATAAGCATTAATTTTATGTTGTATGAGACATTTAAATTTTTTGTGTCTCTTATAAGTTACTTCTAAGAGGCTGTAAAATAATCAGTACAATTCACATGATCGAATTATTGAAATTCAAGATCTATTAGAAAGGATGAGATTTGTTCGATGCTTGAAGTTTTTTTCAGCATTTTTGTAAATTTTGTTAATTACAGCAAAATCAGGAAAGAGTTTCATGTGGGAAAAAGCAGTTTGAAGAAACTGTTGACCCACTCATTTCTGAAACTTTGTTAGTTGAGGAAATGCCTGAGAACGATAACAGGTTAGACCAAACTGAACATGTGGGTTTGACGTGTGCAGAAACAAGAACCAGTGTTGGTGATTGCCTGTATCCCCCTATCTCTGTATTTACATGTAATGAAACCATCACCTCAATTCCATGTCCTGAGCCCTTTTCCAAAACATTACACAACTCTTTTACTATTCAAAATTCTGATGACTCTTTACAAGTGATAAGTACTTCAGGAATGAAAGGGGAGAAAATTGACTTAAGGCCAAATACACCTATTTTGCCAGGGATTCCTTCTGCATCATATCAGAAGGAACAAGAGTTAAGCTTGCCAAAATCAAGTTCAGATAAAAATTCTGAAGGGGATACCTCAGCAGCAAATTTGTCAAGCTGTGTTACAGAAACTATTGAGCGAGACATTTGTTCTTTTTCCCAATTATCAAGACCTTCTTCTAAACTTTCAGACAGAAGTAATGACCTAATTTCAAAGTCGGAAGGAAATGTTGACTCTAATGCAAGGTCATTTAGACAAACTTCTAAAAGTTCAGATAGAAATGATGACCAAAATATAAAATCCTCCAAATCAAAGTCTGTAAGTCCAGACAAAAATGATGACCAAAGGTTATCAAGACCAACTTCCAAAAGTTCTGACAGAACTGATGTCCAAAATGCAATGTCACCAAGTTCCAAAAGTTCAGACGAAAATATTGACCAGGATACAATGTCACCTATACAGACTCCCAAATCTTCTGATCACTGTGATGATTCAAAGGCAACGTCATCAAGTCCAGCCACCAAAAGTTCAGACAGAAATATTGCCAAAGATACAATGTCATCTGAACCAAGTCTCAAAATTTCAAACCAAAATGATGACTCAAATGGAAAATCCGGGTCATCAAAACCAAGTTCTAAAAGTTCTGACAGAAATGATGACTCAATTACAAGGTCATCAACACCAAGTTCTAAAAGTTCAGACAGAAATAATGACTCAAATACAAGGTCATCAAGACCAAGTTCCAAAAGTTCTGACAGAAATAATGACTCAAATACAAGGTCATCAAGACCAAGTTCCAAAAGTTCAGACAGAAATAATGACTCAAATACAAGGTCATCAAGACCAAGTTCCAAAAGTTCAGAAAGAAATGATGACCCAAATACAAGGTCATCAAGACCAAGTTCCAAAAGTTCAGACAGAAATGATGACCCAAATACAAGGTCATCAAGACCAAGTTCGAAAAGTTCAGAAAGGAATGATGACCCAAATACAAGGTCATCAAAACCAAATTCTGAAAGTTCAAACAGAAATGATGACCCAATTTCAATGTCATCAAGACCAAATTCTAAAAGTTCTGACAGAAATGATGACCAAAATAGTAGGTCATCAAGACCAAGTTCCAAATGTTCAAATAAAAGTGATGACCCAAACCCACTGTCATCAAGGCCAAGTTCCAAAAGTTCAGACAGAAATGATGACGCAAATATTAGGTCATCAAGACCAAATTCCAAAAGTTCAGACAGAAATGATGACCCAAATACAAGGTTATCAAGACCAAATTCCAAAAGTTCAGACAGAAATAATGACGCAAATATTAGGTCATCAAGACCAAATTCCAAAAGTTCAGACAGAAATGATGACCCAAACCCAAGGTTATCAAGACCAAATTCCAAAAGTTCAGACAGAAATAATGACGCAAATATTAGGTCATCAAGACCAAATTCCAAAAGTTCAGACAGAAATGATGACCCAAATACAAGGTTATCAAGACCAAGTTCCAAAAGTTCAGAAAGAAATGATGACTCAAACACAATACCATCAAGACCAAATTCTAAAAGTTCTGACAGAAATGATGACCAAAATACATGGTCATCAAGACCAAATCCTAAAAGTTCTGACAAAAACTATGACACAAATACACTGTTATCAAGGCCAAGTTCCAAAAGTTCAGACAGAAATGATGACCCAAAGTCAAGGTCATCAAGACCAGTTGGAAGTGTGGTCAAAAGTAATGATTCCAGTAAAGCAGCCCAAAGATTTCCATGTGGAGACAATGAGAGTAAAAAATTGCCAGCATCAAATGATTTACAATATAAAATGGAACCATCTGATGTCAATTTACAGGATAATGTCTCAGATATAAACCCTATTGCATCAGTATCAGGAACCCCTGTATTAGGAAACATACAAACAAACTCAGAAATTCCTCTCACTAGACCTTTTTCGGAAGAAATATCACCTAATTTTTTGAATAAAGAATCCATGTCTCTAAAGGAGAATCAGACAAAAATAGATTTAAGCAATGTTGAAAGATTGAGCAGTACAATTGATTCACAATTAAATAATGCTAATGGCATGTATGGTGACGAAAAAGGTATGGGAAAGTCTGAGGGGAAATTAGATGAAAATAACTTCACAGACAAAGATGGATTCATTGCTTCTGTTGCTATAATTAATGAGGAGGAAGATCTGAATCAGGTTGGTGTAGAAAATGATATTCATACTATGAAAATTAAGCAAATAGAACCCGAAGAAGCTGGTGAAATTCCTGAAACAATTGTTACAGCTAAGGGCCAGAAAGTTTCAAGAGGAACATTAAGTAAAATGGCAGGTAAAAGAAAGAGTATGGTTCAAAACACAAATCCGCAGACAGGCTCAGCTGATAATGGTTTTTCTGATTCAAATGTCAGTCACTCTGGTGAAACAATTATGACAGAGAAAGATTTTGTCAAAAACTCTCAAGCAATCGACACCAAGCCTGTTAAAGTAGGGACTCTAACCAAAATGTTTTCTGTAGCCAATGAAAAGTCACATCAAACAAATGTAAAGGAGGGTAAAAGAAAGGAAACGTCAAAAAGTCCTTCAATGTCGGCTGGAGCAGTGTCTAACAGTTTATCTGTTAACATTTCTGAAGAAGTAAATAATGAAAAAAATGGTATTTTGCAAGAAAAAGCTACTAGTAAGGACAGGGACTCTAAAACACTAAGTCTTCCTGCTATTGACTGTAAAGCATCCAAACAAGCGAGTGTTAAGCAAAAAAAGCTTAATGTTAAAGAAGTCCCAAAAGTTCATTTAACTCCCAACATTGACAATCAGCCTCTACCCCAAGAAAAACTGATTTCCATTTCAAAATCCAATATCAAATCAACTTTTGCCATTGTTGGTCAAAAACCTACCAAAGGCAAAAGACACGCCCCTCCTATACCTGCCAAACCAGGTGCCAACACTGGTTCCCTTGATGCACATGGTGAAGGGAGTCACAAATTTGAATCCAAAGTTCACGATGAAAGTGCCGTCTTTGTGTGACCTGCACATTATATTGGTAATTCAGAAAACTTTTAAGGAAATGGTTGTTTTTATTTGGACTTGGGCTTCTTTGATATTTTATGGTTTTGAAGTTTTAAATCTAGTTTTTTATGGCACTGTATTGAAAAGGGTACTCTTATAAGAAAAGAATTTAGGGGATGGTACTTTTTTATTAAAAGGGTTAGAAAGGTTATTAATTTTTTTTATACAATTTAGTAACGTTTTTTTTTAACATTAAAAATGTACAAAATAAAACTGATTTAAAAAAACAACAAAAAAAACCCCAAAAAACAACAACAACATACAAGTCACAGTTATTAAGATAGTGGGATATATTCATTAATTAAGCTATCTAGATAATCTACCAATTAGTGTTTCCTATCAATATGTAGTTTATCATTTACCTGAATGATAATAGGAAAAAGAAGAAAAGCCAAAGCGGGCAGCATTGCGCCCATTTCTTTACGATCATGGAGATACCAATGTAAGGTTGTCTTTGAGTTGTGTTTAAGTGAAATTATATAATCCATTGTCTTTCAGTCTGTGGCTTCATTTAACATTTTCATTCTTGTATCGTGATCTTATAGGAAGGCTGAATTTAGTTCTGCTTTGTTTCATATCATCTTTGTAATGGCAACAAGTAAAGATAGATAAATGTCTGGGTCATATGTTTCTGTGATAAGAGAGTATTTATAATATACTATATTTTTGAAGACCTTGCTTCACTGATACCCATCAGATCTTGCAGCAACCTCTGACGACGGATATTATCTGATAATTATTCATTAGTTCACTGTTGTATGAGAAAACAATTGGATATTAAATTTAAGTGCAACTCCAAATGTCCTTTACTATTGCAGTGTTGATACATGTATAATTAATTTCATTAATCTTGGTCCCCAAACTTTTAAGCCTAATGCAGTAGAGATAATTTTGATAAAAAGTATGCTGAAAATTTGACAGGAAGATTTTTTAGATGGTATTGAAGCAAAGCAGAACTAAGAACCTGATCCCGTCTTTAAATTACACAAATATTTGAAAGCCTTATATTTCAAATATAAGCCTTAATCTCTATTCATTTTCCATTGCATTATTCATATTTAAAATTTCAATGTAAGACTTATGTTTTGGTGATCATAATTTTAGTTATCAGAAAAAAAAGTCTTAATAAAATAATAAAATTAATGAATTGTTTAAAGAAATAAATATTCAAAATGAATATACATGTATATGTATATAACATAATGAAAGGGATCATAGAAACAGCCTTAGAGTCTATCAGGAATATATAATGATATTTTATTATAGGACAGTGGACATGGTGTATTAAATTTTACTCAAGAAAGTTGATTGTAGTATAGTAAAAACATAACTACATTTATCATGTTACCCATATATCAATTCAACTGATGTAAGATGTCTCAAAAACTGTATTATGTATTCCCATATAGTAATTGATGTGAAATATTATATACAAATTGTGTAATCTATTATACGTCAAGATGTAATAATGTTGTTATGATGTTTTTTTTTTGCTTAGCATATCTCTTACTTCATAATGAACCAGAAATTTATTTTATTCTTGAAGGGGAGATGATTAATGCATAATTTTGTTCAGAAAGGATTTTTTTCTTAAATTGACTTACTCGGGCTCTTATATCCTTTATAAAATGTTTATACAGGCTTGAATTGGTTAACAAAATGAAGTCTTGATCAAGTTATAAGTTAAAGTGTTCATACACAGAAGAAGTTATGTATTTACAAACCATTTCAACTTCTTGCAGGGTCAAAGTGCTATTAAAGTAGTACTAAAACATGTAAAAAAGAATCAAAAATAGAAGGTTAGATATCTGTTCAAAATTGTATCAATAAAATGTTGGATTGAAAGTTTAATGTGTTCTTTAACAGAATTTTATTTCACAGATTTGATGTGACTTAACTTTTACATATATTTTTTGTGCACTGACTTTTACTTGATTTTTATTTGTTGAGTTTATTTTTCTTCAAATATTTAATATTTTTTATAACAATGTTTACATGTTACAAGTTATTATCAAAGAGTATTATGTAGTTGTTACTGTTGATCAGCTATTTGACTTTATTTACATATTACATTATATTTCTTTTCATCCTATGGCAATTTTCAAAGATATTCAAGTTATTATAATATATTTAAAACAAATTACTAGTAATGTTTTGATAATTGTCAAGGACAGTAATACTGTTTATATTAAGGTATTAAATTCATGAAATTGAGAGGAAAACTTAGGAGGAATCCTGTCTGTTAATGGAAGGTAAATTGATGAAAGTTAAAAAAAATCTCTGTTTGTCTACAATAATTTAAAGATGTTAGATCTCTTGATGTGCATAGAATGTCAACTATCATTAGAATTAAAACTGCATATTTAGCAAAATAATTTAATTTCAAGGAATAACCCTTCCAGTCATCCAAGAATAATAGCAATTTTACTATGCATTACATATTGTTTATGTAGTTAACAGATTTAGGATATTTACAGCTTTAAGTATAATTAAGTCATTAAGATATGTTTTCTTTTGGAAATACAAACATTGGGAGATTATATTTTAACTTTTCTTCGATTATTTAAGTATGTGTGTACTTATTCATGTAAAGAGTATTACTGTTATGGTATTTCTTTATTTTTAACAGACCTCAGATGTGTAAAACTGGTAAATAAGATATTATTCCCAGAATTAAGCATGATTGTGAATGTTTGTGTTTTTATAAATTCTGTTTTTGTTAAATCCCAGAATGTTTATATCCCATGTTTTGTTGTTGTTACTTCTATGTTTAATTTATTTGATCAGTTCACAGTGTATATTTTGTTTTGGTGGCACTATTAATTCAATGAGATGTCATCTGTTGTTTAATGATAAGCATGCAAGATATACCTGCATCCTATATGATTTTACAGTAACTGTCTTAAACTTATATGACAGTTTGGTTTAAACATATATATTTAAGCACAATTGCGAAACAAGTTCTTGCAACTTACATTAATCACTTTTGAGTCCACTTCCTGGAACCAACCAGTACTGGTTTCATATGAAGAAACATGGTCGTGACCCGAGTAGGGCTCAAACCCATGATCTCTGGGTTGAGAGGCAGACACCTTAACCACTAGGCCACCACTCCCCTTAATATATGAAAATTAATTGTATATGTTATGGATATTTGTACTTATAGTCATATGTCTAACTCTACAAATGGATTAAAAAAATAACAAATCTTTGATAAGACCGAAGCAGCATTAGATAATAAATCAAGTTAAGGTCTGCTAAGGTGATATGAGTAGAGACATGGTGATTAAGACAAGAATGGACTTTGTATTGTAGGTACCACCACCCCTTCACGTGCCTTTGAAACCTTTCAAATTCTGATGTTAAGATGCTAGTCCAGGTATTCTACGGTTCTCTAAACTATATTATATCTCTTCCAACCTTTATATGAAACATAGCAACTTTGCATTAAACCTTGCATATAACATAGCATAAAACTAGCATAAACCTAGCAGTTTGCAGATTCCTTTAAACTAGATGATACCATATATCACCTGTAATTTGCTGAATTTGTATAATGGACTTGTCCAGCATTGAATTTGGAACAGTCCATTCAAAATGTAAGGGATGTCATTATAAAAATACCAAAAATTGAGCTACCAATAGTATAGAGCCTGGTCAGGTTATACAGATGTACAGACTGACCTGTTTCTATGTGTTAAGCAAAGGCTAATCATGGCCTGTTAAAGCAGGTTACAGGTTAATTTCATAACTATGTTCTCAGGTGATAAAATAAATTAAGCATCAGCGGAACATAACAACCAGTATTAACAGTAAAACTAATGAAAAATTGTGCTTTTTTGATAAATTCAAAATTAGTAAATCTAGACTATATTTAACCAGCTATGAATTACTTTAGCAACTACAGGTATTTTGAGTCCTTTATTAAAAACAATCTGATACAATTTTGTTTGCTATAAAATAATTTTATTTATTTATTTTAAAATTCATTTAACCACATATTAGAGTAAACTAATAATAGATGCCTGTTAAATTTAGTTTATTACTTTTTATTTTATTTATTACTTTGATTTATTTTGATATGTATAGCATGCATGATAGTTTTTCATTTCCCTTTATTATTAGTTATTAGTATTTGCATGATTATATTAGTAATACTTATTGTAATTTATATATACTTCATAAAAATTACAAAAAGTTCAAAACAGTCAATTAGTATATGAACAATGTAATTAGTAGTCTTAAAAATGATACAGGTAAGTTAAATGTCTGTTCAAATGACATCATTCTATTGCCCATGCATGTGTTTCTTACATTTTTTTTTTAACAACCTCTTTATAGATTTTGATAAAACTTCATTGAAGTTATTTGTTATAGACATAGTTGTGTCTATTCTGGCCAACGCATTCACTTTATGTGGAGTTGTGGCCCTTTATATATATAGAGGCAGTACTTTGGAGTGTATTAAGGATAATTGCACTGTGCCTTCGATATGTCCGTGCCAGGAAAAACTCAAAACAAAGATATTTAATAGAGATATTTTAAATAAGACATCTGTTAAAATGATAAAGCTTAAAGGAACTATGGAAAGCTGTTACTTATAAAACATAAGTATGCTTCTTAAATAAATATCTTATGTGAATTTTGTTTTATATTTATGTTATTTTATATACATTTATATATATTTCAGGACATATTTGACAGTGGAATCTATAACAGCCACTGCTGACGAGTGAAGCTGACATCATGTGACACTTCTCCACTGTTATAATATGAACTAACATTTGACCAATGAACTCTTGATGAATTAAACGATCATTCCAGCTTTTATCTTTTAAATATTGTCATGTGAGATTTTATATATTACACATGTAAAGCTACAATAAATTTTGCATATTATATATATTTTTTTTTAATGAAAATAGAAGCAAAAAATGAAGCTGTGTCTTCAAATTTGATGTAAGCATTTTGGCAATTTCAGATTTTTAAACTAGACCATTTGAATACTGGATTTTTTATAACGAAAATAGAAGCAAAAAATGAAGCTGTGTCTTCAAATTTGATGTAAGCATTTTGGCAATTTTAAATTTTTCAAACAAGACAATTTAGATATTAAAAAATTTGTGTGAACATCGAATTTTGCATGATTTATTGTAGCAAATTAGAAATGTCATATGTTTTGTGTTACACTAGTCATAATAGACCATGATAATGTGATATGTAACTCTGTTTAAAATAATCCGTCCTTATCAAACCAGGAACTTTATGAAATATCCGTCCTAAAGTTACTAAACTATATGTTCTTTTTATATTTTCTTTTGTTTTTATTAATCCGTCCTAATTAAACAATTAACATTATGATATACCATTTCCATCCAAAATTTAATGCTGATTTTTGAAATGTTAACTCTGTTATAAACTGTTTATCAAAATCCATTATTTAAAACAAGGAAAATTTTATGTAATGATATCCGTCCTTAATTTACTGCTGATCTTTATTATGCAATGTTTTTTGTTAAGAATTTGTTTTATATATGTTTTTAATTTGTTTTATGTTTCTTACTTCATTTTATTTCTTCAACATGACATGGATTTCAGAACAACAAAAATCATGGTACAAAATGAAAAATATTACTATATTATAATATTATGAAAATATATGCATGTATGGTATTTTAGATTTAAAGATTTTTAATACAGGTATTACTTATTTTATCTCAAAGGTGTATATTTTATTCTTTCTTGTTTTGTTGTAAATTTTGTGTTCTTTGCAATAAATATACTTTGTGAACATATCAGGTGGTTCTTTCAACGATAAAAATAATTATTTCAAATTGAGACAAAGTTTATAATCAAAGAGTTTTCTTTATTTACATTTTTGACAAATAAAAGGAATCAGAAAAAATATTGAAAAAGATGTTTGGCCTTTTACGCAGAAATGTTTAAAACGTTAAATGTTAAAATTAGACAGAATTACTTATTGCTTGACACATATTAAACTTTCACTCTTGTAGTACTGCTGTCCAAAGATAGAGACAGAAAAGAAAAAAAATTAAAGCTAATTTTCATATTTATTTAGAAATTAAAAAAAAAATCTGTTTAAAATGAATTTTGAAAATATTGATGTTTAAAGGCTTCAAAAAATGAATAAATTAATAGTTGTATTATTTTGGATAAAAAGATAGGAAAAACAAATGAACTTTAGAAAAATGAAGATATTTTTAAAATTTAATTAATTAAAAACAGGACATGGTATCACTATATATATCTGTGTATTGTCGCTTTACTCTTTCACTAGAACAATTCTATGTCTCTTAGACTAGAAGCTCTTATAAGTAGTAATTAACAAACAAAAACATAAAACCCAACCACTTATCACTTGTGCAAGTATTATCTTAAGAAAGGTTGTATACCAAAAACTATGAGTAAAGTTAAATTATTGCACCAAGTTTCATATTAACAGTAATACAATGTACCCAACGGTATTACAATTACGACGTTATGATTGACAGGATATCCATTTCTTCTAATTCTTCTGCTTTCTCTAGTATAACTTTAAAACATAAAGTTCTCTCTGTATGACTGAAGAGAATAAAGGGTTTTTTTAGTAAAGAAAAAACTTATAAATATTATTAAGAAGTTTTATTCTAATAAAATACAGAGAACCAACAACAGTATAATATAATATAATTCAAAGATTTTTCATGCAACTTTTTGAGATATTTATACATGTATATACACAAATTAAGCTTTACCTTTTTTCAAACACTGATGAAGATAAAAATTTACAAATAAATTTTTTTACTGCTATTTTATAATTGGATATCCCCTTAGTCACAATGTCTTGACCAACAAGTTCCACACAAATACAAATATATTAAAATAATAGCATTCATTTTTAGACTAGAGTGTTTTTCGGCCATTTTGAAACAGTTTTTTTGATAATTTGAAACAGTTCCATCATGAATGCTTAAAAATGAATTCATGTAAGATATAAGTCAAACATAATTGTATCTCAGCTATTCAAGTCCGTCCTTGATATCTGTTCCGTCCACGATTGAGATACTAACATTTTATGGTAAAGATTGTATGTATTGTATTATCTTGAGATGTACAATTTATTTACATATGTTTATGAAATTTATATATATAATACATTGATTTGAGAAAGATGTATATATTTGTTATTATATAAATGAATTTTAGTTTTTATTATCATAGATGCATGATACAGTTTATACATTATTAAAAAAGAAATTTATATGTAATTAACTTCAATATTTAATGATTGTTAAGAAATACTTTGTTCATCTGAGTGTTTACTCTTAGTTGTTAAGTCTTTTTATTAAATGATATTTTCTTATCAAGATCTTTTGTACATTTTTGCCACTACCAGCTGAAATGAGCAATATATATGGATGGTTCCCAGCATGTAATTTTTACCCTAAAATGGTGGTATTTTGTGCATTTGAAGTCATCAGTTATGTTGATTATCCACTAACATTATACATAACTGTCTCAAAATTTAATCAAAATATAAAAAAAATCAAATTATAACTTTGATAAAAAGATTTGTGAAAATAATTTCCCTTTATGCAACAAAACAGAAACAATAACAATTATTTCAGAAATAGTTTCAGAATTAAAAAAACATCACTATGCTTAAGCAAGGAAGCAAATTTTGCCTTGGAACCATCAAATTAAGCCTTTGTAAACCCTAGCGGTTACAAATTGAAAAAAAAATATATGGATATTAAAGTGCTGGTTTTTATTTCAACATTATTTATACTGTTGCCCCCTTTACAAATTGGTAATATATTTTATGAAATTACTGAGTTACGAAATATTTGATATTTAAAAGTTAGTTACTTATGTAATGTTATTGGATAAATTGTGATAGGTGGATGAAGAATTTCTTGTGATCTATGAAATTATTTTAGATACTATTAAAGTTCTTTAGAAGTTTCAGACTTTGTTGTTGTTTTATTTCTAACTTGTTCAAGCCTATACAGTGTAATTTCATTTTACTTGTACATATTTGTCCCTTAATGACAACGTTATTTATGAACCCATCCGTTCCACCTTCTTAAAACACTTCAAATATACAAGACAAGTTTAAATATTTTACCAAAAGGACTGATTTAAAGTTTTATCACAGTTTTAAACTTCAAATGGCAATTTCATATCCTCACACTTATAAATTCTGGAATAATAATTTCTTAATATAATTAGTCTTTTCTTAGGTTTTTTAATGGCCTGTCAATTGTGCATTTATTATAGCACTTGTTTCAATATTCAAACCAACATTTGATCAAGTCTGTCAACTTAATGAGTATTGATCTGGAAGGATCTTTTTACTAGTTCATTCGATTTTTTTCATAAATATTTCGAAATATAAAGAAAAAGCAGTTTATGTGAAAGTCACAAAATTTGCAACAACAACAGTTTGATACAAATATTACCATCATACTAAACATTGCAAAATGTTCATTATACAATCTACAACATTCATGATGAGTTTGTTTAAATAGGCAAAACAAGATGTATATCTCTAAAAATCAAAAATACAATTATTTCAATGTTGCAATGGCTAAAATATGTTAAGAAATACATGTAAGGAAAAAAAAGCAATCCGGGAAACTCTGGACCAGTTTAATGCAAACTCACAATATAATCGTGTATATCAATGCAACAAATACTATTCGAGATTTCTGTCTGAACATAATTATGGTCACTGCTGAAAACCTGAAAATTTAAGCAAGCATAATAAATACACAATTCACAGGTTAATATAACTGGACGTTATTCTCATTTTCTGAAAGGAATTTCATTCTATGGTAGATTACCCCAGGCTCTTTAGCATATGAACATACAGTAAGCTGAATAATGAAGAAATGTTTCTGAGCTAACATTATTTCCACTTCCACTCCAAAATTTATCCCACAGATATGTTTATCTCTTTGTCATCTTTCACTTGGTCCATGTACATGTAAGTAATACATTCTAAGTAATCGGGAACTGAAAGATAATGTTTACTTTAACCTGTTGCAATTGAAAGTGATCAGCCCTTGCCACCAGTATAGAGACAGGCCAGTCTGCATGTACATACAGTCTGACCAGGCTCTATGCTGTTGGCTGACTAATAAATGATAAAACATTCATCTTTTAATATTAGACAGATCACTAAAAGTCCAGAAATTCAACAGATTAAGGCTTGAGTCATGAAAAACAAAAATTGCCCTCTAAAATGTATGGTGACTGAAAAAAGTAGATGATAAATTCAGTATGTCCCTTCTTCTAATGTATCTGCTAAATCATTCCTATCAACTTCTCTCAGAGCATTTATTAGTCTTTGTTTTGTAGCATCCTGTTTTTGTATGCCCTTCCATGTGATCAAACACTGGTGGATCTGTTCCTTTGTATATTTATAATCTGACTGGACCACCTCTATCTCACTTTCTGGCACGCCAAGTTCCCTCATTAGAAATGACCAGTGTTTCCCAAGGGAATTTGTTAGAAATGAGAACTCTGTTGTAAGATCTGCAAAATATATTTCAGTAAAGTCAGAATATTTTTATTGTTTTTTCATATAGAAAAAAATGATTACTCAAAATATTTAACTTCAACTAAAAATAATATTGATTTAGCATTACCCTATATTCCAAAAAAAATGTGTCACATCACATACCCTAATAATTATGGCACTGGCAGTTTGACTAACAGTTAACCACAGGTGCTCGTCCAGTCTTGGTGCCCATATAAAAAATTATTGAAGCTAAAAAAAAAAAACAACATCAAAACATAAAAAAAAAAATAAAAAAATCAAAACAACTATTTTGGGTCGAGTGTAAGAAAAAAATTATTTTTTTTCAATTTTTTTTTTCTTACACTCAACCCAAAATAGTTGTTTTGATGTTCTTATACCCCCCCACAACAAAGTTGTAAGGGGGGTATACTGGAATCAGCTTGTCCGTCCGTCCGTCCGGCTGTCCGGCCGTCCGTCGGTTTTTTCTTGTCCACCCAATAACTTAAGATTCCTTTGACCCTTAGTCTTCATATTTGGCATGGAGGTTAGTCATGATTAGTAGATGACCCCTATTGATTTTGAGGTCACTAGGTCAAAGGTCAAGGTCACAGGGGCCTTGACTTCAAAAAGCTTGTCCGCCCAATAACTTAAGATTCCTTTGACCTACAGTCGTCATATTTGGCATGGAGGTTAGTCATGATTAGTAGATGACCCCTATTGATTTTGAGGTCACCAGGTCAAAGGTCAAGATCACAGAGGCCTTGACTTCAAAAAGCTTGTCCGCCCAATAACTTAAGATTCCTTTGACCCACAGTCTTCATATTTGGAATGGAGGTTAGTCATGATTAGTAGATGACCCCTATTGATTTTGAGGTCACCAGGTCAAAGGTCAAGGTCACAGGGACTTTGTCTTCAAAAAGCTTGTCCGCCCAATAACTTTAGATTCCTTTGACCCACAGTCTTCATATTTGGCATGGATCTAAGTTAAGTAGCAAAAAAATATTTTGAGAAATTAAATAATTTTTGAGTTACCTGGACCACTAGCTTCTACATTCTGTTGTGGGTACTGTCTTGGCAGAGCTGTAATTATAAAATATCTTGACGTAAGCTAATTTAAAATTTATACTATGGTAAAATATATATTGTCATCTAAGTTTACATGTATATAACTATTAAATACTTTTAACTAACAAATACAAAATTGATATAAAATAAACTTATCAAATTATTGTCTTAATTTTCAGTAAACTTGAATATTGAACGTAAAAATGAAACAATGTTGAAACCTGTATGACTGTCTTGCTGAATGTAAATTATCTGTGGATTTCCAGCAAAATGCACAGGTGCTGTACTTTGTTGTTGGTTTAAAGTAGTTGGTATAACACCGATTAATCGTTCATATTTTTCTAAAATAGTCAAAGCCTCAACATGTCCTTTCATACATGATTTTAATAGGTCTTTCAGAAATTTTGTGTCTGAAATTCCAAGATATTCTCTTTTTTCTAATGCTGTCCACAACTGAATGGCTGACTTTATTTGGTCTCTCTCCCGTCCTTTGATGAAACTATCACATTTAAATTTCATTGTTTCAAGTACAGAACTATCCTGATCAACTATATCTGCGATAGAAATAAGCATATCTTTGTATGCTCCATATTGTTGCTCCTCCATTTTTGACAAGTTGGTTTTTTCGTTGGGGTTTCCTACTTTCACTTTCGTTTTTATATTGATAATGGAAAAGGCCCGAAGATATCCGGTTTTACAATCGTCCAGCTACTGAGAGGAATTTATTTAGCAAACACGTAAGTTATTTTACATTAACAATAAAGATGTTTACTGAAGAGCTTGTATTGTATTACGATAATTGCAAGGTACTTATTTGAATTAACGAACTTCTTGTTCGTGTCAAACATTCATGACAGGCTGGTAATATAGGATATATTTCATCTGTGTCTAATAAACGCTTATGGCGCGTAAAAGGATATTTGTTTTTAATATGTGAAATAATTATCTGTTGAATCTTATCTTTAATTTATTGACTTGTCCATCTTTCAATCTGGACAAAACCATTCATTTTTAAGGACAATTAAAAATAAGTATTGACTGAGTAGCAACTGTGCAGACTATGTTGATCAAACAGCACAGATGTGCTTCTGATCTTGGTCTGCATTGTTGCATGGGTAGATTCATTACCTACCTGCATGCTTAGGGCTAACATCCGGATTTCTTTAGGGAACCCGGGATGGACAAAACTACTGCAGTTACAGATGAAGAAATTATTGAAGCAATTAATGAATGGCCAGTCACTGACAATTATGAAGACATGTACACATCTCCAACAAGCAGGGTTCATAATCCAGCGTCTGTGTCCAGCTTTTTCTTAAGAAATGTAGGAAAAGTGAAAAAGGTATGTATTAATTTTTATTATCAATTGGTCACAAGTCGACATTGCAGCACTTTGTTGAAGGTGTATGACAGGGGAAACTTTATGTACTGTCACGGGCACCAGCTGGCATCTACCACACACTATCAAATCTTAAGTTATTAATTTGCTGATTTTTTTTCCCATATGGAAACATTCAATGTTTATGTTTAGTCAATGTAATTATATTAAGTGTCAATATATTACTATTTTATATATGAGAAATATAACAATGCAAGATTACAAATTAGAAAAGTCCCCAAATACAGCTAAAGGTGCCCAGAAAATTTTGATTATATTATTGTACAACTTGATTAGGGAGATCAATTGAAAAGCCTAGTGGAAGACAGGAACATATACTTACTGAAGTTCTCCAAGATGAAATGGCTAGAACTGAAGATTCTTTCATCAAGGGCTTATGTCGTCAGTTGTTGTGTTAGTAATAACCAGTACTTGGTTGGGGATATAAATTCAATGAATTTGCTTGTTTAGCCTAAAATTCATGGTGCATATCCATATCGGTACCCTCTTTGCGAAATCTGCTGAAACGGTACCCTCTCTGAACATGCACAGGTCATTCTCTCCTAAAAACAAACCAGCGATGGATACCAATCCAGTAAAATTTCATTGTAATAAGGAAAGGAGGTATGTCACGTAGAAAAGATGTATACCACGGAACACTAGGATGTTCATTTCAGCCCAAAAAATATGTCGAGGTGATGGGCGAAGCAAGACATGTCGATTTTTTGTAGCTTATTGTGAAGTTGCAGTACATGAAAATCGGGCACATGACAAATCAGCACATAAATAAAATATCCTAGTGTTCCGTGGTATACATCTTTTCTACGTGACATACCTCCTTTCCTTATTACAATGAAATTTTACTGAATTGGTATCCATCGCTGGTTTGTTTTTAGCAGAGAATGACCTATGCATGTTCAGAGAGGGTACCGTTTCAGCAGATTTCGCAAAGAGGGTACCGATATGGATATGCACCGTGAAATTGTTGTAGGTCACAGAGAAACCTGTTTATGATGGGGCAGAAGAAGATATGGCTGATGTTGCAATGGCTAAATGGTGGAGAAAAACTGGCAAGAACTTGATAGATCCAGATACAGTTCCAAACAGTGATAATCCAAATACTATCATTAACTTTACATTAGGGTAAGAAGAAGTTTATGTGATGCAGTAAGGAAACATAATGACTTTTTATGTGGCATAATTTATCATTTTAGATACATGTATTGATTTGTTGATGAATTGAATTATGTCTTTTTAAGTGATCTGTAAGGGGGTAATGGTTATTGGTTAAGTTACTGACACTATTACAACTGTATGACAAGTCTGGAGCTTTTATGATGGCAAACATAAAACTCTTCAGTCTTGACTCCCCTCAGTACGTTATATAGATAAAACCACAGGTCTTCTGTAAGATGACACTATATTTATCTTTTTGAAACAATGACTCTGGAAATGCAAAGTGACAAATGTGAGGTGCAATGTTTTCTATGGCAGAGTTTCAATGACTTTAACCCCTCTGCCATGGAAGCTAACATATTTAAAAGTATTGATAACGGCCTGGCAACACAAATTTAAATTATATGAATTTAAAGTCATTCTTTATTTTGTGTTTCTAGAACAAGTGAAGGATTACAGTTTATAAGGAGTGAGATATCTCGATTAAGAGACAAGATATCTGATGGGTGTAAGAGTGGGAATGTTTCCTCGGCCTTGTCTTCATACTATGAGAAAATAGGAAATCTCAGTCTTGCTATAATGCATTTAGAATCTGCTAGAGACAAAAAACCACAAGGTATTACACTTTCCTTCTTTAAATATGCAATCTGTACTTGTGATGATGGTATAGAATTATAATGTATTTATAATGGGTTATATTGAGAGCTCATTCATCATTATTTTATGTTTTAAACTTACACTGTACATAAGGAATCTGTATTCAAGAATAGTCAGAATATTATAAAAAATAATTATCTCACATCAGCTATGACAATAAATGTATATTAAAGTCAATCAGAGTTTTTTTTAATGATTTACTGCATATAACATTTAATTAGCACATCTCAGTTATATAATCTCAAAGGACAATTAGATCAAAAACCAACACAAATTTAAATCTCAAAGAGCATACATGTGTACATAATTAAACTGTTTTGACATTGTGTCTCAATTTGAAATAATGGTTTAAATTCTTGCATTGATATATCTGTATTTAATTTCACTTTAATTAATATTGAAGACAAAGAGATAGAGTGGCGTTTAAAGCGTATAAAGAGAGCGAAACATTACAGACAACAGCAGGAGGAAGCTCTGTGTAGATTTGACTACAGTTCCTCTTCAGCACTATCATTACCAGCAACTAAACAGGTTTGTTCTTTAACTATTAAATAAAATTAATCAACCTTTTGATTGCTATTTATTCTAGCATAAAAATATTGTTACAAAGCACTTCAGAGGAATGGAAATTTATGAATAGAAATATTCTTGATTTGTTAGCAGGTTTTGTTTATTTTATATGTCTCATATTTAAATCTTAACTTTTCATTACTGATAGAGAAGAAGATATAAACAATGCAGCGGCTTTTCATTTTCCCAAAAAGTGTGTGTGTTTTTTCTTTTTTCTTTTTTCATTTTTAGCTCACCTGTCACAAAGTGACAGGGTGAGCTTTTGTGATCGCTTTTCGTCCGGCGTCCGGCCGGCGTCCGTCCGTAAACTTTTACTTTAAATGACATCTCCTCATAAACCACTAAGCCAATTTCATCCAAACTTCACAGGAATGTTCCTTTGGTGGTCACCTTTAAAAATTGTTCAAAGAATTTAATTCCATGCAGAACTCTGGTTGCCATGGTAATCGAAAGAAAAAACTTTAAATATCTTCTTTTAAAAAACCATAAGAGCTAGAGCTTAGATATTTGGCATGAAACATCTTCTAGTGAGTGTCTACCAAGTTTGTTCAAATAAAAGCCCTGGGATCAAAATTGGCCCCGCCCCGGGGGGTCATTGATTTTCCCTATATGCATATAGTAAAAACTTAAAAAATCTTCTTTTAAAGAACCCAAAGAGCTAGAGCTTAGATATTTGGCATGAAACATCTTCTAGTGAGTGTCTACCAAGTTTGTTCAAATAAAAGACCTGGGGTCAAAATTGGCCCCGCCCCGGGGGGTCAGTGATTTTCCCTATATGCATATAGTAAAAACTTAAAAAATCTTCTTTTAAAGAACCCAAAGAGCTAGAGCTAAGATATTTAGCATGAAACATGTTCTAATGGGTGTCTACCAAGTTTGTTCAAATAAAAGCCCTGGGGTCAAAATTGGCCCCGCCCCGGGGGGTCATTGATTTTCCCTATATGCATATAGTAAAAACTTAAAAAATCTTCTTTTAAAGAACTCAAAGAGCTAGAGCTTAGATATTTGGCATGAAACATCTTCTAGTGAGTGTCAACAAAGTTTGTTCAAATAAAAGCCCTGGGGTCAAAATTGGCCCCGCCCCGGGGGGTCATTGATTTTCCCTATATGCATATAGTAAAAACTTAAAAAATCTTCTTTTAAAGAACTCAAAGAGCTAGAGCTTAGATATTTGGCATGAAACATCTTCTAGTGAGTGTCTACCAAGTTTGTTCAAATAAAAGCCCTGGGGTCAAAATTGGCCCCGCCCCGGGCGTCATTGATTTTCCCTATATGCATATAGTAAAAACTTAAAAAATCTTCTTTTAAAGAACCCAAAGAGCTAGAGCTAAGATATTTAGCATGAAACATGTTCTAATGGGTGTCTACCAAGTTTGTTCAAATAAAAGCCTTGGGGTCAAAATTGGCCCCGCCCCGGGGGGTCATTGATTTTCCCTATATGCATATAGTAAAAACCTAAAAAAATCCTCTTTTAAAGAACTCAAAGAGCTATGGCTAAGATATTGAGCATCAAACATGTTCTAATAGGTGTCTACCAAGTTTGTTCAAATAAAAGCCCTGGGGTCAAAATTGGCACTGCCCCGGGGGTCATTGATTTTCCTTATATGTGTATAGTAAAAACTTAAAAAATCTTCTTTTAAAGAACTCAAAGAGCTAGAGCTTAGATATTTGGCATGAAACATCTTCTAGTGAGTGTCTACCAAGTTTGTTCAAATAAAAGCCCTGGGGTCAAAATTGGCCCCGCCCCGGGCGTCATTGATTTTCCCTATATGCATTTAGTAAAAACTTAAAAAATCTTCTTTTAAAGAACCCAAAGAGCTACAGCTAAGATATTTAGCATGAAACATGTTCTAATGGGTGTCTACCAAGTTTGTTCAAATAAAAGCCCTGGGGTCAAAATTGGCCCCGCCCCGGGGGATCATTGATTTTCCTTATATGCATATAGTAAAAACCTAAAAAAATCTTCTTTTAAAGAACTCAAAGAGCTATGGCTAAGATATTGAGCATCAAACATGTTCTAATAGGTGTCTACCAAGTTTGTTCAAATAAAAGCCCTGGGGTCAAAATTGGCACTGCCCCGGGGGTCATTGATTTTCCTTATATGTGTATAGCAAAAACTTAAAAAATCTTCTTTGAAAATACCCAAATAGCTAGAGTTAAGATATTAAGCATGAAACATCTTTTAGTGAGTGTCTACAAAGTTTGTTCAAATAAAAGACCTGGGGTCAAAATTGGCCCCGCCCCGGGGGTCATTGATTTTCTTTATATGTGTTTAGCAAAAACTTTAAATCTTCTTTGAAAAAACCCAAATAGCTAGAGTTTAGATATTTAATAAGCATGAAACATCTTCTAGTAAGTGTCTACAAAGTTTGTTCAAATAAAAGCCCTGGGGTCAAAACTGGCCCGGCCCCAGGGGTGTCATTGTTTTTAACTATGTGTATAGTAAAAACTTTAAAAAAATGTTCTTTTAAAAAGCCCAATGAGCTAGAGCTTAGATGTTTAGCATGAAACATCTTCTTATGGGTGTCTACCAAGTTTGTGCAAATAAAAGCCCTTGGGTTAAATTGGCCCTGCAACATTGGGGGGGTGTGGGGGTTGGGGGGGTCCTATATACAGGTGAGCGACCTCAGGGCCATCATGGTCCTCTTGTTGATAAAAGATTGCGTTTCATTTTTATTTTCTTATGCTATTGCAGTACAAGTAAATTTATCAAGTTAACTTTGATTTTAATTATGTACACACTCTTTATGTATTTTTATATCATTTTTTAAGGTGGAAAGGGTGTCTGCAGATAATTTGTCATATAAGGATTTTTTCTACAAATATGCTTTAACAAGTACCCCAGTTGTGATAACAGGTCTAGTGAATGATATGACAACTGTACCCTGGACACTAGAACATATAGCAGATATTGCTGGTATATTTAGAACTTTTTTCTTTTAATCCAGTAAACAGTGAGCATAGAAAGAAAGAAATGTCATATATTTAGTTCTTGACCTGCTGGAACTGAAAATGACATAAACTTTTGCCATCTGTACAGAGCCAGACCAGCCCTGTACATACAGGCAGTTTGAAAAGGCCCTAAACTTTTGACTGACAACTTTAAATTTTTATGTTAATGTCTCCAACATTAATAATGGACTGTCCCAAAACTTGAATCAGGAATAGTCCATTTAAGAAATTTCGCAAGTTTATGGTTAAGACAGGAGTTTGACCAATATAATTTGAAAGTTGATTGTTGAAGTCATAAAGTTTGCTAGAAAGGATATTTTTATAAGAAATGATATTTACTTTTGATACTTAATCATATATTTACTCGGTATCTTATTCCAGAGGTTTGTAAGATCATTTTTCTGCTACTACTGTTTCAAAAAGGAATTTTAAAGAGAAGTTAGCAGTTACTGTTTTAAAAATTGGTTGGTGTGGAAATAGGAAGTATATGAAAATTCAATGGATACCGTAACTGCCTACTGATGAATGACTAAAATACTGTTTAAACTGTAACAAAAACCCAACAAAAAAAAACAACTTTTTATTTTCACTCATTAACATTTTTTGTAACCTAGGTGACTGTTCAGTTACTCTAAAGAAATTTGTGAAGGACTCTGTGCAATGGGCTCGTCTAGAAGATGCAACAACAATGAAAGTAAAGGAATTTATATCTAGTCTCCAAGACAACCACAATAATCTTTACTTGTTTGATTGGAATATACCTTTACATTGTCAACAGTTAGCAGCAGAATTAAAAATACCCAAATATTTTGCAGGTAAGTACAGGTGAGAATTTTATTTTAATGAAGACTTCCAAATGACTTTTAACTTTTTTATAATATTTTAATCATACATTTATTATATTAATACCTAATGTCATTCTTACCATGGAAATGATGGTTTGATTTTAATTTTTTGGAACTTTTACATGAAATATATGTAGATAGATCACATGTCATAAACTTACTTCTTTCCTTTCCAACAAGTGTCAAAGTGAAAATGTCTTTACAGTCTTTATTCATGCTGCTTACTTGTATATAGGAAGATGTGTAATGTTAACCTTGCCTATATTTATAGGGGATTTTCTGCAGCGTACTACTCAGGGTTCTCTGTATAAAGACAGTTGGCCAAGTCTATTTATAGCACCACAGGGATTGGTTAGTGAACTTCATATGGATGCATTTGGTTCTAACTTTTGGATGGCTCTATTTACAGGGAGTAAAAGGTAAAAATCTTAAAAGAACCTCTCTGATTTTTTTTTTGTTTTAAATACTTTCAAATTGTTTTCCTAAAACTGGACTGCAGTCTGAAGTGTATAAAAGTCTGTAATAAAAATTATGGATATCTAATGTTGAATGACTATATGATAATAAAAACCTGTTTTGTTTTACAAATTTCTACTAAAATTGTCTCAAGTACAGTTCTGATGAAATATAATTTTTTTTAATTCTTCATAAATCAATTACTGGAAAACTATGCAATAGATAATATATAAATATACTTGGCATAAAATTGATTCTAACTGAAACAATTTTTTAAGCGATTTTGTTTGGTAAAAATGTGTGAAAAGCGTTACAGCCCTTTTCAATATGATTTTAATTTCGAGTCTATTTTAGCAATAAAATCAAATTTCCTTCAGTGAATAATCTGATATATAAGTTACTGGTCCAGACCAACTTCCAGTTGAAAGATTATTTTTTGGTCCCTTCATGTAAAAAAAAATGCAGTAAAATATGAAAGTTTTTGAACACATTATTTTACAGATGGGTATTTTTTGACAAGGAGGATGTGGCATTATTGTATCCAGTGTTTGGTAATCCTTGGTCAACAGATCCAATATTTGAGGTTGACCTGCAGAAACCTGAACTCAAACACCACCCACTTCTGTCCTTAACTCAACCTATAGAATGTATACTTCAGCCAGGTTGGTTAAAATCTGTTCATCTAGTTTTTTTCCATAACAACTTTTCTTTCCATGAGATACTTTTAGATTTGTTAATTTTTTTCATTGGGTAATTAAACAATAATAGGCCAATATAAGTGAAGATTGACTGGCAGTTGACTCAGGTATAGTGAATACTTTGAAAAAAAGGCACAACAGAAGATGACTTGGTGTCATATTATTTTCTTTTAATTGCAAAAGTTGGGAAAATATACTTGTATAAATACACACTTTAGACAGTCATCAAAATGTTTTTTTATTTCCCTGGACTTATATTGACAATATATATATATATAATGGTTAGTTTCAACATGTATATTTAAGCTAGATTGCAAAGGTAGTTTTTTGCATTTTATTTGAATCACATTCTAGTTCACTTCCTGAATCTATCCAGTGCTGGTTACCAGTAATGGGGTGTCATAAAGAAACTTGATCATGACCCTAGTAAGACTCAAACCTATGATTCATGAGTTGAGCTCCAGACACTGTAACTATGCCACTGCTTCCCCAAATAGGAATTACTTGATAAAGGGGTAAAAAAACATACATGTAAAGCAATTCCAAGGTTAAAACTGTTACCCTGTATGCTTTGTATGCTTATCAAGAATTTTTCCTTTTGATCACTTATTGTTTATTCATTTTTTAAGGCCCATCATACCGCAGAATCGCTTTTATTTTTATTTCTCAAAAACTTTTCATGTTTTTTGTCCAGTTATATAAATAGTTTTCAAAAAATAATTCAGTGGCTAATTACCTGAACCATCTTTTGCTTCTGTTGCCTTTTGGTAATTTTATAGGACAGTAAAAAGAGATTTAACCTTTTTGTATAAAAGTCAAAATACTACTTTGTTTACATTTTAATACCTTAAGGACGTTTTCAACTTGGCATGTTGTTAGAATATGATAACAGAAACATTTTAAGCGAAAAAAATATTGGGGTCACCATTCTCGTTTTTATATGCCCGAAAGAATTTCAAGGTCACTATGACCTTAAAACTGAAAACAGTTTCCGGAGCATAACTTAAGTTCCATTTGGCCCACAGTGTTCAAACTTCATAGGATGATTGTCCATATTGGGTAGAAGACCCCTATTGATTTTGGGGTCACAAGGTCAAAGTCACTATGACCTTAAAACTGAAAACAGTTTCCGGAGCATAACTTAAGTTCCATTTGGCCCACAGTGTTCAAACTTCATAGGATGATTGTCCATATTGGGTAGAAGACCCCTATTGATTTTGGGATCACAAGGTCAAAGGTCAAGGTCACTATGACCTTAAAACTGAAAACAGTTTCCGGAGCATAACTTAAGTTCCATTTGGCCCACAGTGATCAAACTTCATAGGATGATTGTCCATATTGGGTAGAAGACCCCTATTGATTTTGGGGTCACAAGGTCAAGGTCAATATTACCTTAAAACTGAAAACAGTTTTCGGAATATAACTTAAGTATTATTTGGCCTACTGTGTTTAAACTTCATAGTATGATTGTCCATATTGGGTAGAAGACCCCTAATGATTTTGGGGTCACAAGGTCAAAGGTCACTTTTACCTTAGAATTGAAAACAGTTTCTGTGGCATAACTTAAAGTTCCATTTGGACCACAATATTGAAACTTCAAAGGAGGATTGTTATTTGAAGGAGGTAATACTTTATTTTACTCCCATGTCTTACAAATGCTTCATCTTTACTAAAAAAAAAAAATCACTTTCGGGCATATAATGCTCCGCCTAGCGGTGCTCTTGTTGAGTTATCTGCCACTGAATCAGACTTTTCTACTTATTTGAGGTCATTTCAAGGGCAGATAACTTATACATACTTAAATGAATTCTTGTTTTTACTTCTGGATTATGTTTTTCTTTTTATTGTTGAGTACAATACATAATAACATGCAATTCCTTACATCGTTTCTGTTAATTTTTTTCAATGAAAATAAAGGTACTTTAAATTCTTAAAAAATAGGCCATTTTTTAAGAAAAAATGCACAGGTTAAAAGAAGAAGTGGGAATAAAAACTACCCACTCTAAATTTGTTCTTGAAATTTTGCATATCAACTAAAACGAAGGTAAGCTTCATGAAAATAAGAAAAAAAATTGTATTGTTTCCATTCATTGTAAATTATCTGCCCTTGAATTTAACAAAAAAGTCCAATTCAAGGGCAGATAACTCAAAAACAAGAATGGTGACACCAATTTTTTTTTCGCTTAAAATGTTTTTGTTTTCATATTCTAACAACATGCCAAGTTTAAAGAAATTCTATTGAACAGCTTTAATTTTGCCTTTATGTCTATATGAAAACTCCCGAAAACGTCTTTAATGGCAACTTATTGCACCTTTAGGGCTACTTAATTCAGGTGATAAGCACCTAACATGCTCTTAAACCATTATTTAAACATTATAAAACTTGCTCTTTTTAAAGAAGGAAAACTATATATTCGTATCTGAGGCATAATGTGCCTTTAACAATTTGTTAATTATTTCAGGGGAACTGTTATTTGTACCAGCTGGCTGTCCACATAGAGTGGAGAATCTTGAAACTTCTCTTGCAATCTCAGGAAATTATGTTGACCTCTCGAACTTTGACCTTGTTAAAGAGGAATTAAAGGTTACATCATTAATTGATGAAAGGTCATCTGAACTTCTCAAGCAGTTTAGTGATCCAGATTTTAAATCAAACATGTCTAGTGACATTGATCATTTATGTTGGGAAAAGTTTAAGAGCTGGACGGCAGAAGATTATGAAAAATTTGATATTACACCAGAAATTGTTCAAACAGAAAGAGACAGGTTGTTGAATAAATGATTTTATATATATTTATGGTTTTGCTTTACTTCTATTTCCTTATTTTCATAAGGTTTAAATTTAAACTGTGATATTTTAACTTTACTGGAGTCGTTTTGAGACCCCCAAGTGCCCAACAACATTATTTCAGTGATAAACAGCATGGGTACAAGATTTTAGACATTTCATGATATGCCTGAAGTTCAGTTTTCTTTTCTTCTCCTGAAATATCTTTTTTTCTATATAAAACCAATTGAAATAATACTAAATGTTTTATGATATTTTTAACTTGCACCCATGTAGCTTGGGCATAGCCACTAACCTTCCATTAGTTTAATTTTAATCTTCAAAATTTATTTTCCCTAGCAGGATTTAAATCGAAAGCTTATGAATGCAGATGATTCAGTCAGCCGCCTTGAACATTTTACTTTTCTAGGTCAGATTTTCTGATTAGCTTCGACTTTTTCCAAATGATGCAGATTTTTAAATCTTGTATATATTTTTTTCAATTCAGCCAATGATTTTTACAGTTAATTGCTCTACCATTGACAGAACCTAATGTTAATGACTGAATCTGCTTACTGTATTAATCAATGAAGGGTACATAACACATGTACCTGGGTTACCAAAGATACTTTCTACATGCATAAGAAAAACTTGTGTAAACAATTTAAAAAACAAGTCAAACAATTAGATAAATAGATTTTATTTTGAAAAATATAAAGCATGATTGTCAGCTGTTTTAATCAACAAATGAAGAATGAGCGTATTACATGACAAAGATTTGAGACATCATTCATTCCACTATTTCACAATATACAGCAGATATACTTTATATACAGTCAAACGTGTATAAAGGCTGAAGAAGAGACATTATATGGCTTTTACAGACAAGTGGCCTTCATTCAGAGGCTTCTCTGTTCTATCTTATTTATGAAGGATTGTCTCAAAATGGCCTTTATTTACAGGGTAACATTTATTCAGAGGTGGTCTTTAACGCAGGTTTGACTGTAAATATTCTAGTATCAATTTTTCAGGAAAAAATGTATGTACAATGAAAATGTGTATACAATTTAGGCTCAATCTGTTATTATTTCTTTGCAGTCAGCAATGGAAACAAATTTTATTTATCTTTTTAAAGTTTAAGTAACCAAAATAAACACCAAATTTCAGTCATAGTACTTAAAGGTAATACTTGCCAATAAGACAATCTTATTTTTTATGGTGGAAGTCGTAAAATCGCTAAAATAAAAATTAAAGCATTATAAGTAAACAAGAGGGCCATGATGGCCCTGAAATCGCTCACCTGTATATAGGCCCCTGGGCCAAGGCCAATTTTAAACCATGGGCTTTTATTTGAACAAACTTGGTAGACATCCACCAGAAGATGTTTCATGAAAAATATCTAAGCTCTAGCTCTTTGGGGTTTTTATAAGAAGATTTTTTAAGTTTTTACTTCATGTATATACATATAGGGAAAAAACAATGACCCCCACCCTCGGAAGGGCCATTTTTGATCCCAGGGCTTTTCTTTGAATAAACTTGGTAGACACTCACTAGAAGATACTTCATGCTTAGTATCTAAATTCTAGCTCTTTGGGTTTTTTTTTTTTAAGAAGATTTTTTTTTAAGTTTTAACTTTACATATATATATAAGGAAAATCAATGACCCCCAATTATAACCTAAGAGCCCTTATTTGAACAAACTTGGTAGACACCCATTAGAAGATGTTTCATGCTAAATATCTTAGCTCTAGCTCTTTGCGTTTTTTAAAAGAAGATTTAACTTTTTACTATATACATAAAGGAAAAACAATGACCCCCTGGGGCGGGGCCAATTTTTACCCAAGGGCTTTTATTTGATCAAATTTGGTAGACACCCACTAGAAGATGGTTCATGCTTTATATCTAAGCTCTAGCTATTTTGGTTTTTTAAAAGATATTTTAAGTTTTTACTATATACAAATTATAAGGAAATTCAATGACCCCCTGGGGCAGGGCCAATTTTGACTCCCAAGTCTTTTATTTGAACAAACTTGGTAGACACCCATTTGAGGATGATTCATGCTTTATATCTAAGCTCTAGCTATTTTGGGTTTTTAAAAGAGGATTTTTTAAGTTTTTACTATATACAAATTAGGAATCAATGACCCCCGGGGCAGGGCCAATTTCGACCCCAGTGCTTTTATTTGAACAACTTGGTAGACACCCACTAGAGGAAGTTTCATGCCTAATATCTAAGCACTAGCTAATTGGTAATTGGGTTTTATAAAAGAAGATTTTTGAAGTTTTTACAATAAATCAATGACACCCTCCCCCCTCACCCCCCCGGCGGGGCAAATTTTGACCCCCAAGGCATTTATTTGTACAAACTTGGTAGACACTGACTAGATGATGTTTCATGCCAAATATTTAAGCTCTAGCTCTTTCGGTTTTCTAAAAGAAGATATTTAAAGTTTTTTCTTTCCGTTGCCATGGCAACCAGAGTTCTGCTTGGAATTAAATTCTTTGAACAATTTTTAAAGTAAACTACCAAAGGAACATCCCTGTGAAGTTTGAATGAAATTGGCTTAGCGGTTTATGAGGAGATGTCGTTTAAAGTAAAAGTTTACGGCCGGACGCCGGACGAAAAGCTATCACAAAAGCTCACATGTCACTTTGTGACAGGTGAGCTAAAAATGTAAATTTTTGTACAATACAATATTTCTTTATTTAAAACTAGTCAAGATTACATATTATGTAACAACAGACAATTTTTAATATTGGTAAGGACAATATAAAAATGATTGAAAAGCTTTCATGTGGGTAGATTAATAGTGTAAAAATTGAGCATTTTTGCTTGCACAAAAATGTGTTGTATTTACAATTAGGAAAAATATACCAATTTTGAGCGCATTGTTGTAGAATAATGCATGGTTAGAGTTCAAATGTGATGGAATATAATCATGAATACAAAAAGTGTAACAGGCCTGAGTGATAAATTACAAAGCATTTGTCCGATAAATCGTGTATTTATTATACTATAATGCACAAAACTTAGAACCTATTTCTGTTCTAATATGCTAATAAAAGAGAGAATAAATAAAAAATATGTTGAACTACATTGAGCTTAGAAGTAATTTTCTTGACAACATTTGGTTTATTGACATCATTATGATGTGTAATCATTCTTTTTTTATGCTGTACATATATCGTGTAATTATGCACTTGATCTATTTTATAAGGGAATTGTGAGAAGCCTGTTAGAATATACAATTTATTTTCAGTATGAATCTATAATAGCAGCTCCGTACTATATAATGTGGAGATATAAAAATAAAAGCTAAACAGTAACAATTTGTGTATTATAATCTATATTCTTCAATGCATAAAAAATGTATGAATACATAAACAGAAAAGAAAATTTGCATTAACGGATAAATCCCGTGACCATAAGCAGTTGTTGCACGTTTTTAATGTTCGTGACTCAGTTTGCAATGTAAAAACAGCTTAATGACTGGTTTTTTTATTATGAAAACATAAGTGTCAAACAGCATTGCACTAACAGGTGGAAAGAATAGCACAAGCCTTGATTTCTTCATACAAAAAGCAAATAATGAAAGGATGTTATTACATATTTAGAGGTGTACTTTGATGCAAGAATAGCAATAATACACCTTTGTTTCCTGCATTAACATCTGCAGATGTCCTGGGCATAATTAAATACCTTGCCTGCAGGCTCAGGCTTTAAATGCATGCTTGTGCATCTGCAGATGTTATAATGCATGAAAAAATGCATTAACCCTCTATCTTCACCTGTCAAATATATAAATATAAAGACAAGATCTACTTTTGTAGAAGGCCATCCTAAGATCATTCCTGTGAAATGTGGTCAAAATCCACAATTTGGTTTAAGAGATATTGTTCAGATATCATGAAAACGCTGGTAGATGGCCATCACAAAAGCTCACCTCTGAGCACTTTGTGTATAGGTGAGCTAAAAAAACCCACAATATTTCAATCGGTAAAAATATATAAAACAATTTAAATAAAACAATACACAGTATATTACAAAGAAATGATGCCAGTTTTGATATACCACCATGCAAACGGTTTGTTTCTTGTAGATAACAAGCTAATGCACATGATAAAACATTACAAAAATATATATTTTCCTCTTGCATACTAAAAATAAGTAAAAGTACAGTACAGATAAAAATAGTTCATATTATTCCATACCTCAAAAATCCATACATGTATATACAATTATCACAGTTTTGCAGTAAGGAAATGAGATACAGTATCACAGTTTAATTACTTTAATAACTCTATTACTTTTCAGTGTAGTTTATATAAGTTTATTTCATGAGTTTATAAGTTAAAGGATTCAAAGCTATACATGTATAATTGGCTGATTAATCAGTGGAATATTTGTTTGCTTCTTGACAACAATCAGATCAAAGAATAATAATTGAAATGTGATGTTTGTAAATTCCCAATAAAGTGGGGGCCATATGCTTTAAATCATTGCTAAATTCATTTTAATAAGTGCATATAGCAGTATTGAATTTTTAATATAAAGAATTTATTATATTTTGGCTCCTGGTTCCTTGAGATATTTTTTTGCCTGATATGTTTAAATATAGATGAGTCCTTGTTCAATTAAACTCTTCCTCGATACGACGTTTTAAGAATTAATGAAAAACACTGTCACTTTCTGTACAGACAATTCTCTGAATTCTTAGGTAACACTACCACTAAATGTCTTGCAATAATTTAATACAATCCAACGATATTATTAAGAGAAGAAACTTTAATAATTTACGTCCAAACTTGTATGTACGTGCCTAGAACACAACATATGGAAACTGGTGGTCAACATCATGCAATATACTGCTTAGGTTATACAAATCTGCGTCTTGTATGAGGACTCTATGTTATAAATCTCATATATACTGTTTGGACATCGATGACAAAGGAGACAAACAGACAGAAACCGCTTAGATATAGTCTTATATCCGTAGACCTATATATACAGTCGGAAGACTATCAA